GCTGCCCGGCACAACATGGAAGGCATCACCAGGGCGGTGTAGAGACTCGCGTTTCTGCAGGCACATATGGGCACATTTCACACCTTTTCACAACTCATGACAATTGGCCTTCAATGCACGACTTGCAACCATCAGCTATATTCGACTTCTATTATGTCCCTAGTCGTTTTACACGTAACGCACAGCTTTCCCGCAAAATGCGCCATAGGCGCGGTACTTCCCGCACAATGCGCAGCATTCCCACATGCACACCTTGCGCACTTTCTCGCGCTTAAGCGCCCTGCATCGCCATGATCCAGGAATGTCCCTCTATGTCCATCCACCTCATTGGTACATCATATCCCTTGCCTCGTGGTTGTAACAAGCATTGCAGCACTATTAATGTCATTACGTATTCATAGCACTTATTGCTCCTATCCCTTCCGCTTCCGATGCGATTTCCATAGTATAAAGTTGCTGACTTACTACTTCATCATTATTACTCCCCTTTGCTGTACTTCCCTCGCTATTGGGTTTTACCTTAAAGTAGTAGTCACCACTTGGGCGCACTTTGTGTTTCCAATGGTTATTGTTATCCACCTATACTAGACTATTATCCACGCTTGTTATAACACTCACTCTGCATTAGCACTCACTTTGCACATCCGCTTCCTTATCTGTTTCCTTATCTGTATTTTCCGCACAATGTGCGCCTTAGCGCTCACGTTCCCACGCTCCCGCTTACCTTAGTGCGCTCTCTCGCGCTTCGCGCTCACTTCACTTTTCTTCTTGCACTTTTCGCACATCCATCGCACTACAAGGGTCTTTCTTTCATCTGGTTTGGTTCAGTAGCAGTCCCCTTTAGGGTCGAACGTTCTTGCATTCTGCGAGTATAGCAGCTAGGCAGAGCCAAGACTCACTTATACTGGTTGAGCATTTTTAGATATTTCATATCAGCCCAGCCAGGTTGAGATCGCCTCAGCGGTCACCTTCTATGATATCAACTGTCAATACAACAAGCACTTTCGGGTTCGGGTGGATTGAAGCCGATTTCTCGAAATGGTTCTGGAATTGACTATCATTCCCGGAATCGGGTTGTGGCACATCCACGGACATCAGGACAGCTGCTATGTCCGATATGCGTCGAATTTTATTGAAGGCATCGGTCAGATTGATGGAGAGATCATGGAGACCCTATGGTCACGTCTCAACCTGATTTCCCCTGCTGCTCAGGGAATGTCATCCCCGCATTGAAAGGAATGTCTCAATTATCAGATGAATGATTCCAATTTCTGCAAGATGATCCGCATGAAAAGGACCCTTTGCTGAAAATACAAGCAGGCGAAGAATGGCATCGCCGAAAGTGAAAAGGCTTTCGACATAGTCAATGAAGCAGCACCCGGCGATTCAAAGACAGAGTGGCTAGCCAGCAAGAGGATCGCTTAGTCCAGCAGAATAAATAATCCTGCGGCTATGGATTGTATATGAGATTAATATCAAGAAGGGTTAGTTGACTTTGTCTCCATCAAAGTCTGAATTAATTTTGCACTCAGCACCGAGCAAAAAGGAGATCGAGTTTAGGCTACTAGAGGAGGGTAATGCCCAAAATGCAGCACCTGCTCGCAGATTCTGTGGCGACATGGATATCAATGGGGTTGGCGATTGAAGCGGCTCAAATCGCATTGCTCATTGAGGTCCAAAGAATTGGTAGAAGAACTACCGAGACACAGAAGTTAGACATCGCCCGGCAACGCGATCGTCTCCAAGGCCAGATAGATGGATTCACTCGGTCTGCTATTATGCATCTCGGAGAGGGATTTGATGCAGATGATGATCCTGAAGACTTGTACTTGGACATTCTTGATGATCTCGATGATGACTTGGCAGACTTCACCGAGACATCTGACACATGGGCAAACTCCCCTGAGCTCACTGTAATCCCATTGCCATCAAACCTCGGGGTAGATCGATGCAGACGCTGTATGGCAGACGATCTCATTCCGCTGGAGATGTCTCTTTGTGAAGGGCAGGCCAATGACTCCCTTCACAACCTCCGAATTCACTTGTGCAACAAGGCAATTCTGTTTCGAACAACAGTTAGGCAAGCCAAATCCCAGGCCCTAAAAACTCGAGCTTGGTCCCAGGTGACGTCGGTGCAGCAGGCAGTGTCCCTCCATGCCAGTATATATATGAAGCGAGGAAGCAAATGATGCAACTGGAGCCAGGGCAAGACCAGGTTCAGAAATACAAACCCCTGCTTCGAGAGCAACTCAAAATCAGCACTGCCGTCGGCGATCCAAATGCCCGAGGTCAGCGAAACGAGTCCCTCGCTTGGTTCTGGTCAGTCGAAGTCGACCTTGGGGGTCCCGATCACTCGTGGAATGAGGAATGTGAGTTTGGGCATGCTTGATGTGTCCCGCGCTCAGCTGACGGAGTCATCCGAAGTTTACCGAGTTCATTGGCTCGGGCAAAGGCACTACGGATCGATGGAAGGAAGAAATGATGTTGGTCCAATTGGAGATGGATTGGACATGTAACTTTTTCTTGTGGAAAGCAACCCAATGGGGTGACAGGATGCGTGAATCATTGGTGAAACACCTTCCAGGTCATGCATGCTACTCGGGAAGGCAATCCCAAATGTATTCATTGCTGGCACAGGATGCCCAGGCAGCATTTCAAGACCTGAAGACCGGGTTTATAGATGCTCAAGATGAATGAATTTTTTTTGCCAACGATATGAAACAGCTACTTGACCCAAACATTTTAGTCCCAGGAATTGGCCGGGTCGACCCATGTCGGAGTTTGAAAATTTTTATCAATCAACCAGTGGCTCATATCTTCACCTCCGAACCAACTGCCATTGTCATTGTCATTTCCAGCTTCATAATCCTGCATTAACCATGTCTGTATTGCATACTCCCCCAACATCCCCTTCTAATTCTCAGACTTCCGGCAATGGGTTCCGACCCCTCACACTCACTCAGGCAGATATTGCAGCTACAATGTCAATGGCTGCATCTCGCATCCGAGCGTCCATCTCTCAATATCAGATGGAGGCTGCCCACACCCAGGAGCCTTCTGCTACTCGGATCACGCACTTTAAAGCCGGGCTGCAATGGGAGATAGCTGTAAGAGGCTGATGACTGTGGTGGTCAATGCTGACATTTCCAACAGACTTTTGTGACTCCCATCCTGCAGTACTCAGCTGCAAGGAACATCATTTCGGTTGTTCCGAGCCCGGTTTGCTCATATTCTTCAGTTGATTCCCGAGCTCACCTGGAACATGGTTCAGGACCACATCTTTTCATCCCACCTATGCCAGTTTCAAGACGTTGCAGATCTGGGGGATCCCTCCCGCATTGTATCCACCTATGGTACTCAATGGTGGACCGGATCAACTGCCATCCCGAACGAATTATGGCCATGGGATCAGGTATTCGCTAATTGTGTCTGTCACTACCAGCATTGGCTAGTAAGACTTGTACAGAATTTCCTTGAGTGATGACTAATCCTTTCTAGTCTGGCAGTTGAGGACGAACATCTTGTTGTTCCCGAGCAGGTGGATGAAAGCTCGCTTGCAACGCTGAAGGCACTGAGGTGGATGAGGGAACGCCTCCTGACAGTGATTGAGGATCAACAAGCTGGCATCCGTGAAAAGATGGCAGAGATTCAGATGTACACCGCCGTCCTAACCAAATTGAACCCAAGGGGACCAGAGTAGTTCTAGTCCTTCAGTTCAGAATGTTGAAGTCTACATTCTGTACATGATGAAATAAGTACTGAAAATTACATACTAACTTTCGAATATCTGACCTATTGCTATATGCTGAGTCCTGCATACCAAATATCAAGTATCGAGATCCAGATATCTTGAGTCCCCAAATATTGAGTCCCAAACATAGAGTCCCAGATATCCAGTCCTGAAGCCCAAGATTCAAGACGAGACTTTGAAACTCGAACATCTGCTTATGAGTTGCGAGTTTTGAGTCCCCACTATCAACCATCGAGTCCTGACTACCGAGTCTTGAAGCCCGAGTCCCGACAATCGAGTCCCACAGCCCGACTATCGAGTCCCGACCCATCGAGTCCCAACCATTGAGTCCCGACAATCAAGTCTTGAAACCTACATCAGCACTATCGAGTCCTGACTACCGAGTCTTTGAAACCCGAAGTCCTGACAATCGACTCCTGAAGCCCGAGATTTGAGTGCTTGACCATCGAGTATCGAGTCCCCAATATCGAGACCCGAAACCCAAGCCCGAGATTCGACACTCGAAACAAATCAAAACTCAAAACAACACATGACACTTTCTTGAATCACCGAGTACCGAAACCCGAGTACCGGGGTACCGAGTCTTGAAACCCGAATCTGCACTATCGAGTCCCGACTACCGAGTCTTGAAACCCGAGTCCCGACAATCGACTCCCGAAGCCCGAGATGTGAGTGCCGACCATCAAGTATTGAGTCCCTATTATCGAGACCCGAAGCCCAAGATTTAACACTCAAAACAAATCAAAACTCAAAACTCAAAACATGACACTCATCAATTTTGGGAGTTGTTTTCTTGAATCACTGAGTACCGGGTACCGTGTACTGAAACCCGAAACCCGGTACTCGGTAGTCGGTGAAATGTGTACAACATCACTATGGAATATACTCGAATATCGAGTCCCGACTATCAAGACCCGAAACCCGAATGTTGAGTATGGAGTGCCTGATATCTAGTATCATGTATTTGAAGGTGGGTACTAACACGGGTAACTACCTTTTCTACTTCTTCCAATCCAACCTTGCCCATCCACACGACGGAATCCCGGCATAAATATGAACAGCATCCCTCATATACCATGCCCAGGCAATCCGATCCCCTTCCACTGCATGAACCGCGTGTCTGACAATCCTTCCCAAAAACTGCAATCATGCACCCCGGATCGTACCTGAACTCCAGCTGCAGGCTTGGCATACTCATCCGAGCATTAGAATAATTCCCCACAGCTAGTGAGAATATCGAAGCATTCAGAAATCGATGAGGGGTCTCAATGATTCGGGGTTTCCCGATTGCATATGACGGTGAGGCTGTTAAACACCGTTGCCCAGTACTGGAGAGTCTCTGACATCTTCGGCAGTTCCTTGCTTCGTGCCTTTTCTCCGAGGCTCGCAAAGGCTTGCAACCCTGCCCAGTACTGCTCAGGATGCATCACCCTGAGTGCCGCTGTGGCAATGGCTGCTGGCCTTGCAATGGCTTTGAGGATGTTCTCGGAGGATGGTCCCTTCAATGATGCAGATACCTCCGGATCGGACTGATTCTATGGGATTGGTGAGTTTAACTACCGAGATCGCCATCTCATCAGATCCTACCTCGTGCCCCTGGTGAAACCATGCCGGAGATAAATTAATGCATCCGGGAGTTAGGACATCATTTTCCGAGCTTGGTGTGAACCACTGTTGATTAGTCCGCCAAATCCCATTGAGCTTTATGCTTTGTTCGAGCATGGGAGCTAGCAAATCCGAGGCCTGCCCAAATTTCATTCTGTATGTACCATTTGATGTTCAATATCCATCCAGTCACAATATATATAACACACCTGGGTGGCATCGGTCAAGGCGTCTGGGAGGTACCATGCGATGATGGCACCGGATGCATCAAGAATTGTCACGGGTATGTCGATCAACTTTGTGCCCTCATGGCCAGGAGGACACCTCTCGAGCAACTTTTCCTCTCTCTCTTCATTATGCCCCGTGTCCTTTGGGGAGATCAATTTGCTATATCTTGCAATATCAATCGGCATCTGAACTGTGATGAAGCAATTTGACTGATAAAATGAATTTTCCGAATCTGCAGGAAGACTCACTGGGATTTTTATATGCCTTTATGAGCCGATCAACCAATCGATCACAAGCCATCACCAGATCAGTGTCTAGGTTTGGAAGAAGGTATAACTGGGTCTCCTCCTGTCTTCTCTGCATTGAATTTCTGTTCCATATAATCACATGCCACATGAGTGACAGTCAGGGCCCAAGTGCGCAAGAGGGTTATTTCATCATCGGAAGTGGAAGAAACATCCATTATTGAATTGATCTTGTGAGATCAGAAGCTGAATCCTGAATGTCCGCACTTTGGTGTTAAAGGGGGTGGAGATTGAGAGGGATCAGATAAGGGAGCCTTGGATGATCTGAGCTTTCAAAGATCTATTATCTCTTATCATCTATTGCTCAATGAAATACCACATGATTGGAAGTCTGTTGGATGTCAGATACTCGTTTGTCGAGACCCGGGCCTCGGATCTCGGTACACTTCACTCGATTTGATACCTGGGACACCATAGTTGGAACTTGTCTCGGGTCTCGGGTCTCAGGTCTTGGGCGTCGGGTCTTGGGCGTCGGGTCTCGGGTCTCAATGGTCGGGACTCGATACTTGATTGTCAGGATTCAATGGTCAGGCGTCGGGTTTCATGGCTCGGTGGTCGGGACTCGATAGTCGGGACTCAATGGTCGATTTTCGGGATTTGATAGTTGGGGCTCAGATATTGGTACACTTCACTCAATTTTCGGTGGTCGGAACTTGGCATTTGGCATTTGGTAGGCTTGGATGATGTTGGCTTTCAAAGATCTATTATCATCCATTGCTCAATGAAATACCAGATGATCGGAAGTGTGCTGGACATCACATATTCGTTTGTCGAGACCCGGGTCTCGGAACTCGGTACACTTCGCTCGAGTTTCCACTTCACCCCTTTGCAAAGCTCCGTGCCATACCACATCATTAGATGACTTTGAATAATTACCTCCTTTGATTTGGATGATATACAACTAGCTGAGCTCCATCATGTCTACAATTATCATTCTCCTGGGCCCACCCGTCTATCTTATATACCCCCACGTCGGCCTACCCATCTATGCAATATATGTCTCCCATCGGCCCACCTGTATATAATATATCTTTTACCACTCCCTTGGCCCACCCATCTACAAAATAATATTAATTCGTCGGCCCACCCATCTAATATGATATATATCTGGGCCCACCTGTCTATGTGATAACAAGCACCCTTGATATACCCGGCTATTTGATACATATCTACCTTGGTACACCCATCTACATAATATCCAACTACCTTGGCCGATCCGTCTATTGAAAATTCATGTCCATTGGCCCACCCATCTACTTTACATATTCCCCACCTGGGCCCACCCGTCTCCATCGGGAATAATAACACTCCCGGCCCATCCGTCACAGTCAAGGATATATCTACCCTCGGCCCATGGTCCACTGGCCCATATCATACGGGATATTATGCACGTCCGTCCACTCGTATAATACAGAGATATGTTACTGCAATATGTGATTATGACCACTCATGCATTGGTACACACTATATGCGACCAGCACAGTTACCACCTGCACTTGATTTGGCAACATCCACGAACAGAACCGGAGTCCGCCTGGTTGCTTCTTCCTACCTCAAAAGTATCTGCTGGGAATCAAATTTTGACCCATCAAACCTACTCTTTCTGCCTTTGTATTCCCTGTCAATGATGCCTTGCTCATGCTTAATGACGAGTTACATTCCTCTCTACATCCAAATGACAGCAACTCCAGCAGTGAGATACCTGCTACCCCAGGCGCATCAGACGACGAAGATTTCTGCTACCTGCATCTCCCAAGTTCCCCTGAGGCCCAAGCGCATCAGCATTCACCTGCTATGCACAACTAAGACCAATTATATTATTTATGCTGAAGACAAGGACATCTGCGCCAATTCCTTCACCAGTGCCTGCTCGCCTCATGGCCAGTCCTCCTGGGCCCATCCAATCCTCTCCCTACCCCCGCCTCTAATGACCATCCCACCACTCTAAGTTTCAGTATCAGCACTTGGCAGGAAATGTGTCATCCCACCCATACCCATGTACCCACCTTCCCCACCACCAGCACTCAACAGTCATTAATATATGTCACAAATGCCAAGTCATCTGCTCGAGATACTAACACCATCAACACTTCCTGCACCTACACTCAACATCAGCAAAAGGGCACATTTAAAGACATTTTTGATGATGAATTTGGTGATGGTGCACGCAAAAATGCACGTACTAATCCAAAATGTGAGTTCACCTGCCATCGATGCACGACATGTCATCGCTCACATGACAGCATCTGCCAAGCTAGTCCATCGACACAGAGCTACTGCAATCAATCAAGAAGATGTCGACGATGAAGGAATTCTTGGCAACATTGATGTGCAGCCTGTCGCTGATTCTGGAACCTCACGAGAAGACATGATCCGTGACATTGAACAATTCTTTGGCAAGCCCATTGAGTGTGCTGGCACCAATGGAACAACAAAAAGCACCCTAAATGCAAGATCTATCTGAGTCTGAGCTTTTTTGTGATCATTTTGTTTTGCATTTCTAATGATTTGTGTTACTAGGAGTAATTGTATTATTGTCAATGAGACGACCACATGCAGAACACCTTATTTGCCATTTGCTGCTTCATCTAGTCATGGTGGGCCTGTTGTGCCTGCGTATAACACAAAGGCACACCACCACTATGATCTCTGGCCATACCTGGGCCTGAGCATTCAAACACGCTTCAACAAACATCAGCAGATGGGGCATGGCCACCGGGTAGGATGTACTACCTGGGCTTGGGAGCATTCAATGGTAGCTGTGGGAGCATGAGCGGCGAAACAGTGAGAGGCGAAAGCCATGAAAATGCGGAGGAGCACTAATTTTCATTCGCATTCCATTGATTTCATGCCATGTTAGCATGCCTTTTCTCGATATCACGATGCCAAGTTTGCAAAATGTTTTTCTAACGATCAGAAAATATGAATTTTAACATCTACATCTGTAGGGAAAAAAATATTGGCAGTGGGCAAAGACCAATGACTTCATGTCCAAATTGTTCGTTGATGTCATGACAATGTTTCAGGACAACACAATGCTATGATGTGCCTTTTGCATTTACTCTTGGTCCTCAAATTCAGGATTATATTCACCTGAGCAGCCCAGTCAGTTGATTTTAAGAACATGCATGTCCAACATACTTTGAGTAGGAGAGGGGGCGTCCCATGCAATCTGGTGGGGAGAGCAAGTACTAATTCCATGTGGTGCATACTCTTCCAACACCCTTACTCAATATTGTTCCTCCAGCCAACGAAGTCTGTACTTTTGGTATAGCCTTTCCATCCTCGAGCAGTTCTTCTCTGCCATATGTAATCTCTCTTTGAGCTTGGTCGTGGAGTCTGTCTCTCCTTTGTTATGGTTGATAACCAGGAGAAGTGGAGACCCGTCGTTACGCACTGAGGAGTCATCATCATTAACGTTCAGCTCACTGGCCTACAATCAGCTTTGAGAATGATTGATGGCATTGACCGACCTTATACCGGTGAGTTCCTTGTCACTTCCATTAGCATCGCCCACCAACTTGATCCTAAGCACAGGCATCAGCACGTTCCACCGCCAGGTGCGTCTGGTTTACTGCAGGCTCAAGTTGATGCTACGTCCTTGCACTTTGAAGTTCTCACACCAACATTGTGACATATTGCGCTAGGCGGATGTTTTATCGAGTGGTGAGCTGCAACGAGATAATGCAAGGTCAATGAAGCTTTATACTGATGGTGATTTGCCACACTTTTTCTAGCCTTCAAATATCAAACTCACTAACTTAACTCAGGGTTGATACATTCCAGTAGGTCAGCCTATGAGCAGCTGGAGTCACCATGGCTACTTTTTTGGCACCATTCACCATAGCTGGTTTGGCTGCCAGTACTGTGGCTGCTGTGCTGGCCGGTAGTTTTCATGGGATATTATGTAGTGTCGTGTCGTGGATAAAAGCTATGAAGCCCAGGCAACCCTTCCCTTTTCCCCCAACTTTCATGACCACTCAGGACGTTACCTCCAGTGTCCCGAGCAAACACGACTTGTCAGCTCTCCAAATGGGGCCTCAAAAAAAGGTGTAAGCAGTCGCTAACATTGACTACAACCTTTGTAGACTCATCCTGTCTCTCAGTTCCTCATCCGATCTGCTTGTCTCTCATGGACGCCACTTTTGTCGAATGGTATTCGTGTTGTGCAACTACCCTTCCTTACTCACCAATGGCATCTTAAGACTGGAGCTACTGGAGGATACCCCTTTGGAGAAATTCTCTGCTGAGTAAATACATACATCTTTGTATTCACTTGTTTGCTGATGTGCATGACAGAGAGTGCCGAGAACATTACATCTTTGAGCAACTCTTAGACTCATATCCCAGCCTTCTGGAACGACTGAAAGATGGATCTGAGGAGGAAATACTCCACATTGGAGAACTGGTGCCTCTTTTTCTGCATAGCTAGAGCTCATGCTTATGATCTACAGATTGGTAAGGGAGCTGCAGGTGCCAGAGGTGATGACACAAAAACACTGAAGTCTGCGGTACTCGATTGGATTTCCCTAAAGGGGAAGCTATACAACCTCCTTTACATCGAAACTCCAAGATTGACCGCAGTTTTAACCACGAACTTATGGGTTCTCTACTCTGTCCCACTGGATTGAACTGGAATAACCCTCAGTATGATTCAATTTTTTGACATGTCTGCGGTCCTAACACATTTTTTGTAAATAGGACAAAAGAGGACCTCCGAAGCCGCAAAACGCTAGTCTGTGGGGATCAATGACCCATTTTTTGTATGCCCACCGTACTTATGACCCTGAAGACCTGTGGTGTGGTCTTCTCAGGAGCCACTTACTAGTGTTTGTGAGTGTGCACTCGTATTTTCACATTATCCATTCACTATATTGTATTCTACTAGGCTTACAAGTATGTTTTCACGTTCCCAAGTTCGGTTGAGAGGGAACCAAAGGCCACATGATCAGGAAATGTTCGCCTCCATGGCATAAATTCTGTTACCATCACTTCTGTGGCTTATATCACAACTCAGGTCCATTGAACATCACGCTTCTATTACAGAATAGTTTTGATGTACAACTAAAGGTGCAATTTGCTCTCAGCTCATCCTCAGTTTTCTCATGGACCGACACAACCATGGACTCTGAGATGTTTTATCATAGCCTTCTCAACCTCTTAGAAGACCCTGAGGAATGCCAAGAAGTTGATGAACTGCTAACCTGGTGGAATCAGTATGCTTTATCACCCTTCACCATGTCACTAATGCTGATATGTCACCACTTACTCAGCCAAGTATTTCCCACTTCCTCTGCTGTGAAGAGACCTATCAGTGCCAACAGCACCTTATCCAAGATCCAACAAAAATGCCTTGCCCTCAAACAAGCCACAAATCAGGTTACTGTATCTCCATAGTTTTTTTATTTAAACATGTCTGTTCGTATTTAATATAAATGTAACCTAATGACAACCTGCTTTAGCTTTTGTAAAGTACCACGCTGCTGTGAAATAGTAACTGGTCATTGTAGCACACCACATCTGTCTTCTATGCAGTATATTGCTATAAAAGAGAATGTGTTGCATGATAAGATCTGGAGCCAGCGTTATGTCTGCACTTGGTCGAATGAAAATAACAAGCTAGCATTGCAAGGAATGACTATAGTGTGACTGCATGTGGATGGAAGGAACCACATTACCATTATCAACTGCTGGGTGCCTATGGCACAGTGCAACCTAGCATTCAAAGATTCTGTCCAGCGGAGTTATTCAGGGAGAGTCTGCAAAAAGCAGAGCAGTTCACTCACCTTGCATGTGAAGACCGTACCTCCTCAACAAGCTGACAAATGTTACCACACTGTCATGCATCTGCACCTTAAGACTAAAAGCAGCTGTCATCCAAACCAGTCTGGCCTTGGAAGACTCCAACACTTAGAGAGAGGATGTGGAGCATAAAATAACAACCAAGTTTGTGTGCGGTTAGCATATGTCATCGAAGTTGGACAGCACTATCGCTCGTTGCCTGAATTGTGCACTTAGTAGATTCGAGCATTACCAGCTAGCATCACAACCACATACCCAAAGTCAGTGTCAAAGGAGTTTTTGTCGACAGCACAATGACAAGCTCGTGTTGCCAACGACAATCATGCTGACATTGCTTGGGACTGCATTGCAGACACTTGGCACCCTTGAGCTATAGGCAGTATCGGTCCAACGGAGCCCAACAATATAAAGCTTTTTCTGATGCTAGCATCAGTTCAGATATTGGGGAGCATAAAAGGACAAACTCGTTTTGCATACATATATCGAGCCTCGCCGAAGTTGAGCAGGATTGTAATGTACTGTCGTTCATCGCCTGAATTGCACACTTAACAGATTCAAGCATCATCAGCTGGTATCGCAACCACATGCCAAAGTCAGCGCTGAGGGTGTTTTTGCCAACAGTGCAATGATAAGCTCCAATTGCAGAAGGCAATCACGCTGACACAGTTTGGTACTGCATTATGGATGCTCGGCGCTCTTAGGTCATAGGCAGTGTTGGTCCAACTAAGTCCAGCTCTATAAAGCTTTGTCTCATACTGACATAAGTTCAGTGATTTCGAAGAAAGTAGAAACAATCAGAGATTACATGCCATGACCAGGGCAGGACATTATTGTAGTGCATTGCCATTGGTTCCTCAACTAGGTGATAGTGGTCACTCCCAACAATTTAGTCATGGTAGGTGGGTGCTGTAATATGCACCATCTCAGTGGTAACTGACAGGGCAATGCAACAAAATTGTCATAATTGTGCTTTTGGCAGGTTCCATCCAACTGAGTCTGGGTATTCAAAGCTTTCTCATACAGGATACAATTCTGATAGGTATTGTGCAGATTTTAGATCAGACAAAGCTAGCTAAGATCTTACCATTTTCAGGTCAGTTATCTGATGGTTGTCCAGACCGAGCACTCCACTGACTGTATTGACAGCATTAGAATGATGTTGTACATGTTTTAAGGTGGTACTGACTTATATTGTTGTTGGTGCTTGTGGCTCCAGTCTGGAGGTAGTGCCACAGGTGACCTGGGGGGTAGTTGGATGATGGGTTGCAGAGTGTTATTCTCCATGGTGGGCTTCTTGTTGGAGCTTGGCCCTTCTTCTTCTGACTTGGACATGTCTGATGGATGGAATGGTTGCCTGGTGCATTTATTTTCATGAGAGTCTGTTCATGTGCTGGGTTGGAGTGGTAGTGGCTTTTGTCATAGTGAAAGTAGAATGGGTGGTGATAGTTATTGTGTTGTGGTAGTCTCATTCACAGGGATGGAAGTCTTAGGTTGAGATTGGGGGGTTCTTAGAGGGACAATATTTTATTCCTTTGTATACAAATAGGTGATGGACACAATGCATTAATTGTAGACATACCAGCCTTTTGGTAGTGAGATGATGTCTTTAGACAATATGTAGCTTCCACTTCTCCCTTTGTTGAGATCCGAGCACCTCTGGACCTCCCCTCTGGACCTCTCCTTCTGTCCTATCCTCCTTTGGACTTTGTGCCCTGCAGCTTCTCCTCCATTTGTTTCACCTAGAGACTTTGTCTTGGGTAATCTCTACTTCCAACCCAGCAGATGAAAACTCCTCTGGAGTTTCCTGTATTCCTCTGGAGGTTTCTTGTGCTCCTCCTGATGTCCTCCAGCACTCCACCAGAGTAGCCTACCTCTGGAAGTCCTCTGGACTTCATCTGAAATGAAGGGCACACACTCAGGTAAGGGGCACAGTCCATGAGCTGATGCCAAGCCCTTCGTAATCAGTCCCCCTTGAGCACAGCCTTAACAGTAGCAACAATGATGGACTAATAATGCACCAGTGGAGGTAGGTGGACATAGATAGGACATGTGTCATATACCATATATCCGGGTACAGATCCATTGGATATATCCATTGTCTGGTACACAGATCCGATCCAATTCTTATTTCATTTCCTGTTCATATAACTCTAACTATCATTCATCTCCTTTCAGTATTCCTAGACTCCAGTAATCCAGTTATCCTTACTTCCGCTATGCTTACTGATCCATTTAACTTATACTTCATTTCTGATTCATAATTCATGATCCATCCAACTTACCAATATACTTTGCTTATACTTCGTACATAGCCTCGCACCTTTGCTTATTGATCATTCTGTTAGTTATCCGTAGTATATAAACCCTTGTGTATGCGCTGTAGTACTTGAGTTCGAATATCATCTTAGATTGCACTCATTCTGTCTGGACTCTAAGTCCTTCCGTTCGATCTCTGTTATCTGTCCGGACTTGAGTACACTACTCATGTCTACTCCGAGACTTAGGATTGACTCCTATAGTCTATATCTTCACCTTTGTCTTCGGACAGTCCTCATCCATCAGTTTCTAGTTCGGACCCGGTCCGGATTAGCCATTACTCTACTCATCCAATATCTGGAAGCCTTAATGGATCTGATACGATACTTATCCGTCCTGCTAGACGCAATATCTTAGTACTCTGAAATAAGGGACAAGACTCAGGAAAGGGGCACAGCGCACGAGCTGAGGCCGAAGCCCTTCGGATCCAATGACTCTTGAGTATGGTCTTAACAACATGGGAGGACAGAATACCTAAGCATTGGACCAGATATGCAATAGTGCGCTGCAAGAGATGAGTGCACCTAATTCCTAAGGAGTGTGCTATGATGGATGAGTCAATGGATAAGGAAATTAGTATTTAGTGTTTAACTCCTTTTCCTTTACAAGGGAATAGATAGCACCAATGCTCATACATGCCTAGTGCTGATATCATGATGATTGTCACACCATGGTATTACCTACTGTAGAGGCATGAGTCTCTACAGCATTCAGCAGTAATTAGAGTTTCATTTGACCATATTGTTGCTTTGCAAACTGGTGCTCACAACCTTCCTTTTTTGAAGTCCAAGCCCAAAGACCTGTCCCCACGAGCTTGAGGTTGCACTGCTTCCAAGTGACTCCTTTAAGCTCCCCATGTTGTTCTAAGTCTATCCTATGCTCTTCAAGCAATTCATTAGAAAATGTGCTGAATGGCTAGTGCTGAATTGAATCCAAAGCTGAAGATCAGCTATTAGCAATCCGATAAAATTAACTACATGTAATCTCAGTAGAAGTTCCAGAGAAAATTTCAGCACCACCACTTATTTCAATGATTTTCATTGGAACCAATATCCAGTGTTTATCAGGTAGTGCTATGGATATATGTTCTTGGGATGGTATCAAGAACTCGCCCCGACATAACATACCACACGAGACGAAATGGGTGATAATGCTTTGCCAATTGCTCCCATAGTTCGACTGTCTTCGGAATTATGATGTAATTTTGTCACTGCATTGGGGAGACGCACCATACTGGCTGAAAGTGACCCCAAGAGACAATGGATGGCTCTGTGAAACAAATTTACTAAGCATCGCAATCACGAGTAAATACTATGACCCACCTCGACAGAAACATCTACGCCATTTCCCCCCTTGGTTGGTTCCACTCTCATATATATGCCACCTAGGGTATTTTTTTCAGCGCATACACCGACTGGTCCCATGTCACTAACCAGGTGATCGCTGCGGATCTTTGATTCTCAGCATTAATGCAAAGAGTGGGAAATAATTCATGAACGCAAGCGTTGTCTCCAAACTCGCATACACTAGAATAGTCAAGACGCGCATCTTGTTGTACCGGAGTCAGGTAACATACGCCACCAATATCAATGCTGAGACTCACTGTAGCGAATAAGATGTAGTACACCAGGGCGGTGGGAAAGAGATAAGCAACCAGTGTGAAGAGAATAGTCCCCAAAAGTAGCTGGTCGACATCGTAGTCCCAAGGATCCGTCCGATTCCTTAGCACGTTATATCGTCGTCCTTGAATCGTGTTATTACTAACTCTCATTATAGAATCGCGGAAGGCCTCACCTCGAAAAAGATTCCAGAGCGATCCCGCCAAGCGTAACAAATGACCATACACAGTCACCGAGACCAAATAGCATAGTTGTACATGCGCCATAAAGACGCAGACAAGATCACACATCATGGCAAGCGCCATGGTCACCCCAAACCCACTTCCAAGTTCAAGCGTACTCAATAACATAGGAATGAGTGGTATGACGCTTCGGAAGCCTCCTGTACATCAATGAGGTTTGTGCAGAGTATCGCGCAAGGTCGGGTGTCAACACGCACTGTTCCAAAGCGCAATCAGTCCCATAAAGCTGTGCGAGTAGAATCGGCTGAGTTCGGTATTGAGCTTAAGGCCTGCAGGCCAGCTGTCGAGCCACAGAAGAATTTGTCGTACTTTATGCACAGCCTTGTCCTGGGCATTTACGTCAGAAGAGTATGGTGCAATGCTCAACAATTCAGACCTCAAAGGCGAGCTTGAAAAGGTGCAGAAAAGCCTGACGGTCCTGCCGTAAAAATTGACGAAGCGCAATCCCAATGATGAGATCATTTAAAATGATCCAGAGGGTGTTGTAAAACCTTTGAAAATTTGAGTGCACCACACAAAAAGATAAAAGAAAGAGCCACACTCGATATACTGAGAAGACCTGAGCCTCACGTCCCCGTTTGGAACAGGCTGCACGCCACGGAGCAAGCGACGCAACTTCCTCACTCTAGATTCAATCTGTTGGACTGGGTGCAAGCTGGATATCAGATCCCGGTACATAACATAATGCCTACCTACGATGCTAAATTCTCTCGAATAAACGAAGACAAAGGATACGACGCGCCATAAAAGATTCGTCGAACTCTCGATTCCGTCAATTGTACATTGGAATTTCTTATTGATAGCCGTAAACTTTGAGGTCTCTTTAAAGCGTGCGTTGGACTCTTGGACGGTAGTCTGGGCACGCTGCTCGTGCTCTATGAACTGTTCAAGAGATTTTGCAGAGTTCCACTACGGTAGTCAAGCTCCAGAAAATGACACGGGTAACTTATGGAAAACATACTTGATTGACAAGGATCTGCCCTGTATTCGACACGCTTCGCGACGACGCGGTATGCGAAAAATCGTGCTTCAAGCTCAAGCGCAAGACCTCATCCTGAAGATCGAAAAAGCGTGTTCCATTAGAACCCAAGGCATAAAACCGCATAGAATTTTCATCATGACGATGGTAGTATATGTACGCAGCAGAGCATGCGCTAAGATCAAAGTCAGTTGCATATCGGACATGCGAGGAGTATCAGACCGTGAGGGACCGCAGAATATTTCGATATCTGGTTGGGGGTATGATGACCTCGCGAATGAACTGAATACACAACGTCCGAGAATGCGTGGAGTACCACAAATCTTAATCAGGACTTGTGCTTCCGTGGAACGAGCGACACGCTGAAGTAGAGCGTCTGCTTGTGAGTCCTGTACGTGGTCCATTAATCACGACAAATGGTAAATATTGTGACCATCCGACGTACCTCCTCGACCTCTAGCACACCTGCTACACACAATGCAGGATGATCCCACCCATAGTAGAACCCGCTCCTTGCGACATCGCATGGCCAGAAAACAGATGCCATGCCCGGAGTCCTTGCAACCGGCTGTGTATGTACGTCGTCACCACGTGACCAGTGCTTTCAACGCGTTTGGAATTGTCCGCTTTGAACGAGCAACGAGTTGCAGACTTCTGAAGCTTGAAGCTTGAAGACTTACTATATCTGTTTCAGCTCGCTGTCTATATCCCATCACTCATCTCTTCATACATTGCTCACACAACCATAATTCTAACCGCTGCCAATGGACTCTCGAAGACCTGACATGAAGAAGAAGCTGGTAGTGGTTGGAGATGGTGCGCGGACCCTTGCCCTTGTCTCTTCAGTATCCGTGCCCGCGCTCAACCCACTACACTCAAGGCGGATGCGGGAAGACTTGTCTCCTCATCGTATATGCAGAGAATAGATTCCCCGAGGTACGCATGAGTTACGCATGTCACTCATGCATATGTACTCATTCACATTTCCGAACTCCAATTCACGTATGACTGCAGTCTTACATACCCACTGTGTTCGAGAACTACGTCACGCAAATCCAGTTCGACGGCAAACTAGTAGAGCTGGCGCTTTGGGACACCGCGGGACAGGAAGAATACGACCGACTACGACCATTATCCTATCCAGAATCTGATGTCATCCTAATCGTGTTCTCTATCGATTTTCCCGTCTCCCTGGGAAACGTGCAAGATAAGGTACGTTCCTGACATCGTGTCAAGCCCAGTTGTGTTGACTAAAATCCCAGTGGTACCCTGAAGTTGCCCATTTTTGCGAAGGAACCCCTCTTATCCTCGTTGGAACCAAGACTGACCTGCGGCGGGACGAACAAACACGCCGAATGCTTAGCGCACAGGGTCAGGTGCCAGTGACACCTGAGCAAGGTGGGACGGTGGCACGGGAAATCGGTGCCAAGTATGTTGAGTGCTCAGCAAAGACGGGAAGCGGTGTACAAGATGTGTTCAACCTTGCATTGCGAGAGAGCATGAAGGGACGCTGGGGGAAGATGGTGAAGCAACGACGGTGTGTGATCGTGTAGGGGAGCAATTGCCGGTCGCATTCACGTGTTTCATTGGATGTTATGGATATGGGACTGATATTTTGCTTGCCTTTCTCTATACTCTGTGCTAAAAGGAGCTACTGCATCTTGGGGTGCGCAGAATAGAGGGTTTTTGGAGATTGTCCAACAGTGCTGGACAATGTAGACGAAGGCAAGGAGGGTCACAGTCACGGTACATATCTCGATATAGAGGGTGTGATTAATGTTGCCGACAGGAATGTCAAATGAGAGGGGTGATGAAGTTGTGTGTTGAAGGATTTCGAACTGAGCAGATGAATTGAACAAGTGAAATTTGGGAGAGTTGGATGGGAGTGTGCTGTGGGAGTGATTGGTCTTTTAAAAAGAAATAATTAAGATACAAGCGACAGGAGAGAGCTTGAAGCGCACATGAGGAAGGACAAGCCCAGAAACAAATTGGGGGAGGGTAGCTGGATGATGTGACGAGGGTTATGACCCTCGTGCGGCACACCGTACCTAACATGGAGAGGCACGTCCACTACGACCAAGTCTGTCTCCGGCTTAACAGCGACCAGCAGCCAACCTGATTCATTCGCTACCCCGGACGTGGGTAGCTCCAGATTCGTATTCCCCACAAACTGGAAGCAGAGTCCATGGCCGTTGAGCTCAAATGAGTCAACGATAATATCGGCTGGAAGTTCGTGGAGGACGAACAAGTTGCACACTGCATATTTATGCCGTGCATGAAGAGGAATATTAGTTGAGAGCGTTGAATGAAAACCTTTTGCTTGCATGGTCGATCGACGTAGACGGTCGACGTGGAGCACGTGCTTGAGATCATATCATCGTCAGGAATCACTAAGTCAAGGGTCTCACCAAGGTCTCACTCAAGCTTACTTTCCAGCAACCATCATGAATCATTCAAACGAAGATCACAACAGAGTCCATTTTCCTATTCTCTCCTCAGAGCTCACTGCAGCCCTCGGTGCCATCGAAGACATGGCAGACGATACAGATGCCGTCCCAGACAATGTCGTTCGCGGCCGTCCGCCTGCCATATTCCGTGCTGGTGGGCCAATGTTAGTTCTCGAATCTCTCTCTATCAGTTATTTTGCTCTCATCTTTAAATTATAAATTAACGATTGGACATCCTGCACAGGCTAAAGCAGTTCGACGAGTCCACCGCCTCCAGTCGGAAAGGCTCTCAGGCCCCGACTCCCCCACGCTCCGTCGTTGGTATCGGAAACAAAGGTTCGTCTCACCTTACCCTTCTTGTTCTTCACTCATTTATCATTACATCATGCAAGTTGCCAAACCAGACTACTCCGAAGCAAAGATCGTCCTTGCGATGGTGGGATTGCCCGCCCGTGGCAAATCCTACCTCAGCAACAAGCTCATGCGTTATCTCAAGGTCTGCCTTTCTCCCTGCCATCCGATCTTACTTACCCTCCTCAGTGGCTAGAGTACGACGTACAGGTCTGCTGCCCTAGTCCTCGGGCCAGTCCGATACTTACCATCGTTTAGGTCTTTAATGTTGGTCAGCTTCGCCGCTCACGCGCGCACCGAAAAGCCCAACAGTACGTTGTGTTTCTTCGTACCTTCTATATACTTCACCTCTTGTAGAAGTGGCATCCTCGAAGATCACACTTCCAGCTACTTCAGCCACAACAACGTAGAAGCCACTAAGCTTCGCGAGCAACTCGCCGAAGACAGCCTCGAGATGCTCATTCGATGGCTGAAAAGGGGTGGCAACGTTGCCATACACGGTACATTTTCCCTCTCTACTCTGGTCATGCCATTCACACTCCTCAGATGCAACCAACAGCACCCGTATGAGACGGTACGCCCGTCATTCAATATGGTCATCTAGCAGTGAGAGCTAATTCCATCTCACTCAGTGCCAAAATCTCTGCCCGCGTTGCCAAAGAAAAGGGCATGTCCGTCATATTCCTCGAGTCCATATGTAACGACCCTGCCGTCATTGCTGCCAACGTTGCCCTCAAGGTCTCCTCCGGCGACCCGGACTATAAGGACCTTCCTCGTGAAGAGGCTGAACGCGACTTCCTCCGTCGCATCAAGGAGTATGAGGCTGTCTACGAGACCATCACTGAACCCCACCTCAGTTATCTGCGGATCACAGATGTTGGCAATGAAGTCACGCTCAGCAGAATCAATGGTTACTTGCAAAGCCGCATTGCCTTCTATTTAATGAATTTGCATGTGAAGCCACGCAACATATTTCTTTCCAGAGTGCGTCTTTTTTGAAAATTCCGAAACTTGGACTCAAGTTTTGTTGTAGCACGGCGAGAGCCAGTTTAATGTGGAAGGCCGTATTGGTGGGGACTCACTACTTTCAGAACGCGGCCTTGCATACGCTCACGCGCTCCCTGAGCTTGTACGAAACAACATCGGGGATGCACCACTTATTGTACCCATCTACTTCTAGTCATGGTACAGAACCTCATCTCAAATGTACAGGTCTGGACTTCGACCCTTCAACGCACGATCCAAACCGCTGCAGAACTTCCCTACCCCAAGCTTACTTGGAAATCTCTCGATGAACTCGACGCTGGCGTCTGCGACGGTATGACCTACGAGGAGATTGAGGTGCATACTGCTTCTTGTCAATGCTTCTTACTTGACATTCTTGGTACAATTTTCTTCTCGCACTTCAGCAAGCCTACCCCGAAGATTTTGCCAACCGTGACGAAGACAAATTCAACTATCGTTACCGAGGCGGCGAGTCCTACCGAGATGTTGTCGTACGCCTCGAGCCTGTGATCATAGAACTAGAGCGGCAGGAAAATATATTGATCTTTGGACATCAAGTACGTGTAGATTCCAGCGCTCTAGAATATTCTTTCTTTATTCAGATCCACGCGCTAATTCTGTTGTGCCCTCGAATCCATGCTGACCATCATGGCAGGCAATCCTCCGTTGCCTCTACGCTTACTTTCACGATCTCCCACAAGCTGATCTGCCTTACATCAATGTACCGTTACATACTGTCATAAAGCTCACTCCGAAGGCTTATGGTTGTGACGAGGAACGGTGAGCTTTTCCTTTAATTTTCCCTTCACATTTCCACCACTGTGCTTTCTCTGAGCTTACAAACCATAGGTACACTCTCCCTATTGGTGCCGTTGACACGCACCGGCCCAAACCAGGGTCCACCGTTTCGCCACCCGATGTAGTACCAGCATCGACGACGAAGAGGGAATACTTTGGGAATATATAATCGGGCAATCACTTCTAGTGTCGACTTGTCGACACGGCGCATTGCAAGTGTGAGCCAGGGAGTCAGAGACAGCAATTGATTGAAAAAAGAGCATAATCCTGATGTATTTTAGATGAAATCAAATAGATACCTAGCTATTCTACACTAAATGTGTATGTTCTACATGCGATGTGTGAATCAGCAAGTCACTATGATTAGTTTGAAGTTTCTGCCTCCTGGGGGTGCAAGTCACGTGCTTTTAAAACACCTGTTAACTCATTAACTATCACTTAACTCACTGATTATCACGGCTGACATGGATTCAGCACCCAAACGACGTCGCATTTCACGCTCTCCATCACCGACGTACAAATTCGGTGACGACGATGACTATGTGCCCTACGTTCCTGTCGCTCAACGGCGAGAAGCCAAGCTGGCGAAGCTTTCTTCATTAAACACCGTTTCTGACAGGACGAAGGCAAAGAAGCAGCTAGAAGAACTATTGGAGCGCGAAGATGCAGAGAGGGAAGAGGAACGCCAACGCGAGAAGACACGGAAGGAGAGGCCGTTACTCATGGAAGCACAGGAAGTGCACGAGCGCAAAGCTGCAGAGAGTGTGTCTTGCTGAGTTGCGAGCTAGATATATACTAATATCATCATAGATGCAAAGAAGACTGATGTAGAAAAAGAAGAAGAGGCAGATGCAGAGATACTTGCTGCCATAGCAAGTCGCAGGAAACTCGCATCTGATCTAGAGCTTGCGAAAGGTATATCGTACACAGACTCCCTTACAACATCGTGAGCTTCACGCTATAAAGAGGAGGTTGACCGTGTTCTGACTTATGCTACAGGTGGCGGCCGCCGAAATATATTCGAGAGCGCACAGATGAGCAACATCGACGACTGCGAGAGAAATACCACATCATTGTGGATGGAGAAGACATACCTCCTCCTATCGAGCACTTTTCGGTATCTATATAATGGACGTCTCATTCAGCCCTGAATCAACTGTTTTGTAGGACATGAAGATCCCAGAATTGATGCTGCAATTTCTAAAGTCCAAGAAAATCACTACGCCAACACCTATCCAATTACAAGGGATACCCACTGCGTATGACCTCCCGCACTATTCCATTCAATTCCTCTGACCAAACTCGTAGATTTGCTGGCCGAGATATGATTGGCATTGCTTTCACTGGTTCGGGCAAAACGCTCGCCTTTTGCCTTCCCTTGATCATGCTCGCACTGGAAGAAGAGACGAAGCTCCCGTTTATTCGTGGAGAAGGCCCAGTAGGTGTTGTTCTCTGTCCCTCACGTGAGCTGGCTACACAGACATATGAAAATGTGCTTGCCTGGACAGGCGCGCTTGCGAGGGACGGAAAGTATCCACAGCTCAATACCCTCCTCTGTATTGGCGGTATATCAATGGGCGAACAGAGTCACGTGCTCAACAAGGGTTTGCACATTGTGGTAGCGACTCCTGGCCGTCTGATTGATATGCTGGAGAAGCGAAAATTTACATTCAAACAACAGCAAGTTTTTGTGCATGGATGAGGCTGATCGGATGATTGATTTGGGCTTTGAGGACGACGTACGCAACATTATGAGCTTTTTCAAGGTATGCATTGGTGATTGTTAATTGGCTGTGATTTATTCATGGTACTTGATAGCGACAACGGCAAACCTTACTTTTCTCTGCGACAATGCCCCGAAAGATTCAAGACTTCGCACAGCAGTCTTTGATCAAACCTGTTCTTGTGAATGTCGGCCGTGCTGGCGCCGCGAATTTGGACGTTCTTCAGGTGGTGGAGTATGTTAAGCAGGAGGCGAAGATGGTTTACTTGCTGGAGTGCCTTCAGAAAACTGCTCCTCCGGTTATTATCTTCAGTGAGAACAAAAATGAAGTTGATGGTGGGCTATTATCTTCTTCTTCAAACGTCGAACTTCTCATCTTTTACCAGATATACAAGAATACCTCCTGCTGAAAGGTGTCGAGGCTGTGGCAATTCACGGTTCAAAGAGTAATCATTTTTCCCCATTGCCAATTATGGATGTCCTTACTTTTGTCTTTAGCCCAGGAAGAACGACAATACGCCATTAAATCGTTTAAGTCCGGCGCCAAAGATGTTATGGTGGCTTCGGGCGTTGCTTCTAAGGGCCTCGACTTCAACGATATCCAACACGTCATCATCTTCAGCATGCCCAAGGAGATCGAGGACTATGTGCATCAAATTGGCCGTACGGGACGTAGCGGAAAGACTGGCATAGCTACGACGTTTGTGAATATGACAACACCAGAGCAGACACTTCTAGATCTGAAATATTTGTTGATGGAGGCTGGACAGAAGTATGTTTCTTGTCTTGTTGCAATGTGTCTTACTGACATGTGACAGGGTTCCGCCCTTCCTGCAGACCATCGATGATCCTCGAGCAGCACAGGGTGGCTCGCTCAAAGGTTGTCCCGTATGTGGAGGTATGCAAGATATTTAATTAGCAGGAATTGCTTGTTGATTACAGCATCAGGCCTTGGACATGGGATATCGAATTGCCCGAAGTTGGAAGATGCTCAGAGACGACAAATGGCATCGCACAGAGCTGCTGATGATGGAGGGGGTTATTGAACCCATGTACGGCGTTCTGGATTACATTGTCGCGATTCGCTGTTATCGTTCTGCAGTTATCTTCTATGCTACCTTATGTAAACGTCTCCCGCTCGCGAACAAGGTGGCATGACCATATAACTTAAGAATTTAAACAGGGCTCCTTGAATGTTCTTGCAGACGAGGAAAAGGTATGGATGATAAAGGACAAGAAATGCGAACAGGGATACACACAACGCTAATGCTGGGGATTGGTCTTGAGCTCGTCGAGTAGTCAAACAGTAGCGTAAACGAGACAAGCATCTTTCTGGAATGAACAAAATGGCTAAATGAGGTGGTCGCAGAAACAGTTCTTATTTTCCAAGTCGAGAGTGGGTTAACGTAGAATAAGTATCGAACTGTTTGTTTTGCGAGTTGAAGAATTGACCTGTAAACTACACCATGCTGAGCAACCTGCAGTATTGTATACGGGTGCTTACCTTGTCCCAAGCTGACGGACGAGGAAGGGGAAACGCCATGACCTGGTACCAAACCACCATCGACCGTTCACATGACGACATGACATAAATTAAGTCCAGAGAGATATTGTCAGGGAAATGTTATACACAGCATCATATTGTAAATGCTAACAAGGCAGCTAAGAAAAATGCAGGTGAGGATAGGTCATGAGTTACAATAAGTCAACAACGCCCCTGGTTTCAAAAAGTACGAGTCGTACAGGTCATCGTTATCTGAGCCATAAGCCAAATCAAATGGTATCCATACAAAACAGAATATAGCCCTGGATCATGAAGCAATTCCAACTGCCTCAGGTTCCTCAGATGCGACGGGGGTAGCCTCGTTGGTGGACGAAGAGGTATCGGCAACTTGAGTGCCATTTGCCGGGCTAGCAAATCCAGCTACAGATGGTCCTCCGCGCCCGCGCCCGCGACCTCTCGATGGTCCTCCTCTGCCACTTCCTCGACCTCTCCCTCCCCTATGCACAGACGGCGAGGAATTTGGAACTGTTGCAGATCCATCAGCTGGAGTAGGGTGCCTCGCCTTTTTCCCATCACCCGGGGGCTTCCCAGAGTCCCATTCACGATTCTGAATCTTGTCCAATTTTCTCCGAGCATTCTGCTCGCGGGTGCGGTCAACGCCATCCTGCACTTTGCGCTGATAGGCTTGACGCACACGGTCGGTTTCCTGAGTCTTCTTGAACGCGTCTTCGTCCGCTTGCACGTCCTAATCATGCAATGTTGGTTGATTTATGTGGCGAATATACGTGCCACTTACAATTCTGCGTTGTTTGATCTTCTCATTCTGCTCCTTGATACGCTGCATCCGTTCAGCAAGCGCTTCTTCACTGAGTTTCTCCTATGAACCGGTTAGCAGGACATATCATACTATCTTGGTATTGCATACCCTCTGCGCTCCGCCCGTGTTGACGCGCTCAGGGTTCACATAAGGCTTCTTCTTCTCCTTCACATCCCTTGATTCCACATCTGCTGGCTGACTTTCTAGCGCCTGTGATTCGTCTGCATCGGTCTGAGGATGTTCTGCTGTCTCTTTGATGGAAAGATTGTTGAAATCAAGGCCAAGGGAGTTTGTGGAGGACTCAGCCATTGTGGTCGACAGTAGACGCGACCGAGGGAAATCTGTAATAGTACTGCCGCGGAGAGAATTTGACCCAGAGAAGTCCACGGACAGTCCTGTCAGTCCAGCGATGATGTGGGAAATCAGAGCCTTATATGTCTTGATAAGATAAATGATACCATAAACATTTAAATCACTAACGCATCATCGCCCCACTGATCCTAAAGTTAACGACGACCATGTCTCTCTCGAACAAGCTCTCTATCACAGATCTCGACCTCAAGGGCAAGCGTGTCCTCATCCGCGTTGACTTCAATGTTCCCATGCAGGATGGCAAAATCACTAACCCTGCTGTGAGCACTTCCCACTACACATATACCCTTGCTAAAAGGGCTGTAGCGTATTGTGGCAGCGTTGCCCACTATTAAATATGCTCTCGACAATGGTCAGTACTATGTATGCATGTGAAGTGCTGTCATAAAGCAAATCTTTCTATCTGTCTAGGCGCGAAGACCGTTGTCCTCATGTCCCATCTCGGCCGCCCCGATGGCAAAGTTGTTGAGAAGTATTCCCTCAAACCAGTCGCTGGCGAGCTCAAGAAGCATCTTGGAAAGCCCGTAATCTTCCTTTCCGACTGCGTGGGCCCTGAGGTTGAGAAGGCCGTGAATGCTGCTGAATCTGGCTCTGTCATCCTTCTCGAAAATCTCCGCTTCCATATTGAGGAGGAGGGTTCTGTCAAGAACAAAGATGGTACGAAAATCAAGGCTGACCCTGCCAAGGTTGCAGAGTTCAGGGAGGGCCTTACAAGACTAGGCGATGTCTACGTCAACGATGCCTTTGGCACAGCTCACCGTGCTCACTCGAGTATGGTCGGCGTTAAATTGCCACAACGAGCCGCAGGTTTCCTTGTCAAGAAGGAGCTCGAGTACTTCGCAAAAGCTCTTGAGAATCCTGACCGGCCTTTCCTCGCTATCCTTGGAGGTGCTAAGGTCTCCGACAAGATTCAGCTGATTGAAAATATGTTAGATAAGGTGAGTGGTGTGATTTTTTACTCGGCCGCAAATCGGACGTTCATCGCTTGGGCTTTCTGCGCTTGCTTTAATAGGTTAACTCTCTTATTATCTGCGGTGGCATGGCTTTCACGTTCGCAAAGACATTGGACGAGGTGTCCGTGAGTTATACGGATAAATTTTGATAATGTGTGATCACTCACGTCATTATCCAAGATTGGAGACTCCCTTTTCGACCAAGCCGGTTCTGAAAAGGTTAGAGCCCTTGTCGAAAAGGCAAAGAAGAACAATGTGAAACTGGTTTTCCCCGTCGACTACATCACTGCTGACAAGTTCGATAAAAATGCGAATGTGTGTATTTCGCCTCGGATCTGCTGTTTGCGTTGACTGTTCTCGTAGACCGGGACTGCGACTATTGCTGAAGGCATTCCTAGTGGGTGGATGGGCCTTGATGCTGGCCCGAAGAGCCGCGAGCTGTATCGCCAGACAGTACTCGAGGCCAAGACCATCCTATGGAACGGGTACGTGTAAACACTCACGAAACAATATTTTATCTTAATGTCCATAGTCCTCCTGGTGTGTTTGAGTTCCCTGCTTTTGCAGAGGGCTCGAAAGCTCTCCTCGATGCAAACGTCGAGGCTGCGCAGAAGGGCGCGACTGTCATCATCGGTGGTGGTGATACTGCAACGGTTGCAGCGCTCTACAACGCTGAGGACAAGATAAATCACGTCAGCACAGGCGGAGGTGCTAGCTTGGAGCTGTTGGAAGGCAAGGTGAGAATCATAAAGTCTCGTCACCCTGAACCAAGTTAGCTGATTAACATGAAGATCCTGCCTGGTGTGGCTGAGCTTAGCGAGAAGTAACTCGATGAGGGAAGAAAGATGGCTTGTTTATAGAGTGGTTTGTACCTTACTGCGCCGGTCAATAGAACTACGATGGAATTGTACTAAATATATCAGTTGGGAAAACACGTATTTGAGCACAAATGTGAAAGCAGCATACGCAATTAAGATGATAGCTGAATATTAAAGGGCAAAGAGACCCGTCAGTCTCTTGTGTGAATGATATCGAGAGTCTGCAACGAACTACTTTACCACGTGCTGTGAACAAGAAAAGGTAATTAGCTAATCAGCTCTGTCTGAATGTTATTTTTGGTAGCAAGCCTAAGCAGGAAATATTAGATAATCACTTCTCCTGAAATTCAAGCATTCGGGTTGGGGCTTGCGATCGACGTCCGCTCAGTTTTTTGGCAAACACTTTCTGACATTATAAGCAACGGATGGCTCGGAGTCGACGTCGCATTACACGTTCTGCAACTCAAAAGTCACCAGAACGCTCGCCAAGCTCATCACGTTCATCGTTGACACCGATGGAGGACGAACCAGAGCCCACGCAGGCGGAATCGACACCAACTAAGCCAGATGAAGATGTGTGCCCATCATGCAGAGAAGGCGTACAGGGCGAAAAGAGTAGCTGGATACGCTGTGATGCCTGCAAGATTTGGTTCCATTGGGCATGCGTAGAGAACGGAAGTGACCTCGAGTTGATTAACAAATGGTGCACACTAGACATGAATCAACTGTGTATGATTTATCTAATACTGGATGCCATGAAACAGGTTCTGCGGGCCATGCATGGCAGAGAAGCCGTCGCGTGTGATGACGCTCAAGGTTCCTGCACGCAAGTCCTCACGGAAGCGTACACAATTGGACTACGCGAACCTCAACGCAGGAGTCGAATCCGACCCGAGTAGATGGTTACGAGTCATCCAGAGCAAGCCAATCAAGGACGACAATTTCAGGAGAATGAAGGGTGCCGACGTGGGCCTGGAATGGTTGGAGAACGACGAAGCTGCGATGCATGAACCAATTGTAGTGGAGAATCCGGAGGGACTGAGAATGAAGATGCCTCCACCCGAATTCTCGGTTCAAGACGTCGCGGATGAAGTTGGCCACGAAACACCTGTGGAAGTCATTGGTGAGTGTGTTGGTCCACGGAGTGTATGTGTGGCTGATGTGTGGCTTAGATGTTGCCTCACAGTCAAACTCGCCTGGATGGACGTTAGGCCGTTGGGCTGAGTACTATAATACAGAACCTTCCAAACGAGACAAGATCCGTAACGTGATATCGTTGGAAATTTCAGGGACAAAACTTGCAGACCAAGTGTTACCCCCAAGACTTGTGAGAGAATTGGACTGGGTTGAAAAGTTCTGGCCAAGTACACGTAAAGGGAAGGGGCATGCATACCCCAAGGTGCAGCTGTATTGTCTCATGGGCGTCGCTTCCGCGTGGACAGTGAGTGAGCATTATTTTTTGTTGTGACGGTGCTCCAAAAATCGGCCGTAGGATTGGCACGTAGATTTTGCTGGCTCGTCAGTGTATTATCATATACTTCGTGGATGCAAGGTCGGTCTCTGAACTATATGCTCCGTCCTTCTGACAGGTTGGGCTTTTACCCCAGGTATTCTACTTCATACGTCCCACGCCAGCCAATTTACAAGCGTACGAACGATGGTCTGGGACTGAGATGCAAAGCAATGTCTGGCTAGGTGACATGGTGGACGAGGTGGTGAAGGTCACTCTTCACGCAGGCAACACGATGATAATACCAACAGGGTGGATACATGCTGTGGTGAGCGCCGCCGCCGCTATCGTCTCCAAGATTATGAAAGATCAGCTGTTCCTTTAGCACACCCCAGTAGATTCTCTAGTCTTCGGCGGAAATTTCCTACACTCTTACAACATTGCAACGCGTGAGTTGGCTTCTTGCTACTCTTTTTCATACCATAGACTGACATTGGCCCTCATGATACAGAGCTGAAAGTGATTGACATTGAGAAAGCAACGCATGTGCCCAAAAAATTCAGGTTTCCGTTGTTTGTCAAGTGAGATTTTTCTTCATTTCTGTTAAGCTTTCTGAGCATCGATTGTTTAGGCTCTGCTGGTATGTAGGCGACAAATATTTGCGAGACCTGAAATCGAAAGAAGAGTTTCCTCCTCGTGTTCTGGAATCTCTTGAAGCTCTTGCCCATTTTCTCGTGTCGGAGTCACAAGCCATGGAACGCGGGACGGAGGTAGCCAAACGGGAAGCCAAGGAAAACGTCCCAAGTGATCGCGTGAAGGACGCACCAGCGATGGCTCGTGAGCTGAGGTGGCGTGTGCGGCTTGCAGCAGGAGCGACGAGCGATGATGAGGACATCGGGTGCCTAGTCAAGAAGAATATGGTGAATGGTCACAAACGGAAGCGGTCGCCCACTAGTGCAGCTGTGAGTGTACAGTTCAGGAACTTCCAACCCAAGGGATGGGATGTGGTCAATGAACTTCCCCGGGAATCAGACGAGCGGGTCATGAATATTCACCCCCCAAAGACATCGGATATGTGGGAACGAGAATGGACGGAGTGGAATAAAGAGTTTGAAGGTCAGGAACATGAGGAACGGGCGACTGTGGAGACAACGAGAGATGTGATGATCAAAGTTAGGAAGACTGAAAATGGGGTAGAAAGACAGCGGATAGAGCGGGTGATGGAAAAGTGGGTTTGGAAACCTGAGTCTTCGAAGCCAGAAGGTGTTCCTCAAGATGTCGAGATGAAGCCTATAGAAGACGCGCCCCTAGGATGCGAAGAAGTGACGAAGGAAGAGGAACAGGGGGCTGAAGTTCATGTCGCTTCGCCGCTGGAGACAACTCAAGCGATGGAGGTGATTGCTTAGCTAGAAGCTTATTGTCCTTCCTGCATGATCAATTGCTCTATCAATACCTGATCTTTGAGGAGTGTCGTGTTGTCTTTAGTAGAACGTGTGATTCATTTGCCCTGGGAAATCCACTCGGACAACCTCGGTAACGTTAACGGTAACTTGTAGTCTTGCTGGCAATCCTGGCTCATCAGCCGCCTGCCTTTGCTGGTCGGCGTAGTCTCTGTCATCGTCGTGGTTCATAGTCTTCAAGGTTTTCTTTCAATTGCGCTCAGTGCTCGTCAATTACTGAGACGTTTGTTTCGACAGGTTTTTCTCTGTTGTCTGTCGGCTTCTTGTTCTGCTCTGCTAATCATGTCCGACCCCGACTCATCGTTGGCCTATGACCAGCCCGAACACGACTCACAAGAACACCTACCCGTTGAGAGTGCATATTGGGATCACAGTGGAATACCTCTGAACGGTCAACAAAACTGGGCACCGGCACAGCACGCACTACAAGGCCCTGCTGCTAATCACTATGGTGCAAACAACCATCTTCCAAACCCTGGTTAGTGATGTTCAAGCGCTCTGTATTCTATCGTTGCTCATCGTTTTGTCGTCTCAAGCCTTTACACGCCACACTAATCTCTCCGTACCTTCCCTGCCCTCCCACAGTCAAAGATCAGAATATGACGACGTGCCACCACTGCCCAATTTTAATCCTTCAACTCTCGTAGACAGCATGAATGCAATGCACTTAAGCGACCCCGTACCTCGGGGAACAAGCGCAATGTCATACAGCTCTGACCCTGTTCCTCAGTGCAGGAACTTCCATGTCAATGCAATCCCTCTCCCCCGGTCAGCGCGGTCCATACCCGCCGCGATATGCGAGCACGTTGCCATCAGCGCCTAACATGAATGTTACCCGCCCTCTACGACTTCGATATCCAGCCGAACGTTCGCACACAGTCGATGAAGCCTCACTTTACTCCAACGATCGCCATAGTGACCTCTCTGTGGATACAGATCTTGTGGATATGCATAATTACGAGAACCAAGGGCAAAGTCCATACCCTTCCTCAGAAGGTTCCGTTGCACCCTATTCTCAACCCCCACCCTATCCGCCGAGACAGTTTCAAGTTGGGCGGCAGGGCGCACAGGCAGGTTTGCCTCCCGCCTACTACCCTCCTGGCCCAGGTCCTACACACCCAGGTCCCTCTCATCAAAACGAATATGACTACCTATATGCTGCCGCATCTGACGTCCTCGGTATGGGCCCTCCGCCACCACAGCACCACATGCCGGTTTATCCTGCCGGTCCTGCGTGCGGAAGCCAAGCATCCCTTCCTGTAAGCCAATCCACACCCTATCTCGCTCCCCCCGGTTCAGGACCCTATGGCGGTAGTGCGGGGATGTTGCCCTACGGCGGCCCACCTAACCCGTCAGTACCCCAAGGACTAGATGATCCTGAGTTTGAGCTTCGACCCTCATCGTTACAACGCTCTGCCTCCACATCAGTTGATCCACGCACCAAGAAAACGAAGGCAGTTGATCTTACAGCTCCTCCATTCACGAAGGAATATATCGACCAGTACCGGCAGCGTATTAAGGCTGATCCGGACCCTGAGGCTCACTTCTTATATGCAAAATATCTTATAGATGCTGCTAAGAAGATAAGAGCGGACGTGAAGGACCAGAGAGCTGTAAAGAAGTATCGTGACTTGCTCCTCCAAGAATCTCTCAAGACCATCCGTCGATTAGCGGAGCAGAAAGAAGCTTATGATGATGCACAGTTCTTCCTAGCCAATTGTTTCGGGACAGGATCTCTGGGTCTTCAAGTGGACCATGAGCGCGCGTATCACTTGTACCTACAAGCCGCAAAACAGAATCACGCAGCAGCTTCATACCGCGTCGCTGTCTGTAATGAGATTGGAGCAGGCACGCGACGGGACCCGCAGCGGGCTTCTGCGTTCTATCGGAAAGCAGCATCACTGGGTGACACTGCCGCGATGTACAAGTTGGGCATGGTTCTTCTACTTGGGTCTTTGGGAGAGCAGAAGAACCCAAGAGAAGCTATTAACTGGTTGAAACGGGCTGCAGAGCAAGCCGACGAGGAAAATCCACATGCACTTCACGAACTCGCCATGCTTCACGAAATGCCCAACTCACAATTGGTTATTCACGACCCCGCGTATGCCAAGTCACTATATGAACAAGCAGCACGCCTAGGTTATACGCAATCCCAGTACAAGCTTGGACAATGCTACGAGTACGGCACACTGACATGTCCTGTTGATCCTAGGCGATCGATAGCGTGGTACACCAAGGCAGCAGAGAAAGGGGATTCCGAGGCTGAGCTGGCTCTCAGTGGATGGTATCTGACAGGAAGTGAGGGCGTGTTAAAGCAGAGCGATTCTGAAGCGTATCTGTGGGCACGTAAAGCTGCCAACAAGGGCTTGAGTAAAGCGGAGTATGCTGTGGGGTACTATGCCGAGGTGGGGATCGGAATCAAGCAGGATATCGAGTTCGCCAAGAGGTGGTATATGAGAGCAGCAGGTGTGTACAAGTGTTTTATTATCTGCGCATTGTTTTTGGCTCAATGTTCTGTATAGCGCAAGGGAACAAACGAGCCATGAACCGACTGACGGAGATGAAGCGTATGGGCAATAAGCGCTCCAACGTTGGACGTCCGACGCGACAGCAAGCCAAAGACGAATGTGTTATTTGCTAGTAACCCTGGAATGATTGCTATCAATTTCGCTATCGAGTTTATCCTTTTTCCTGATGGCTGCCCTTTCTTAATTATTATCAATGGCTTCTATCAACTGATCACTTGAACACTAGTACTCTGGATATTGATCTTGTACCTGTTGTCAATGTTTTGCAGCCCAGCTATGTTACTAAGTATGAGGGAATCCATGACATGTGCCACACTGGCCTTCCAACGTTCAGAAACAGTACTTGTCACTATCGACGCTCTCGTCATTTATTTTCATCACTATCACTATGGTATCTTCAAACAGTGGCATGCAAGATGTTGAGAATAACTTCATTTGCGCCCCAGTCCGTCGCTGATTCGCTAGATATCAAGGTTTCCCTTCTGGAGCACATTGCCAAAGCACAATGCTTGAATGAGCAAGACGAACACACATTGCAGTCCATACTTTCCTCGAAAGCACGAAACACATCGCCTGCATACCTTGACAGCGATGCAGATGCAGAGTTGCTATTGAACATCGAGGTTTGTACTATTCGCATCACATTGATCTAGGCAGCATTGACGCAGGTCGTCGCAGTTTAACCAGGCAGTTCGTGTACGATCACTGGTCATTCAGGCGCAGGATCGAGGACCGGAGAAACTCAGGCTTCGTATCAACTGCTCCGCTATCGACTTCACCAATTTCGAGGACTCGGAGGATACCCAGGTCATCGAGTTAAAGGCGGATCAAGTCTCGAAAGATGCAACGACAACCAAGTTGATTACACTTCATCCCACAAAGTTCAACCATGTGAACTCGCTTCATGTGAGTCCTGAGTCCTGACCATCATCACCACTGTGTGAGGATTTCGACCTTACCCTTACGGCATACCGAACAGATCCTCGTCGAATCTGACCACGATAATACCAGAATCGATGCACTCGACATCTTGGGTACGCTTGTCCAGTAAGTTGTTTACATTCGGGTGTTAATTTCATGTATAATAACGTTGCCACCATGAAGCGCAACGAAGAATCTTAGTGGACTTGCACAACAAGAGGACTAGAATGAGCATGCATTTCGCAACTTGTTACTTTGAGGCAATAATATGGAGTCAGTGCACAACGAGCATGACACTGCACCCTTCCGTAGCTAGAAGATTCTCAAGCTCAAATATCACTAATAATGTGCGGGACTTTCATTTCCCGTCAATCTGAAGCCACATACTCCACCTCTTTCGTTCTTCTTCGGAGCCTTCGAACATCCAATTGACCTTTATTATTTCTGAAAAGCCCTCCGTCAGTTGGGGCTCCTCGTAGTGGTTCTTGAAGCCTATGAAGGCAATGTATGGTATGATGTCGCGTCTCGACTAATCGTCACTGAGGTTAGATTTGGGCAAGAGATCGTGAGGTATCTTACATTCACCTCTATTGAAGGATGAACATATGCGCGGTAGAGGTTGTTGTGCCATGCCAGATCCATTGAACCAACGAACTCAATACATCTGATGCAAAACGTTATGTTCCTGTAGGCGTAAGTAGGCAAAAATATTTACCGCACAGGAATTTGAAGTTTCTTTGCAAGATCCAAATAATGCTTTCTAGTTGCAATATCTCTATTGGTATTGTCTGCCGGACCGTCATGTGTTTGGTCAGTTCATACAAGAACTACGCGTACTCACCAACTACACAGCTTGTACCGGATTTGAGTGCTACTTCAGCTGCTTTAATGCATTTGGAACGACTGCCTAATGTATCTTGGTTGATGTGGGTGTACCCAGCAGGCGCAAAATGCCTCCGAAAAAAGGTCGATTTTCCGAGGCATGGAAAGCCCGAAAATACCACTAGCTCAGTCCCTGCAGCATCAGGAATGATTTGTGCCGTAGGGGGTTCAAGTAACGGTACTGCTTCACGAGTCAACTTCATTTTTTAAATTATCCAAGAAACCAGCGAACACTTAGGGAGACCAGAAACGCGGAATCCGGGAAGGGTATATGGCGCTGAGGGCAATTGGAGAAAATATTCCTAGAAGGTTTCAACATGACATAAACACCTTCGAGCGATTGATTCTCACTTCTGGGGTGTAGAATGGAATACCAATATTAATCGCCCATTTCCTGTCAGTTGATGCAAAGTCGTTAGTACGACCCGCAGCATCTCCAACAAAGAATGAAGCCTTATTATCTGAAAGTGATGCGCATAAGACACTCGCAATGCATCCTACTATTCCTATGGTACTCACCTATCTGAACACCGTCTTCTGCAAAAATATGTTCGAGCTCATCCCACATCCCTGGCATAGGCTTGCGGAAGCCATCTTTGGCAGACGCAGCGTATATTCGGAAAGGTACGCTGGGAAGCTGTTCTCGTCTATGAAGGAACGGATGAAGGAAGGAGACAGCAAGGCTTACAGCAGCGGAGATGAGGGGAATCTTCTTCTTCCAGTCCTCCAGATGATGTTGTTTTAATGCTTGATTGGATATCAATATGATTGAGTATCTGCGAGGATTGAGTCGTGACCTGGCTTGGCATACTTTGGACATACCCTTCTTGATGTAATTCCTCCAACTTTACTGGCACACTAGCTCTCCACCACTCCCAGTGCAACGCGGCTTCCTTGCTTCGATTTTTGTGATTTGACTTGATCACTGTTCCATCAAGATCGAATGCAGCTACTTTCGATGTGCTTGGTGGTATCAGATTGATTCCGTGCAGACACGTGCGCTTCGGGCCTAGAGCAGGTTTCAGCCATTGGAATGAGGACGCCGTAGAGCTACTGGCGCTAGGTTTGGTGAAGAATGGGTGTACTGGAATAGTGCATCAGATGGGATTTTACACACAACAGCTGTCACAGGCTCACTCTTGGCTACCTTTCGAGAACTCGCCATGGAGCCACTGTTATCAGACTCGCCACCCAGATCTGAAACAGTTCGCTTCCTCGATTCTGCAATAAGGTGACTGAGCAAACAAGTTACAGGGGCCACTGTCCTCACTTCAAGTTCGAGGGCCGAGGCTTGAATGAAGTACAGTTGAACGAACCTGATTGCTGCATTTGCTCCGAATCTGACATACCCTTGGGAGCTGTTGGCATGTCGTGCAATTCTACACTGACGCCCCCGAGCTTGCGTACCGCGCAGACGCGTCGTGGATTCAGTGTCACACGAACGCGGAGTGTCTTCAGCGTGCGACTGTCTTCCTTTTATTAGTCTGCCTAATACGGAAGATTATCTTCAGCGAAGACGATGGCGAGTGGGATATCAGTCCCGCCAATTGGCCCAAAGTCACTAAATTATTGGTAGAAGAGTCCAAGAGTACCGTTGACATAATGCTAAAGCCCACCGACATAATATCAATGCGACCTCCTCGAGAAAAGTCGACTCAGAACTTCGTCAGAACTATCTCAGAGTGTTTGTCCAGTAAGGATCAGAATTTCAAGATGTCGTTACATTATATAGACATAACGTAGAAATACACGAGAGAGCTACTAGCATGATACAGAACTGAGTAGTGCTTGACAATATCTGGTGTGAAACCATCATCTTTTAATCATGACCCTCTCTCGATACAATGCTGGAGTCAGGAGGGTGATTGTCCTTGATGTCGAGAGAATCACTCTCAGAGACCGTGATGTGGACAACATCACCATTTCTGTTGGATATCATCAGCACACGCGAAAAAATTGGAACACATGATAGTCTTCGTACCTGATTGTCCCTCTCAACAACTTTTGTGCAAGAGGAAACAGCACATTAGTACGCACGACGCGAGCGATCGCGCGGGCACCATAGATATCAGAATAACCCTTCTCGGCAAGCCAGTTGCGAGCTTCTGCGTCGATATCGAGCGTTATCCTTCTGTCCCTCAAGCGTGACGCAACATCCTTCAGCCTCAATGCTACGACATCTAGAATTGATCGGCGAGACAACTTGTTAAAAACAAGTATTGAGTCAAGGCGATTGAGAAGTTCAGGGGGAAAGTATTCCGTCGTGCGTTCCATGACAAGATTCTTGGCCTCCTCCGTGACGACACCATCTGGATCACAGGAGGAACTGTGAGCTAATATATCACTTCCGAGATTGCTTGTGAGACAAATGATGGTGTTCTAGGAATGGATTGAGTGTGCCATACTTCACCGACAAAGAACTACATACCTTGAAGTCCACCTTTCTGCCCTGACTGTCAGTAATGCTACCTTCATCGAGTATTTGTAAAAGGATCATAGCCACATCCTTCGTAAAAAGCGGCTTTAAGCACAGTTTGAACTATAAAAGCAGAGATGAAATACCTTGTGCGCCTTCTCAAGCTCATCAAGCAAAATGACCGCTGTGGGCAAGCATTAGTGGAATATAGGTACTAGGACTGGATCAACTTACCATACGGTTTGCGTCGAACAGCTTCCGTCAACTGACCTGCACACAAGGGATGAGGCTAAATGACATATGAGAGAACAACTAACCGCCTTCTTCAAAACCGACATAACCTGGAGCGGCTCCAATTAGTCTCGAGATCGTGTGTCGGTCGTGGTACTGTGAATTTACGTGAACCAGTCATGTAGAACAGCGAAAGGAAAAATTCAAACCACGAACTTCGGACATATTAATATTGATACTAGCAAATTTGCATGAGTTCAGTATAATGTCGAAAGAATATTTTGGACGGGACTTACAGTCCTCTCTGCTCGTCGTTGAAAAGAAACCCAGCTAGTGCCTTGGCCAATTCTGTCTAAAGGTTCATAAAATCAGAATTATGTAGCGAACAAGGCCAAACATGCAATTTACTTTGCCAACACCAGTAGGACCAAGGAATAGAAATGAAGCCACAGGTCTGTTCGGCGCCTGCAACCCAGCGCGTGAGATGCGGACAGCATCGCTAATCGCAGCAACAACATGATTTTGGCCAACAACTCGTTCTTTGAGGGCATCCTCCATCTATCGAGAGTCATTGATGATTCAAGTAGAGACTGGCAGTGAGACGAACATGAACGAGTTTGTCTCTTTCACCTTTCAGAAGGTTCTGAACAGGAATGCCTGTGGCCTTCGCAATGACGCGAGCGATATCGTTGCTTGTCACGCGGTCATGCAGCATTGACAGAGGACTCTCTTCAGCATCGTCCTTCATCTCGCTGTCCTTTGGAAGCTGTCGTTCAAGCTCGGGGATTGTGCCAAAGCGTAACTGGGATGCTTTGTCATACTGACCGTGACGCTGAGCAACTTCGAGTTCGTGCTTTGCGTCCTCCAGCCGCTTTTTGAGATCCTTGATCCGATCTAGTCTTGCCCGCTCTGGAGATGAATTTAGAAACTATTGTATCTCATTGACAGCGGGATAGATTGCACCATTTTGCCAGATAGCAGTGAGCTCCTGCGCCCCCTCCTTCTTGATGCGCAACTCCTCCTCAACCTTGGCCCTGCGCTCGACACTGAAAACATCGATCTCGTTCTTTAGGCTTTCAAGTTCAATTTGAAGGGTCATAATCTCGCGTTCAAGCGCTTCCAGTTCATCTGGTTTTGATTCTTGAGCAAGGCGGAGGGCTGAAGCAGCTTCATCGACAAGGTCAATTGCTTTGTCAGGCAGATACCTGTCTGATATGTAGCGCGCGCTGTAGACAGCAGCTAGTAAATAATTGCATAAGCACTAAAGACACGGTGCAAATATTAATCCTGACCTGTGACAAGAGCACTGTCTGCAATTTCGACACCGTGGTGTACCTCATAACGTGATTTAAGTCCCCTTAAGATTGAGATGGTAGATTCAACAGTTGGTTCATCGATCGAGACAGGCTGGAAGCGGCGCTCAAGAGCTGCGTCTTTGCCGATCGTTTTCCTATATTCGTCCGCTAGGTGCGACTTGTTATAGAACTTATCTCGAAAGAAAGGTCCTACATACGTGTTGTAGCTCCGACGAGCTGGAGACCACGAGCTAGAGCAGGTTTAATCATCTGACCGGCATCAATGCTCCCCTCCGCTTTTCCTAGGTTGAAAAGCGAATCTAAAACGATATTCAGCTTTGCTCGAGGACGAAACCGAAGATTTACTCACGGACTTCGTCAATGAAGCAGATCACATTTCCTGCCTAATGATTTGATGAAGTTAAATAGAAGGCTGCTACCGAAGGGATTGGAGATAGCTCACCTCCTCCTCGATATCACGGATAAGAGCCTTGAATTTCTCCTCAAACTGTCCACGAATCCCGGAACCAGCCATAATAGCTGCTAAGTCAATCGACAGGACACGCTTGTTCTCCAAAGACTAAACAGACCTTCGTTAGTAGTTATTGTGCGCGTGTGGGCGCTGAAGCTGATGAACGTACCTCCGGTACTTCTTTGGCAACAATCCTGCTTGCGAGACCCTCCAAGATGGCAGTTTTCCCCACACCAGGGGGACCAATCAACTACAAAAATTATATAATTTTCGTCCGAATGCAACGGGGGTCGACTTACCACAGGATTAGACTTGGTACGTCGGGACAATACTTGGAAAGTTGGCATCACTCCTTTAAATTGGCAAGGTAGAACTCACTCTGTATAGTTCTGCGGATTTCTACAAGAAAGTCGATTCAAGGGGAGGCAAAGCTACGACGGTGTACATGCACTTACCATCGTCACGCCCAATGGTGGGGTCTAACTTCCCATTCCTGGCCATTTCCGTCAGGTCAACACTCTGAGGCGAATGTGAGTGACAAGACGTGGTATGGCGACAGACTTACATATTCTTTCAGCGCGTCTCCTTTCTGGTGCTGCTGCATAAACCCAGGGAACCCACCAGCACCAGCACCCCCTGCACCTCCTGGAGGCTGCGATGCGTAGCTACGCACATAGTAACCTGGTATTACTGGCTGCCTGCTACTGCTGTGTTGCTGAATGCGCCCAGCGAGAGCGAGAACTGCTGGGCCATGACGTAGTCTAAATGAGATCCTTGAAAGCTTCGCGGATTTCGGGACTACTGAGATGACTTTACGTAACATGCAACCGAAGACTAAAAGACTAAAAAATGACACTGAGCAATCGACTTGGAGATTTTTAGCTAGAGAATGTGTCTGGAAGAAAGAATTTCGCGAGGGACAGAAGGTAACGGAAACAGACAGACTATCATTGAGTCGCCCCTGTTGACGATTTTTGGTATTATTACGTTTTCAGCTGTCTTTTCCCATAATATTTGGCTCAGAATGATTTGCAATACGCTATGCACCAAATATTGCGAAAAGTGAAAAGAAGTGCTATCTATCTCACTTCAACTTTCCTACCCTCCCAGTCTTCCAGCAGCTTGGCCTCAACGCGTTTGTCGAGATCTTTGACCAGAATGGAGGCTACGTTAATTAATCGTAGGACTTCCTCTGGTGCCGTCGGAACCCCCCCTGCTTTGTGTAGGACACATATTTCGCGCTGAGCATTCATCGCTATGCTCATCAAACCTGCACTCAGCCTCTGTTCAAGCAAAGATGGGTCTACCACGGGTCGCGTCAATGCATCCGGGAAGAATGCGAACGTCACACAGAACGGGGTGTGATGTATTGCAAGCGAGATGGGTGCGCGTTCGGATGGTGAGTGCTGTTGGAAAAAAGTCAACAATATAGGCAGTAAAGTCGTCTCAATACGCACGACGATAACTTCATCTCCAATGACTTCCACTTCTGGCTTTCTGAAGTGCTTAAAAGCCACGATGCCAGCGAGACACGAACAGTCAAGTATGTTACCAGCATCGGCGAGGACATGAACCGTCAATCGTAACTGCCAGACCTGAAATTTTCGTCGTTGACTCATTCAGCGTCATCTTACTCGCCAGACAAAGACCTGACCTACTCGTTGACCTGCCAATATGCACAAAGATTCCTTGTCAATAGCATCACTTCTTCGGAGGACCTTGTCCAACATGCGGGTAAGGGTGACCTCTTCTTCTGAAGGCCTGGTGGAAATTTTGATTATGGCAAAAAGAAAATATATGTAGATAGCACGCACCTACCGACCAGGTTCATAGTCTGGAGACGCCATAGGAGAGATTTCAGAATGTATTGTAATGATGCCTTCAAAGGGTCGTTCTGGCAGCGGTTTGACCATTTTGGCGTCTAATTGTGCAATTACACTGGCACCTGTCTTGTACTTGATAACACCCACGAATCCTCATAAAAGCTCACCGTGTTTTGCCCATGGCGCATTCTACCCATCCCAGTTCGGGGCCAAAGGTGAAAGTCGGCGTTCGGAGATCAAGCATATCGCGACCGTCTAGTCGCAGAGACTGCTTCAGAGCATCATAGAGAAACTTTTTCTCTGGAATTGATGGCGAGGGTGGACGCATATGTAGAAGGATGAGAGTGTATATGTACAAGCTGTTGATTTGGCTTGTGACAGTCTGACAGATCTGACCGTCTCAGATCAAATTTTGAAGAAAAATCCTAAAACGATCTTAGAGGATCTTACACACCCTTTCGTCACTGTTCTTCACAGCGACCATGGTTCGGCTGATCACCCACAATTTACTCGCATGCCACGTCAAAGGATGCACTACAAATAATTTTCCACTTGTATTTCAGGATGTCCAAGTTGAACTACAAGAGGCAGAATTCAACCCTGACTTCATCCGGAATATGCTGTCTCGATTGGAATGGTCTGCGTTGGTAAATGCTGCGAAGCAGGTGCGTGCAAATGCATCACAGGCCCGAGCAAGTGCTTATGACCTGTTGAGGTCGGAGACACATCGCTGCCTCCAGAACAGCCAGACATGATGGATGACGAGCTACTTCAGAAGCTTCATCATGTTTTGATGGAGGTACATAGCTATCTTGATCACTACTTCGAGTCTGTGCCAACTTTTTCCTAGATCCATGTTACTGATGGTGCGATGGTCTGTCAAAATTGTAACCACATATACCCCATATCTAATGGGATCCCAAACATGGTGAGATACGGCTTGTCTCGAGACTCTCGATTGCATAACTGATCTTTTCTGCAGTTGCTGGCCGAGCACGAAATCGGCTAAATCATGAATAAAAATTTGTAGTTTACCCTGAGATCTTGCTGTTGGCGTTCTCACCCCGATTGATGGCAAGGGGCACTATTGACCTCAAAAATGACCTTGACGTTTTCACGACCATAGGCAAAGACGATAGCCTCAGACCGTGCACGCCAGTGCGATCTGAGAACATCTCGTCTTCTATCTTTAGTACCAGTCGAATAACACATGTGTTGGAAAGGAACAGGGACAACTGTTGTCTTGCGCCCCTTCGAGAGTTCAGTAAGTACTAGGAAGTTCAAATTGATCTATGATACTAGTATTTCGTGAACAACAGTTTACATAAACTGAGTTGATTGCATGTCATATTACACACGCATCTAGATCACACGTATTATGGAGTCTCCTTCAAGGATAACCAAGCTTTGCTGCCAGTCATCGCGGCTCGTCCTTTGAGTCTGCCTTTAAAGTTCGACGCTTCTTAACATTAGCATGGAGCCCTTTGATCCAACTACACATCCGCACAGACGCTGTAAGTCCTCTCATATTGATCGCCGTAAGATGACCTCGGCGAGACAAATAACCATGATGCGGTCACAGATAATCCATTGACCGACACACACGTTCTCGTCTCACCTCATCGCAACAAGCGTCCTTGGCTAGGTCAGACTGAGCCCACCGAGCCGTCAAACCTCCCCCAGTACGATCCCGCATGTTACTTATGCCCTGGGAACACTCGGGCGGGCGGTAAGGTGAACGAAATGTACACTTCCACCATGGCATTCGAGAATGATTACGCTGCCGTTCTCCCACCCCCTGGACCTGTTACACCTCCGGCTGCACATCCACTCCTAACTGCCGAACCAATTCAGGGCGGATGCGATGTTGTATGTTTTCATCCCCGGCACGACCTCAGTCTACCGACCTTATCTTTGTCGGATGTGGAGAATATTGTGGATGAGTGGACTCGTGTTTACGTGAGGAGGGGAACTGAGCCTGGCATTAAATATGTGCAGATCTTTGAAGTATTTAACTTTGACCAGATCATCGCACAAGTCCTCACTCCATAACAGAACAAGGGAGCAATGATGGGGTGTTCCAACCCGCATCCCCATAGCCAAGTATGGTCCCTTTCCACTGTGCCCACCCTCCCCGCGAAGGAGCTTGCTTCTCTGCGCAACTATGCCTCTACCACCGACGTACGCTCTGGCGTTCCAACTGGGCCTGACGGACATGCGTGCCTATTGTGCGAGTATGTGCATCACGAACTGTCCGTCCCAGAAGAAGAAGGACGCGTAGTCATCACAAATGAGCATTTCGTTGCGCTTGTACCGTGGTGGGCGTATTGGCCCTTCGAAATCATGGGTGTGTTACAGGTTGCTTACTTGTGGCAAATACTGGCTCTGAACCCGATATCCCAGTGCTCCCTCACAAACGGCACATTTCGTCCTTTGTACATTTTACAATTGATGAGAAGCACGCATTTGCAGACATCATGTCGCGCGTGACGAAGCGCTACGATAACATATTCTCCTGCTCGTTTGCATATGCGATGGGCGTTCATCAACGACCCCTCCCCCCACGTCGAGATGTTGATGGGATATACGTACAAGATGCAGACGACATTGCACATCTGCATGTGCACTTTGAGCCTCCACTCCTACGGAGTGCTAGTGTGCGCAAATTTTTGGCAGGGTGAGTTTCACCACAAATTGTTGGCTTGTCGACATAAGCTTATATGATTGATAGCTTTGAAGTCATGGCAGAACCGCAGAGAGACCTTACTGCAGAACAAGCTGCCAAGAGACTGCGAAACTGTTCTGAAGTTCATTACCTCCAGACGTGAAGGTGAATGGACAGACTATCACATACATGTGATTGCCGCTCGTCTTGTCAATCTGCGCGGATTTGCTTCTACATAGAAGAATTCTTTTATACATAAATATGCAGTAGATTACCGTCCATCTTATCATGCGAAAACAGCATCTGCGACGTGCATGCATGGTACATTGTGAATATGAATGAGCTGTATTAAAACACAAGATAGTTCGGGTGGGTTCAAGTGCGAGGCGTTGTCTGCATGCAGCAGAAATCGGAACTCTCGCAGAGGTTCTGAACGTGAAAACTGAAGTTGTATTGAATGAATCATAGTTGTGACAGAGATTGAGTCAAGTAGTACAGCTCAGTTATGCGTGCGAGGCGTTTGCTGAAAGCAATATGTAAGATGCAGCAGAAATGGAAACTGGCAAGCACCAAACGGCGTGAATGTTTACGTTTAAACTCAGTGAGCGGACAGGAGGCCCGACAGGTTGCATTGAGTATCGAAGGTGCACGGCGGTCTTGTGGTTTATGCCGCAAACTTTTATAGCACTGGTGGTCAAGCCTTAAAATATTAGACTTCCCGGGAATCAATCAAGGTTAATCACTCGGAGGAGCTTGAAGAACCCAATGTAATGTTCTGGGAACTCGTGGTAGATAACGTTGACCCAACATTGTATATGAAGAGGTCGACCAGCTCGTAGGTATTGGCCAGGCGGGAAAGGACTTGAAGGAGTAAACAGACTGGTCGACCAGCAGGAAAAGTGCATGGAAGAGAAGAATTGAATCTGGATTCCGGAGAGTGCTCTGATACCTGGAAAGGGTGCGGAGTGCGTTATATTTTTGAGAGTGGGGAACTCGACGCTCGTCAGCATGTTGGGAGCAAGATGGAGCAGAGATGTTTCAAAAGGAAAATATAGTAATCGGCCTCCAGCAGGTGCAGCGGAGCAGTGGGCTTCAAATCTGCGCCCTGGCACACGAGAACCACGCCGGTGGACGCTGCTCCAAGGTCATTATAAGATTATATGTTGTGGAAAAGGAGGTTTCGGCGCAATGACCAGGGCCTAGTTAAGTTGGACCTCCGAGGGTCTAGTATACACCGCAAAAATGTTGTCAGCAGGTTTTGAACCAACTCCAAGAGAAACAGATTTTGACTCTGTTGTGCTAATCACTTGGCTAAGACCACTGAGATGGACTTCCGAGGAAACCATCCATGAGTCAATGTCGAGGTGTGTTCCGATAGAAAAAAACCTGTCGTTCGGCGGGTTTTGAACCTGCACAATCCAAGAAACAAATTTTGATTCTGTTATGGTAACCACTTGGCTAAGACCAGTGAGATGAGCCGCCGAAGAAACCATCTATGAGTGAATGGATGTCAAGGTGTGTTCTGATAGAACAAAAAACCTTGTCGTCCAGAGGTTTCAAACCCGCGTCCAAGAGAAACAGATTTTGATTCTGCTATTGTAACCACTTGGCTGAGACCAGTTAGATGAACCTCCGAGGAAACCGCCCATGAGTGAATGTCAAAATATGTTTCGATAGCAAAAAAGAGGCCCAGTCGTCAGCAGGCTTCGCAACTGCGCAGTCCAAAACAAACAGATTTTGATTCTATCGTAGTAACCACGTTGGCCAGGATGCTTTCAAGTTGAAATGAACCTCTGAGGAACTGTCCATGAGTGAATGCCAAAGTGTAATAAGAGGGAAAATCATTTTTCGAATCCGCACCACCAAGAGAGCAGATTTCTATTCTGTTCTGGTGCCAATTAGCTATGACCACGCATAAGGTAGACCTTGAAGGATCCGTCCACTGTGAGTGAATATTGTTCAAGGCGCCACTATAAAGGAAAAAGATTGTACATGTTGAGCAAGTTTCGAACCTGCAATATATTTATGTCCTGTCATGCTTACCACTTGGCCAAGACTGGTGAAGATAGACGTCTAGGAGTCGAAGAATATCATACACTGACAGTAGAATCACAGAGGATTAGTACGTAGTCATTTGCCAATGCAAAATGAAATGCAAAGACTGATTTTTGTTTAATTCGATGGACACAAAACATGACAGGAATAAGCGAGTCGGGGCTGGCGCCGGCACCGTTACGATATGATTTACGGTGGCTAACTCGGGCTCCACAAGACGCATGATTCGACTAAAATCGGTGCATGCGATTCTGGAGACGGTGCTTGCATTCACAATGATTTTTCGTCCTTTTCATTGATGCTGAGAGTCAAAGATCTACAGCTGGAAGTGCGGTAGGACTAGTTGGTGTGGACTGACGGAAAGCCTAGGTAACCGTGGAATTAAGGGCGGCACAGTGGCGTAGATGTTTGTGAGGTTTGGGAGCGAGTCAAACTTTCTCGTGATCGCAGTGCTTGACTGGTACGCCTGCCTAATATCGTCAACAAAATTAAATCCTAACATGGAAACAGCCAAAGTATGGGGGAGATTGTGATCCATTCCGCTTTGTGTAGTATGTGATGTCGGGTCGAGTTTTTCCCATCGTCCCGAGGACAAATATCCATAATATCAATATTACCTGAGGGCCCAGCCAGGGGTATTGTATACTCATGCTATCCGTTCGACATATCTTCCCTTGCCACTCCTACGCGATGTCATCAGTTCCAAGAAGTCTAGAGAGAAATATGAGTTTAGCATACCGTGCTTCGCTCTCAACCTCTAACAGTTTCTGTGCATACATCTCTGCGGCACGTCGGTTGATGTCAGTTGTCTCTTGTGTGTCAGGGAAACCAATGTCCCAGTAGCCGGGTGGTGTCTTGGCACGATACCAATGGTGCCGATGTCGTGATATCTCTTTCTTGTGGTGCTCGATGTCGTCACGGTTTTCTTTGCAGTCTGAGAGACTGTCAAAGGATAACCGGCGTTTCTTAGTAGGCGTTGAAGAGGGTGAACGCCAAAGTGGTTGCTGGAGGGGCTTGGGCAGCGGTCCAACGCCCTCATAGTACTGTTTGACACGCATGGAGACTGAGTAACAATGATTTTTCGAAAAATGAGACACGCACACCACGACAGCATTCACAATCGTCAGCAAGCATCTTTTTTCGCTCCTCGCGGCTCTTGACCACTTCATCAAACTGGAAGTCTACGCCGTGATTGCGTTCTTTGCATATAGTGAAGCGTGAATTGATAGTGGTCGCATCACTGTTGTTTTGAATCAGAGAGTCAATAAGCATGGCCTGGCGAAAACTTACATAGCTTGGGCATATCGCCCGCGTCTCTTGGGCGGATCCTGACGCGAGGTGGTACTCTGTAACACAGATGTGCCTGCATTAAGATTGGTGAAGGTTGCCAAAGTGTATGTAGATTGACAAGAACGCACCGACGGGTAGGTCTTCGTTTCGGACACCTTTGCCAATAGAGTGTTCGTGTATCGGAAACAGGGGTTCGAATGGAGTGGTGGGCTGCATCCCAACTTTCATTGAAACAGTCGTTTCTCTACGTGAAGCGTGGAGAGTTGATGGTACTTCCTGCTGTTTACCCAAAACATCAGGAACTAATACAACATCAGCTGAGAATAAAGACGCGTGAAAGCCTGTGTACATACGCGTCTTGCACATCTGCTTCTCCTCCTCGTCAAACGCACTCAAGTCCGGACCTATTTCTTCAAATTTACGTCGTTTGTCGATGCTAGAGACTTTCCGATAGACGTCATAGTTGCTATCCTTCAATAATGGATGCATCTCCTTGCCATCGGAACTATCGCAAAGCCACTGCTTGATAGTTCGCCATTTCTTGTAGTCGACCTTGTACCTCTCGGCGGCGCGCTCTTTAGTGGCAAGTAAAGCATCATACCGGTGTTGGAGATGTGAAAGTTCGGCCTGTAGAGATGATATCTTCAACAACAACGTGGACGTGTCATGAGTGTTTGATGCAGACATTTAAAGATTTGATGCATGTAACACGGGGTCGGAGCAGTGAGCACAATTAAGTGAAGGACTTTGGACTTGTATTGCCTAATCGAGTGTGTGGCCTGGTATAGGGTTCTAGACTTGTTCTAGATAGAGCATTACAATGGTGGCCCTTCCTATTATTGTGGTGAGTTGCAATTCAGGATTCCAGGTTGCGCAAAGAAATAGTAACTATAGGGAAACAGCCCTAGTTAGGCTATTAGATTACGGTTGAATTGTTGATCAGGTGTAAAGGGGATATCCATATGTTCTCCGTCAGACTTGTACGGTCACAATCACATCCACCGTTATCTATCGTCAGGCCTGCGATCATCAGACGGAATCTGAAGCTTTTCACTACTATGCCTGCCGCCAAAGTCATTAGTGAAGAGCCTTTGGATAACAAAGATGCGAAGTGAGAACGTCGTTCGTGCAAGTCAACTACTAATATTTAATTCATGCGTAGATGGATCCGTCTCAAGAAGATCCACTACACTGATCAAGACGGAAAACACGTATGTTTGTTATTCTCTCAGGGCGTGATGATCTCCCTCATTCATCAGTAAAGAGACTTTGGGAATCTGCCGAACGCACAACCCGCAAGGATTCTGGAATAGACGGTGAATAAGATTTGTGCTTCCTCGTTATATTACTGCACAAACGCTCATCCTTTACAGGCGTTGCCGTCCTCGCTGTCCTTCGTTCCAAGACTAACGCTTTCCCCCTCTCGACGGTCATTATAGAGCAATACCGTCCTCCTCTCGACAACATCGTCATTGGCATGCTACACTTCCCTACTGTTATCAATCCATTCGCTGATCATTTTGTCCTGTTTCTATCGTAGAACTCCCTGCTGGTCTCGTTGATGCAGGCGAAACGGCTGAGGCAGCAGCCATTCGAGAATTAAAGGAGGAGACAGGATACGAGGCCGATATGACAACCGAACCTGAGTCCTCACCGATCGTTGCCAGTGACCCAGGTCTGTATATTTTCTCAAATACAATTGGTGTACATTTAAGACATCTGTAGGAATGACCAATGCCAACATGAAACTCGTGGTTGTGGGTGTCCTCCTAGAAGATGAACTCGAAACACCTACCCCACATCTTGATGATGGTGAACATATTATCACCCGCGTCGTAGAGCTAGACCACCTCGATAGCGAGCTCAAAGGTGCGTCTCGCCCTTTGATGGAACATGATTCTAATCTTGATGTTTTCAAGCATACGCTAAAAAGGTGACACTATTAAGCAGGAAAAGTACAAATCTTTTGCTGACCCAACACCCAGGGCTTTGTAGTAGATGCTAAGCTCTCTAACTTCGCAGCAGGTTATGCAATGGCGAAGAGGATCAGCAGTGGCGCATTCCCGTGAGAATGCCAAGGCAGGTCCTGACATATAAGATGATGGACTCGAATGAAAAGAAAAATCGATTGTCGCATGTCCAGCACTCAGACTAGTGATATATAAGATTGAACAAAACTAGAGTGCTAGTGATACGATTTTTTTGCACGTTCGATGTGTGCCCTCAACTTCTGCTGCTTCTCCCTCAAGGACGCCTTCTTCTTTCCCCGTACCGCACCGCTGCTCAATATCATCATAATCGGCTTATTCCTTGCCTTCTCGCGATTTGTGGAGCTGCTTGGAGACTCTTTATTTTTCTTACCCTTCAGCGAGCCGTACTTTTCCCGTCCTTCCCGACCCTTTTCAATACTCGCTATGCGTTCCGCGTAGTCAGCTTTAGCCTTTTTACGCGGACCGAGGATATCGTTCTCAGAAATGAATGTGCCATCAGATGGCCCAGCTTGCATGGCTTTCTTGTTAGCTTCAAGGGTCGCCAGCTTCCGTTTTGCCTTGGAACCACCACCTGATTCAATAGCTTTTGTAGCAGCCTGTATGCGCAGGTCATTCAGTAATGCAAAGTCTGCGGGCGTAAGGATCTGCAATACATGTCAGAGTGTCGCACGAAGGGTAGAAAAAATAATAGTTCACTTTAGTAGTTGCCAGGGTTGAGATTCGATTGGGATTTGGATCGGTCTCCGGTTCTGTCTCCCCAGCCGGTTTGGGAGCTGACTCCCGCTCGTCTTCACTATCACTAACTTCCACGTTGTCGTCACCTTCTGAGTCGACGTCTATCCATCCTTCAGACTCGGATTCCGAATCTGAATCGGTTTCGACATCCCAGCCTTCCCAAGCGGCTGCTTCATCGTCCTCGCCGTCGTTATCAGCATCGCCCATCTCCTCTTCGCGAAGTTTCCGCAGGTGGTCTTCTAGAAGCTGTCGAGTAATTCAGGCATATTTTCGAATGTAAAAAACGTTTGGATTACCATCAATCCTTCGATGTCAACTGCAGCATCCGTACTATGTCCAAACGGCAGTGGTTGACCACCTTTGCTCATACCTATACTAGCATCTTTTCCCTGCAAAGACGCTCAGCATTGGCAATGGTGAATTGAAAAGGAAATCGCTTACTCTCTCCCGGCGTTTGAGCATACCAGGGTTCACCTCGCGATACAACTGCAACAATCCTCTTGCAGCAGCAGTAACCGCCTTGTCTCGACTTCTCCTGTACTCTACAAGATCACCCAACAGATCTTCCTCCATTGCCCATGGTTGTCTTCTACAAACCTCCCTAATTGAGTTTATGCCTGCAGCAATTACCTCGCTTCCTACTCCAGGATGCACAAATTCGGCTGCAAGCTTCTGGACGACCGGGGTCAAAGCATCTGGCGGCGTGAGATCGTGAACAGACTGCGCCAGCGCAACGAGGATTGATGGGACGCGAAGTTGGTGATAAGCGAGGTATTTGATAATGTAGGTATAGAAGCTCAGGACGCAAAGTTTATGAGCGCCCATCACCCGCGAGAGGAGCTGCATGATGAGAATTTTATGTTCAAGTGAAAACCGTTTGTCGTAGCGACTTAGGTTGTCATACAACTTCTCTGCAAACGTCTGTGGGTCATTGAGAAGTTGGAGTGCCGGGAAATTCGGTGTCATCGGGGCATTTTTGTTATACTTTTTCTGTATACGAATCAGCAATGAGACGGAGCCAAAAAAAGCATTCCAGGATAAGGGGGCACCTTCTTTGCAGCATTGAGCTGTTTCTGAAGCTTTTTATCGTCGCCCCGTCTCTTTTTGTTGACTTCGCGACGATGGTGGAGAGCTCTGACATCGGTACCCTGAAACAAGCATGAGTGGTATTCTGGTAAGGTAGACGTCACCTACCCCGTCTTCCTCATCGTCACTGTCTTCCTTTTCGTCGTCACTTCCTAGAAAGAAGTGAATGGAAGCACTCTGTACCTTCATCACAGGATGGAAGCATCCAAGCGCAACAATAGACACAGGCTTGGCGTCAGTCCTATTGAGGGATGGAAGTCATGTACATCCAGCTGCATCAGTCACGGGTTGCGTACCATATTCTCTTTCGCCACAACTCCTTTGTCAAAATCACCGCCCACATAGCCTCCTCCCCATTATTGGCAGTTTTATCACTCGTGGGACCTGCGGATCTGAGTTTTCCCTTATCCCCAACAACTTCAGCATCCATTCCCCGTTCGACCATGGTGAAAAGCATGGCTTGCACAGCACGGTTCAGTTTGTGATTTTTAGTTCGGAGGTTGGCAGTTCGGATATCGGAGAGAATAGTTTTGCGGATAAAGGCTCGCAAGTTGGAGGAGGTTGTACGAGGGAGGAGGGGAAAGAGGCACTTGAGGAGCCTAAATCGAAAGTTTATTTTGAGGGCATAATACATCAAGACGCTTACTCGATGGATGTAATGACATCCTTGTTGCGCAACATAACAAGATTTTGAACGAGATTTTTTCTGGTATCGGGCATGAGGGTGCCATAGTTTTCGAGAAGAAGGGTAGACAGATGGGATGGAAAGTCTTTGGTTTCCTTGGGATAACATTGTGCGACCTGAAATCGCAGCGTTGCCAGTGAATCAGGTAAATTGTATAAGATCTTCGAAGACGCACTTGAGATATAAATGAGACTAGTTCACGGAAATGTTGAGCCTGTTCATCAGGATTTATCTGAAATATCTGTCTGATACTGTCGTAGTGGTTCCATTGCTGCAGGAACTCTTCCTTGTACGCCGCTGGGTCACGTTTGATGAGGTTTTGCAACTGAGGGAGATTTGAGGTGAGAAGGACGCCACGACCACCCATTATAACAGACAGTTAGATACTGCAAGTGAACTGCAGCGATGATAGACAATCTCCAAGGAGGGCTCGTAACATGAGCTTGACTTGAGAAGAATGTTTACAGCTTACATCATCTGTAGAATTATAGTAGTAGAACAGCGAATGGTCTCCATTCTTGTGACCAATCTGTTATAGTACAACACTGTGGTAGGTAATCCAAGCGACAAAGTAGACTACGATGCCCCATTGAAACTGAAAGCATCACGCAAATCGGAAATCCGCGCTCGAGTTTTGGAGCTGTATTGATTCGTCACTCTGATGCCAGCGGAAGTCGCACTGTCACTCAACCTCACCTCGAAGCTGCGGTTGATGTAGCATCCGAGTAGGCAGTCCAGAAAGACTTGCCAAAAATCGCCGCTTTCTCTCGTGATTTTGGTTCGTCCGAGTTTGTGATATACTCTTCGAATGATGCGCGATCTAGTAGAGGAAGTTCATTCATCTATCGTTCGAGCCTCACTCATTTCAGATGCTTACCTTCTATATCCATGAGCGAAAGGAAATGAATCGTTTCGGTGGCGAGCACATCATTTCCATGAAGGACGTGTTCTTTTGCAAGCTTTGAATGTAAATCTGCCAGCGACTTTGTTTCCATAGAAGCGCCCTTACCTTTTCTCTTACCGCCAGCATTGCCGTGAGACGCGTCTGATTGTGGTCCTGTGGCTCGGCCGTAGTTGTGGGCCCTGTATCCGCAGCGTCTTTAATCGGATCGAAGTCGGACACGGGTTCAGCTTCATCGTCGTCTTTATACAGTGGCACATAGGTCGATGTGCTGGGACCAGCCTTCATCTTCCCTTTGGCTTTTGCGGGAGCCTTGGACGAAACAACATTCTTCGCAGCTGAACGTGATGATCCAACGCCGGGGCCATTATCCCTGAATGTTAGTTCGACGGGAAGGCTGCCACTGAGGCACGCATCTGCTTGCGGACCAAGCTTTAAATTAATCCATAACATCAGGTCACCAACAAAACGAAGACTGGGCCTTAATTACCTTCAAGTAATCATTGGTCCAGCCAGATGCAGAGGCCTCTCGTGCGATCGCAAAAATATCAGCGCCTAGCATCTCACTTATGATACGGTCTCCATCCACGCCCTTGCCCACCCCAAACAACGACAATTGGTCATGCCCACTCTCACGAACTTTCGCCCGGTTTCGACCCGCATATACATCTTTGAAATGACCGAGGGCAATCCTATCCATGGAGGCTGCCATCTCCCCGAATAGTCGGATTGCCTGCTGCGCCTCCAAGGTGTACAGCTGGCGAAAAACTGTTCCACCTCTCGAACAGTTGTCACAACCTTTTGAGCAAAGGTGGGAATCAAAACGCTCGTTGAAATGCGCGAGAATTAATGACCGTCGGCAGTCAGCCTCGTTGCGACAGTACTGGGCCACGGCTGAGAGGTCTTCCAGTTGTCGCTTTTTCTCCTCTGGAGTTCGAGCTGGTCCTTTGTCGTTACGGTCGTTGTTGATCAACTGATGCCGTGACACGGCGTCCCTGTGTGCATAGTCTGGAAGAGTATAATACATCAGGCAGCGTATGATAATCGCCATCGAAGTCGCTTACAAAGAATGCAGTCTGCCGGATCACCGTCGCGTCCAGCACGTCCAGTTTCCTGGTAATACCTGAGGCCGTAAGTAACTTCTCAATGAAGCTTACTTGTAGATGTGACGTACCCATCCATCGACTTCGGTAACGTTGAGTGGATTACGAAGCGCACTATTCGACGCAGTCAGACAACGGCCGAGGTGAACAGACAAAACTTTACCATCCGGTTTGTCGATTCCCATCCCAAACGCGATCTAAGGCAACGTCAGAACTCAATGAAGCCACACTGTGAGCGCCATACCGTTGCTACAATTATTTTGCAGCTACCACTTTGCCATTCTTCTTGAGTGGTGCTGCGCTCTTGTGAGTCCATACCGGCATGGTAATGTTTGGCAGACAGGCCATAGTCATTTCGCAGTTGCTCAGCGAGTTCCTCGCACTCCAACTTCGAGAAGCCATACACAATGCCGGTATGGGCGGCATGCTGTGACTTGATGAAACCAGCAATGCCTTGAACCACCTTCTTTTTCGTAGACGGTTTAGGCTGTACTGCATAATAGAGGTTGGGACGGTTGAAAGACTGCATCAAGCATAAGGGGTCACGTAAACCTAAACGAGTACGAATGTCCTGGATCGCGGTCTTGTTCGCGGTTGCGGTGAGTGCCATGATGGGCACATCACGGTACCGCTCACGCAGCATATGGAGCTCTGCATACTAAGGATGCAAACGGGAACTTGTCAATGCACTCAGACCAGGTTATGCAAACTTACGGCATCGCGAAAATCCCGCCCCCAGCTCTGAATGACATGCGCCTCATCAATGACAAAGCGCGCGATTTGTTTGTCTTCATATAGTTGTGCTAAAATGTCTTGCATAGCGTTGCTCTCGCGTAGCTTTTCGGGAGTGATATAGCAAATGTCTGGTTTTTGGTTGCTGCGAAGGCGGCGCATAACATCCCGTGAGTCGTCTGCGGTCCTCAGGGAAGACATGCAGTCAACATCAACATGCTTCTCCCGCAAGGATGCCACTTGATCGGCGATGAGCGCAACGAGTGGAGATATGACAAACGTTACTCCCTGGGTCCTACCAGTCTTACAGACTGCGGGAAGTTGATAACAAAGACTTTTCCCACCACCGGTGGGCATTAGGACGAAGACATCCTTTCCGTCCAGCGTGGCGTTGATAGCTTCGAGTTGGTTTTGCCTGAAGGAAGTCAGCCGAAACACACTCTTCAAGACCGAAATTGCCTCGGCATAGTAAGGGGTCGACGTGTTATCAAGACGTCCAGTAAGCACAGAGGGAGTGCATGGTGCATCCGCAGAATCAAGCGTCGGAGTAGTCGAGGTTAAGGTATCCAGTTGCAATGTTGAGGGCTCGTCAAGGCCCTCCCAAAGGTCATCGCTGTCAGGCACAATCAGAGTTTCCGCCGATTCTTCAATGTCTTCTGGCTCGAGCGGGCCGTCGACATCAACATCTTCTGGTTCGAGGGCACTCCCCAAATTAGTAGGTCCAGACGACGCAAGAATAGATGTGGATGAAGCCGAAGCCGGTTCGCTGGCGGGGTTGAAGCGAGCCAGGCGTTCTTGGATAGCTTCGATGCGACCTTCGATGTGAGCCCTACGTAGAGTAAGCAAGGAAGTTCACACAGTACTAGTACACTCACAATAAGAATGAAATTTCGAAAATGTCCAACGGGTTGTTGGCATGTTCTGATATTGCTTTGAGAAAATAGTCGCGAACTTGGCGGTTTCGGCCAATTATCAGTTCCAAAAACCCTCGCGATCGCTGTAAAATATATATCAGAGCCACGAGGATGTGAAATAAGAGACAACAAACGGAGTCCAGATCCGAATTCTTGACGAGCTGAGTGCCCGCATCAGATTGTGCAGTTTCTGAAGAGGCCGGTGGTGCGGTAAACAGATCAAGACGAGACGTTGCATTTGAAGCAGGGTTTGGGTTCGATGCTTCGACATCGCTTGGGATTTCAGGCGTCCATTGTCGAGGAACAACGCGAGATATTCCCTTTGACGACAAAGGAAGGGTATTAAAAATATTTTCTTTGTTAACGCGATTGCTTTCCTTGAGCCGCTTAGAAACTGATTGTTGAGCTCCGTCGGGGACATCAAGGGACTGACGCTTTCTGGAGGGTACTGGGCCTTCCATGATCTCGATGGTGGGTTCACGACATAAATCGATTAGATCCCGGTGAGGCGAAGCGGACAATGGCGCTGGACGAGGGTTCATTGTCTTCCTTCCAAAATTTGGTGTTGCGAATGATGGAAGTGAAGAACTCGAGCCTGACGTTTGGCGAGCTGCGAGTTACTTAGATGAATAAATGCTGTCTTCGTCATGAAATATATGCTTACCAGTGGGATTTAAGGTAGAGTGAGAAGCGCCCAGGGCTGGCTTGAACTTTGATGATGATGATGATGTCTGACAACGAGATCAGAATGATGGACAGTAATAGCTTGCTCGAATTTGTAATGGCACACCTTTGGCAATACGCTGCTCGAGATCATGTTTCCGTTGTGCTGAGACTGAAAGGTCCTCCTAACACTGTCTAGGTTATTCTGTGGGCCCGCCATCTTGATAACAGGGATGAGCAGATAAGAATGACCGGAGGAAGTACTTGATGGCAGACTAGCTAAGCTTATAAGCTGTCGGCGTGAGACGAGTGGCTGAAAAAGTCAGTGAGACTGGATTGATTCGGATAATCGATAGCGATACGAAAAATTGCCTCGAGGTCAAGTCGTAACGCGCGCGGGTCACGAATTCGAATAGTCTGGTAGCACCAAGAACGGCTCTTGTCCCATTCAATGTTAATGTAAAGTCTGATGTTCGGCTCATCCCGATTCCCGAAGCGCGTCCAGTCACACGTGACCGTGGCGTGCATATTAGGGTCGCGTTCATCATCGACGACGACGACACCAACAATCATGTCAGGGCAGTACTGGTTCCCGAATATGCCAATACCAGAGATCATGACAGCCCTATCAGAATGGGGTTTGAACGTCAGCAACGAGCAACTAGTCAGACCCTCCTCTGACTTTGTTATTGGCGTGTACAACGCCTGCTTAGAGCAAGTCACGTCCATATCTCCAAACGTGCTTCACAAACCAACCCAACGTGCACTGGCATCTCTCGATGATGCCAACCCCGTGCGTGTGTCAGTTATATGTGTGGCCATCCGTATCTGATTGTGCGTGCTCAGGATCTCTACAACAACGCTATCTCACACAATATCATGCTCTACCACCTGTATGATCTGCCCTCTCTTTTATATTTTTGTTAACATAAAGCGAAACAGAACCCGCTTTGCAACTTCTGCACGCATTATGGACTTCAGCTCACGAGACCTGTCCGCACCAGAGCCAGAGCGTACACGCTTCATTCTCTCAGCATTTATCAACTTTGTCAAGTTCGCGGAGCAATGCACCACATTTATCAGCAACGTCCGAGAAAAGTCTGCACAGGTCATAGAAGAACGCGAACAAGTTATCCAGGAACTCTCAGAAGTTCAGCACAATCTCGCAGTGCTCAAGTGAGATTCTTCATCTCTCTCTAACATCTCCTTAGCTCACGACTCGTAGAGCACAACGTGCAAAGGACGAGCCAAAATGTGAACAGCTCAAGGAAGAGAATGCAGCCATGACCACCCAACTCCTTGCAGCAAAGGAGGTTCACACCGGACTCACCAAGGAGATTGAGAGTCTAAAGATTGAAAGGGCGCATCTCCAAGCTCGAAACGAAACCGTCAACTCGGAGTCTGCTCTCCTAATGGACAACAATTCCCGTACCCGATCGCGCATTGTGCAGTCTCCAGAGCGTATTAGACGCAATATCATAACTATGGGGACCACAGCTATTGAAGACAAAAAGGCGGTTGCATTGCACGAAGCGAAGGCACGAGATCTACAGGCAAAAATTTCGGCACTCGTGAATATCGAAAAGGTCACATTCCTCGTGTTCACAGTGTGGTCTTGTCTCAATTGTCCAGTCAGGATGTCCGTTCGTGTATTGAGCAGCTGCAGACGACAGAGAAGGAGGTGCAGCTCCTCGAAGCATCACAAAAGGAGCTCGCAGAACTTAAAGACAGCCTTGAGTATAAGAAAGTCGAGCGCGGCGAGCTTCAGAAGAAGACTGAGGTAGGACATGACATATTCCACGAATTACGCCTGTTAATGCGTGCTCCTCAGCGAGTACACAAGCAACTTGGAAACGCGCAGGAGAAGCTTGAGAGAGCGCAGAGACACGCCGAGGAGAAGCGACAAGCCAGTCAACAGACGGTTGAGCGCCTCCAGCGAGATTACGAGAAGATGGATGTTGAGCGGCGAGAGAATGACAAGCAGGTGGAGGAACTCCGGATGGAAGCGGGCGACATAGAAACAAAAGTAGGTCTTGAGTCCTGATCTCCTCACTCTTGCGTCCTAATAATCCTTCGCAGATGGCGGAGCATCTGAAGAAGAGTGAAGCAGAACTCAACGAGCTACTCACAGAGTATTGGAAACTCCGTCATGAGACTGGTAATTTTTTACTCTGTGTTTGCATTCATCACTCAATGATATCCAGAGGTATACATGGAAACACTCGCGAACAAACTAAACATGAATGTTTCTTCGGACTGAGGAGTGTGCCTACCAGGCATTAAAGCTTGAAGCCTCCCGATATGTAGATCGACTTTAATTTATGGTATTTTGTCAATTACATGGTCAGTGGCAATATTAATGGAGCAGGACGAAATCATCGTTTCTTCCCTTTCTGTGTCATCTTTAGTAGGCAATTCTGGCAATACCATTTCTTCGTTGAACTGGGGATTGCACTAAGGCCGGTACACGGCAGGTGGAACTGAGAATGAGTGTTAGTAATCGTCAGGGGAATACCTGATCCGCTAACCCATTCCAACTTGCAAGTATCACCGTCACAAGCGATCATCTGGGATACAAGTTGTGTGAACTCCATCCAAGTAAAGTCAATCACGACGCTACGGACCGTCTCGTATGACACCTGGTTACAATAACAATACCTCGGTTCGTTCGGATCTGCTTGAGCTTGAGCTGGAATCTTGAGCTTCACACTCCTTGTCGTGCGAATGGCTGGTATTTTCAAAACTTCCTCAGGAAGTGGTGGCGGAGTCTCAGATTCGGGCTCCGATTTCTTGCGCGCCTTTCTGCCCCTACCGGGTCTTGCAGACTCTATAGATAGTTCTTCTATAGATTCTTGAGGAAGAAGGATGGCGGGAAGCTCCGGGGAAAGTGAGGGCGTAGGGCTACGTTCTATACGGGTCGGGCGTACCCAGCGCGGTACGACAAGGTCAGGCAGAAGTATCGGAGCGAGATGTGTCCCTGGACGAATTCCAAGAGAAATAGATGCCTCTTGCTCCTTGATAGCTTGGTCCAAAAGACGGATATGTCGGTCAACCTGTGCGACAGATTAGAGATATGAAATAGGGGGAAAGGAGGGAGTACCGTTTCGTAAGCAGTTTGTGCAATATTCACCTTCTCCTCTGAGGCACGGAGAGCCTCTTCTGACACCTGCGCAATCTGTTGCAGCAATATCCGAGTTGTTTTTCGTGAAGAGGGTAGCTCGATAGACGATGACTCCAGACTTGGTGCGATAGAAGCAGCAGATCTTGCATTATGTGTGTCATTTAGTGCCTCAGTGGGCGAGTCCATGCTGACTTGTTCGTCTCGAGGTGGCGCGCCTGCCGCCTGAGGTGAATCCGCCTGCATGGCCTCTGGATCTGACGCAACTGGTATGGTCATATTGCTCTGCTTTACATCGACGATCATGCTCCGCGATGTAAGTTGTATACGCAGCGCGATATATTTCCGTATATTATCCAACAAGTCTGCATGGTAGGCTGAAAATACACAGCTCCAGCTTAATCATACACGGGGGGAGGGACTTGGTTGCACGTACCGTTGCTTTGGTCATCTAGTTCACGTATGAGCGTATACTGGCGGTGAAGAGACAAAGGAAGTTGCTCGAGTACTACGACATCCAGTTCAGTACATTGTTCTTTCAGAATAATCTTGATCAGCGTACTTTCATGATGTTCCTCCTTGAATGCATCCCAAATCTCAAGTTCCTTCTTCCGTTCTTCGGAGTCGTGTTCTTCTCCGGCAGTATCAGCATCCGATGTCCGCTCTTCGTAGCACTCCTCCTCAGCAGCAACAGCCTGAGAACGTCGACGCTTGCGAGACATAATAGTGTTTCACAAACTCGCGGACCGCTGCGGACCTTCGAAATTTCACAACAAACCGAGCACGTGACTAGTCGGGCAGATAATAGATATTAAATCAAGCATCCGTGTCACAGCTTACGTAGCTTGAGCAGGCTCGTCAGTTGTCACGGCGAGTCTCGTGTTAACAACGTTGACCTCAGCATGTAGCCTCGTGTTCAACATATACATAGCCAGCACTGCTTCAAATTTCCAACTCCACTGCGCTTCCTGCGTGGTATTAGGGCATCGTTATTTGCACCGTATCTGAGCTTTATAGGCGAGAACCCATTGTAAGCTCGAGCATAAGTTACTGGTGAAGCAACCTCAGGTCACCTGAAACCTCCGGCTCGAGTTAGTCGAGAAAAGTTATCGACTTATATTTTCTTCAAGTTAGGGTAGGTTTCTAGATGGTCACAGAAGTTACTGAAATATATGCCAAGCGCTACAATATTTGTGGCGCGTCTGGAACAAGTCTGGAAGTCGTGGATCTCGCTGCATGCACGGCATGCACGCACAGCATGTCCCCTGCCCAGAAAACACGCAGAGAACTCCCCTATAACAGACGCTACGTATCGCATCTCATCGTACTCCCGTGTCCTGTAGGAGTTTCTCTCATGAGTGTATTTAACACCATCGTGAGCCCAACATTGGGAGTTCTCGAGATAGCTGGTGCCGCATCTGGTGTCCCGTACGCCCAGGGGGCTGGGATGGCACTCCAGGCCATCAACACTGCTTGCAACCAAGTGGCCATCCACAAGGTGCGCTTCTCTCACTTTAACACTTACTCTAGCCTAAGACACAACATTATCCCTGTCAGCGCAAGTCTGCCCAACTTGCTCACCGATGTACTTCGTTGCTGAACTTGATCAGTGATCACGCAGTTGGACCTGCTGGCGATGAGATGCGATCCTCCTTAGAAGATGCTGAGTTGTGCGTAGTTTGGCTCCTTATTCTCCCCGTTGGAGAAATGTTCATAGCATCGAGACAGCGTCCTTTATGCTGTACGAGACCGCATACAAAAATGGTCACAATATAGTAAAGTCAAAAGCTTCTGTGCGTGTCGCGGCTATCACGAGCTTTCATGCGCTTACGCAGTGCCTTAGTCAAGAGATCTCAAATAGAAAACGACCTGGATAGGTGCCAGAACGATGTGAACGCAGCTATGGAGCGCCTGCACGTAAGCCCACTCCTGCTGCCCGTACTCATATGTTGAAGCTTTTGACAGGTCAAAAATCCCCTATCTGTCATGATCATGCAGAAAACAATCTATGGACCTCATGAAAACGAATCAAGATCGCATGGAGGAAAAGCTGGCACAGCTGATGATATCCCCACAGCAGGTGTTGGACGCAGTCCAACGGCACAACGCTGGGGGTCAGGATGCATTTGATCTCATGAAAACCGGCCAGGAGGCAAGTTCTGGTGGCGCTTGATGTTTTTCTTTCTTGGATCCTCATTATCCCTTTACAGCGCTTGATACAACTGTGCTTGCAATCACCGCGTGAAAACTCCCAGTCACCGGACCGAATGTTATTTGGGGGACCAATAGTTGAATCCCCATCATCCTCCCGTTCTTCCTCACTGGAGGTAACGGTGCAAACTCAGATTCAAAGTGCCTTAACAGATTTACGCCGCCTGACAAACGTACCTCCGACACTCAAAGTCTTGAACAATCAGGTCAAAAAGGTCGGCGGCTCTACTCCAATATGCTCTGGAACGTACAGCGACATCTGGCTAGGAGAAATGTTAGGAGAGAAAGCAAGCCGGTCCTTGAAGATGTTATGTAACTGGATGATTGACACCTCTCCAAGGTCGCGCTCAAAACCTTGCGCAGTATCACCGACCCTACGAAAGCCAGAAGAATGACCAAGGTATGGTAGTGTTCGTTTACATGACTCACAACTATCATTGATGTGTCGTATAGCGCTATGAGCACGAAATGAATGTGTGGGAAAAGCTTAAACACGACAACATTCTGACAATTTACGGTGTCATCACCAACTTGGGACCTATTCACATCGTAAGATCCCTGCTCCTGTAATCATGTTTATTACCTGATAAAAGCTCTACGTTCCACGCAGGTGTCGACGTGGCAAGAAAATGGCAATGTATTAGAGTATGTGATGCCGGAGTGCAGTACATCGCCGTTGTTAATTGTGCTCAGATATCGCACCAAGAACCCCGACATCAACCCTCTAACTTTGGCAAGTATGCTAGTAGCCCGATCATTGCGTCGAAATTCATTTTGATAACACTCAGCTCGCACAAGCCGCAAAGGGCATCGAGTATCTTCATGGAAGCAACATTGTTCATGGGAATCGTGAGTGCATCTCTGTACTTCGTGAGGACAATCGTTCTGACCCTACGAGTAGTGAAATGTGTAAGTCGCTAAGATTTGCAAGCAGATATGTTCGTTCACAGTTTCGAACCAGAATAATATGCTGGTTTCCTCCGAAGTGCGTGACCTTTCCACCTCAGTTAATAGTAAGGGTCTGACTCAGTTCTCGATGTAGGGTGTAGTATGCATTGGTGACTTCGGACATACTCAGGTCCTAGACGAAGTGCTCGGGAGGGAGGGATTCACTGCTTATACTGGGTCCTCCAACGTGCGTTGGAATGCTCCGGAACTCCTGGGTGGCGACGATGTCAAGCCCACCAAAGCCAGCGACGTCTTCGCGTTCGGAATGTCTATCCTGGAGCTTGTAACCAAGCAGGCACCCTATTCGCACAGAAAACGTGATCTCACTGTTATCATGGACATCAACGATGGACGTCTACCTCTTCGCCCAACTGAGCCGGAAGATGTCTCGCGGTGGATGCATGACAAACTATGGGAACTTTTGAATAGGTGTTGGTATTTCATGGCTCAGGAGCGGATAAATATTGGAGAAGTCACAATCTGTCTTGATGGACTCGCTGAGTACATTGGGAATCATCCAAATTGGCAGACGGAAGAGGCCGATGTTGAGATCGTTCAATGAGATGTTGTCCTCATGTATGTTATGATCTACGCATGTACACGTGGTAATTACTTTATCAAAATGATCTCAGAGAGATCTGCGGCTTCATGCTCTGCTGCACTGGGCCCGCCGCACCTTCGACAGCCTTCCGAATCGACACCTCGAGTACTTCCCGCACAGAGGGGTCCAACTGAGTAGTGGCCTCCTTGAAGGACGCGGGCGAACTAGCTGCCAGGGAAAGCAAGTGTGCTACGCCACTAGAGTGTATCGTTGATGGAGGCATCTGAGAGGGGCGTAGAAGTAATGTGATTGTTGGTAGCAGGACACTCAAGAGACGGGAACCTGCACAATCAAAGTCAGTTATCATGTGGTATTAAACCAAATCCGTGAGCACTGGTACTGACGTTGTTCGTCTTTAGCCAGCAAAACGAGCGTCGCAAATGTTTTCCAAACCTCGTCTATCGAGATGGCCTGCTGCTCTGACACTGTTCCATCATCCACTCGAGGTACCATTTTGGCAACATATTGGATTAGTGCGGGAAGAAGTAGCCGAACGCAGGCTCGAAGAAGTTCGCTTCCAGACGCAGCGATTGTAAGGGTTTTGGCGCAGTGAACAGCCACAATAGCCATCTGCTGAAACGCAAAAGCCCTCAGTGACACGCATGAGAAGTATTGAAGGAAAAGGATACCTGGTCGCCTTCTTCAAGCTTCTGAGATATAAGAAAGAACAGGTGTTCCACCACATCACGAGAAACCGCCACTTGTGCAGGAATGACGGTCAAGATGAGCACCGCCGCGAGAAGATTCGTTTTGACTTTTCTCGACGAGATCAAACCTTCGCGTCCCCTGTGTTACTTTAGCCTCCCACAAACATGTAAGTATTTCAAGAGCAAACCTCATTTCGTCCACGTTCAAAAGACACGATGATAATAAGCCGTGGATAAGCTTCCCGTAACGTTCGCGGATATTAGGATGGCATGAAACGGCCAACAAGGATCTGAAAGCCGGAAGAGTGGGAGTCACCAAATCCGCTTCCGAAGTTTCATCTTTCAGCAGCTCTGGAAACGGGTCATGCAAGAGAAATCGCCGATGAGATTTTCGTACCGCCATAGAGCACGCAGCCTATTCCCCGTACATCCTCTCGAACATCAGATTCTGTTGTCGAGGCAATGAGGTGGAAGGCACCCAGGGAACCAGAAATCATCTTTGCAATATCAGGGAAGATCGCCTTCTGCAAGAACATGCATCTTGTTATGCAATGACGTCAAGGTTAAAAGACTTACGAATCGCCGTCGTTCCTGGATTGTGACGAGAGTGTCGAAGGGTGTAGGCAAAAATCTTGAGACAATGAGTGCGAACCGAATCCGGAGGAATGGCTGCGTTGTTCTGACTCCCCTTGCTGCTGGACTGCGTGTGAGATTCTCGTGAAGGTCAATTTCTGGAAGACTCGCCTGAGATCACCTCCGGGTACATATTGGCCAAAGTGTTTGGCAAAAGTGGTCAGGACAGTAATCAGGTGAATGAGTACCTCTGCAGATTCTGTCATAGCCATTCGATGACTGAGACTCATGAATTCTTGAAAGATAGTAGGCTCCAAAAGGGCTTTCCCTGAATAGCGAGGATCGAGAAGGCATTTCAGCGCCCCTAGGCAGGCAATCACTGTGTCACCTCGTGAGCTGGTATCTGGCGAGGACGTCGCGAGTGCTTCATATATAAGGCCAAAGAGGGGGAAGAAAAGGGGCGCTGGCCCTTCTGCTGCGGAGTCGATACCATTAACAGATGTCCCCACCTCCTTCCCAAGGATGGCAGCTGAAATGTATTGATCGGAGCGGTTCATAGCGTTCGCAACAGCTTGTAGGATGGTTGCCCAGGAAGAAGCGTAGTACTGAAAAAGTGAGATTCGTTGATAACAATCGATCGACAGGATTGAAACTTACTGGGAGCAGAACTACTTTACCGAGGCTTGCATACGACGGGTCTAAAGCTACCGCTGACGCATCGTGTATGAATTCGGAATCTGCCCGTATGACAGCATAATCGCGAAGGCTCGCAATCCATTGCGGTGCCAAGATCGATCTGTAGGGTTTGATGACATCTAGAAGGTACGTCTGCTCAGAACTAGCAATTTCCAGACGGGCCCACGCGGAGAGGATAGAAACCCTCAGCATGCCTGATGCATTTGGGCTCAAGTCCACAAAATTGCCCATAGTTAAGTTGCCAGATTCTTGGAAAATATGAATATCTTTATAGATGAGATATTTGGACATGCCTACCGTCAACCTCTCCAAGTGCTGTTGTAAGTTGTTTGAGAATTCTCCCCATCCGACTTACATCTTTGACAACGCCGCAGCCAACAAACACTGCACAGGCATCGATGGCAGAAGACAGAATTTCAGGAGTGGAGTCTGGAGAGAAGGCGGGAGTAAGTGCAGCTGTGATAGGTGCTTGATGTTGCTCAAGCAGGAGAGCGTCTGGATAGTCAGGGTCTGGGGCTTGGCAAAACACCTATTGAAAATACATAAAAAGAAAGTGACACAATCACGGTACACCTACCTGGATGACATCGCGTAATACGACCAATCCTTCTAGTCGTATCTCTGTGACATATGCCGCAGATGCTGTGAAGGCCATTTTGATCAAATCTGGGACACGAGATACAAGGAGGCCGTTCACTGGAATGCCGTGGCTACGAGCGAAAGGTATGTCGATGTGCTCTCTGCGTCCGAAGCGTGCAACTAGTGTGCAGATTTCATGTAAACATCGCAGTGCAAATAGTTGCGTCCTCCAGCGTGACGTAGCAACCAAGGCTAGGTTGCCTTGCCGTGTGTCATCGTTTGACATAGATGCACTCAACGATTGACCTTCGTCATCCATGAGACTGTTAGCTGTATCGACCACTTTCTGGGAGGCATTTATGCGCAGCATGATCCTCTGGCAAAGGTCAATCCAAGCGGATGGATTGTGAATAGCTGTCTGAAGTAGCCAACTTGAAATTACGTTTCTGACTCCATCGATCGACGGGTCACCGTCTAGCATTCCAAACAAATCCTCCACGAGGCGATCTCCACCTAATCGGGACATTGCTAGAGCGTCTTTCTGAACCAATTGATAAAGGGCATCGATTGCTGCGAGTTTGAGGCATCTTCTAGGTGAACTAAGGTGCCTTCTGAAACGATTCACGATCTCGGGGACGTCCACATGCTCGGGAGCAAACATGAGAAGATGCTGGATGCACCTTATGGCTTCCACTAGGATGGGTTCATCATCTTCCACCGAAAATTCGTGGACGAGGTCAAGTACAATTGTTCTCGTCCTTGGAGAGTCATGAACGTCAGGGCCAAGAATAGTGATGATTGCATCCAGAATGTAGCAGACAAGGGGGTAAGCTTGCAAGTCGCCACCAATATTGGCGTTGTTCAGCGTCCCTCCCTCGGCTTCGTGAGTGTCCGACAAGTATATTTTGAGCAGCATTCCCAGGGTGCTTGACACGAATGGAGCGAAGGCCAAACTAGCGGCGTTAATGACATGTCCCAGTGCGCGGAGGGACCAGAAGTGGACCAACGGATGAGAATCATTGCTCAACGACATGAGAAGGTTTACAGTTGTTTTTAAGATGGGAGCTGCCGCGAGTCCACCGACGTGGCTGTATAGAGACCCGAACGCAAGCGCACAGCCAGCTCGTCCTTGGGGGGTCGCGGTTGCTTACGATGTGATCGACCAATACCTTGGTTTGACTCGTCAAGAAAGAGCTTCCAGATATATTGGCAAGGCGCCCAATGGCCTCGCTGCTAGCAGATCTTAGGGCGGGATCACCATCCACAAGAGCATCCTGCAAGTGAGATGAAGAACTCATGGCAGAACCACAGTTTAAAGGCAAGCTTACTTTCAAGAATGCTCCAAGAGCTGAAGCGACTTGTGAGTGCCCAAGGGTGTCCTTAGATTGGCGATGATGCGAGATCATGGAGACACGCAATGTTCGTACGATGGCCACAACACTATTTAACATCACGGCGGCTCTCCTCCCAGCGTTCTTGTCAAGTTTCGGAGACCGGTTGGACTCTATCAAGTGATTGATTGTGCGCAGAGTAGTGCTCAAGTCTTGGGCTGGCAGCAACTGAGAAAACAGTTCGATAGCGGCGTCGCAGACTGACGACACGGGTGGTGGGGCATTAAAAGACCGGCTTTCCTCGTCTGACGGGCTTATCATAGAAAGAGAAAGTATGTCGTGCTCACAAGCTCCTAGTATCGGCTTGCGTAGCTATATGCGTAGATCAACATTTGGCAGGAAGATCCACAGATGACAATGTCTTACCAGGGCACTTATTGAGTGTTCTATGCTATCGCTGTTGCTGTGACCTCGGCGAGGACTTTCAGACGTGCTTTGGTCGACCCCGTCTTCGGATATTTCGAGCGTAGTGAGTCCATATGCGTAACCATCTGTCATCTGCCAGATTGAAGTGAAACTACCGGAGGTAGACGCAATTGAGGCTTGCATTGCAGATATGTTATCGACATCGGGACCCGCAAAAACAGCAAGGACGGACTGCAATAAGCTTGATTGGACAGAATCCGTCAAAGTGGAAGTTCCAAGAGCGGAGAAGCATTGGTATGCTCTACGTCGAAGAGAAGCCTCGCGAGTTCGAATAGATGGTCCAGTATCTTCAATTACCGAGGTTCCGGAAACTTCTTCAATAGTCTGTGACAAGAACACGTTTGAAAATGAGAGGGCATTTCCAAGCAGAGATGAGATTCTCCGGGCGACGTCAAGAGTGGTGAGTTGACTGTTGTGAAGCAAAAAACAAAGGATTGCCCCAAGCGCACTTTCACGGACATGCAGGAGAAACTTCCATTCGGCAGCTGACCGGCCTGAGACGTTGTCTTTCGCAGTAGGCTTCGGTAATGCATTACGCCAAAGTACCAGTAGCTGAGGTAGATGTGAGCGGACGAAATTTGGTCCAAGCAGCATCAGAGATGCAATCAACGTCCAGGCAACTTCAACCTCTACCCCTGCGACATGAACATCATGATCACTAACGCGCTTAAGGAGTTGAGTGGCAGTGTCAAGAACGCTAGCTGACACGTCAAAAGACACATATAGGGGGCGATGTGGCACAATAGCGATAAGAGCCGCCAAACCATAGGAATGACCAAGTGTCCGACGATCAATGTCTGAAGGAGCTGCAGGAGATTGGAGGGATTCAATGTCGCGTTGTAAAGACTCCGTGATCGCCAATATTGCCTTCGGTAAACGGAGGGGGGTAGAATAGCAGAAGCAACGGAGGGTCCAACTCGCATTGACACGAACCGAGTGACTTGGATGTGTAAGCAGCGTCATCAATGGTACAGAGACAGCGTCCTACGCCAAGTTTAGGAATATACTCAAGTTCCAACTTCGCAGGACTTACCTGAACCGGCGGAGGTGCATTACCTAGTTGTTGCAGCAGACCTGCAACCTCCTCCAATGCTATTGTTAGGATAGATGAAGATGGAGCCACCTGCCCCGGCATTAATGCTGGCCATCTTTTCAAGTATGACAAGGAAAGATCTTGAATTGCAGCTATTTGTCCCTGCTCAGTCAGCATTCGTACCGCTATTAGCTCTCGTAAAAGAGCGCCCGACTAGCTTCCGAATGAAGAGTTTGTCATATCTCGTGGCTCCATTCTTGGGATAGGAGACGATCTCGGTCATGAGGTGACCAACAAGCAGAGAATAATTGGCTTCCACAAATGCTGGCCCGAGTTTTGCCAACAGTGTGACGTAAAACATGAAGATTCCCGCACGGGTTTTGCGGCTGTGAGCTTTGTTAAATTGGGGTGGAGATTTGTGATAGCATATCTCCTGGCGTCAGAAGGACTTTGGTGTTTTCGGCTACGATATGCGCAGGAGTAGAAACATCGGAGTCTTCTTGTTCCTTCTTGCCTTTCTGTGACTGCTCTGCGACCGCTACGGTACGTTCCATCTGGGTGGCCGCGAGCATATGTCCCACTAGCTGCGCCAGCGATTGCGTTGTCACCTGGTCACTGTTTTCAAGACTTTTAACGCAAACGTTCATGATCGACTCCACATCTGTGAGCGTGACGGAGTCTTCAGGAGTATACACGATCGCTAAGACCTGCACACGGTTCAGTTCGCAAAATGCAGTTCACAGGCAAGAATCTCACAGCAGCAGCAGCTCGCTGGACGGGGAGAGCTTTATCAGTTAAACCATTCTTCATTTGCTTGATTATGTCCTTTGCAAGGGAGTCGCTCAAAGCCTTCTTGGCTGAAACCAGGGTTTTCCGGAGCATGGTGAGCGCATGATATCGGACATGCGGCGACTTCGATGGTGATGAGAAAACGAAAAACGAACAACCGGCAAATGTTCTACGCACCGCAGATGACCTCAATGTTTTTATGGCGATAGTGGCGGTTTCGGCCATAAAGGACATGAACTGCCTCGGACGATCAGCGCACTATTGGAAAAGAGGGAAATATCGAACCTGGGAGCCAAAGGCCTCCATCAACTCTCCAATTGTCCAAAATGCGGCGCTGTAAGCGGAAGATTATTCAAAAGTACTGATAAAGCATATATTTCGTGCTGACATTCGAGTCGAGTCCTTATCCGTGGCTTTGATGTCAGAGGCCGGCTTGAGCAACACCCTTAGCGTGTCAAATAATGACCTGGATTCTCCACGATGATACAAGACTAGAAGGCATCTTGCAGCTAGATTGCGAAGCGGCCCGACCAGGACAAGGATATGGTTCCGAAGGTATAAGCACTTTCAGTAGCGTGGCTTCCACTGAAGCCTGCGTCTCCTTGAGCGTTTCCTGCAAAACGTGAAATTGGAGGGAAATAGAGCCATTACGAATCCACATACGGTGCTCGCATTTCTAAGATTTCTCTCCAGATTCGATAACCATTGAAATAAGTAAAGTTCGCCACCGTCGGCTGTCAATTGATTCTGCCTGTTGTGTAAACAACCTTTCACGTCTACTGCGAATTAATGCACGACATACCTCATCTAACTCTGCGATTTCCTCCTTGGATGCCATGATCCGTAACAACGATCAAATTGAAGAACTCTGAAGCTGCAGCACCGAAGCTCTAGGCGCAAGGAAGCAATGTACTACTACCTGGCCAGTCAGTGATGCTACTAGTAGTGTAGTAGTGAATCTATGTAGTGATGCTTAGTATGGTGGCAGTACAGCATGACAAATTTAGAACGAATCATTCAAGCATTACTGTATGAAGTAGATTTGTGTAGCTTGACACTTGATCGAGCGTACAGAACATGGATAATGTTAATAATTCAATCATTTACATACGAGATGCAGTGCGAGATAAAAAATGCGATACGATTGAAAAGTGGGGGACACCAATAAAGATTGGACGGGTTATACACGCAAATCAATCAGTTTTCACGGGTGCCCGTCTCACCAAGTATCGGCCAGACGTTAGCCACCATGTTACGACACAACACAATCCCATCCCGGCCCCCTGCGCTAAATGAGACATAACGAGCGCGGAAAATATTGCTCCGCGGCCTTTCGTTTGAAGTAGAATGACAGCCTGATGGTGTATTTTGGTCATGGAGATCGCCAGGTAAGATAACACGGCAGCTAGAAGGAATTGCCATGTTGGTGCTGAGGCTTTCCATCTATGAGCAGTTTTATTTCTATCAAAGAAGGTCGAAGCGTATTGCGCGGCGTAGATTATCCGGGCTGCCAGGTTGATTATGTTTGCATATACCAGAGAGACATCACCGAAGCCCGAGGCGTAGAATCCAATCGCAGAAACAATGAATACGACGGAAAAACCAACGAGCCATCTGATCATTTAATTTAATTTAATATAAACCATGGTGAATGAAGTACGCACCTGCTTTGTCTTCGAAGATCTTTAGAAGTTGCGATGCTCGAGAAGAAAGCTTCAAGTACACCATTGATGGCGAGGGCAGGGATGTACCATATCCAAGCTGCGAGAACTCCGGGGGCACTTGTTGATAGGTACTGTATCGGGAGCAATAGGTGCAGAAAGATCGGAAGATAGACGGTGGCAAATACAATGACAAGGACGGAACAAACTAGTTGGATGGAGACCAGTGACAGCAAGATTTCTGAGGCTTGACCTAGTGAGCGTCTGTCAAATTGTGGACCACTCGACGTAGATTTTGCCTCAGCCAGGGGGCACAAAGTTCTCGAAAAGTAAACTCTACATGTTTCCTCCAGAGGTTGAAAAACTATTCGTGCAACTAGGGAACCTGTACAAAGTTGGATCATCACTATACCCGAAACAACCCAGTCTGAAATGATGCGCACCATAGTTCACGGCGATCGCGTACCCTCCTTGATCTTCCAAATGGCTCCACCAAGACAATATAATCTTGTCTCCCTCTGTCAAAATATGTTTGACGATGGATTGCCCAGTCATGGTCAAAGACAAACGCAGACTGCTAATGTCAAAGTATTGCGAGGCAATGTGATAGAACGTTGATCTGACAACCGTAATCAGAGAAGTTGCCTATTGAACAAGGGGATGGATTCACCTGGAAGCAACCGCTTCGGATTCCTGTCGTGTAGCAAGACGAGTCGGCAAAAACGTGGGATACCCCATTTGATACACGTAACTGAAAAACACCACACTACTGTATGCAAGTTGGCCCAGCGCAAAAGCCACGAGCGCGAATTCCCCGGAATATAGTCTAGTCGTGTCATAAAGGAGGACAAGATAAGTGACAAGAGTCTTGCACGTTATCCCGAGACCTTCAGCTCTTACTCTAACTCCAGTGCGAACTTCACCCATGGCCCTGGCAAGTTGAGAGAAAATGTATGTCACTGAAATTAACTACATACCGATTATGCATGGGTTCGCTGAAGAGCTCGCTTAGCGCGGCGAACATATAGATCGTTAACGCCACGTGAAAATGCGGCTGACGACGAACATCATCACTGGCAAGAGTAGAATATGCAACTGTCGTAGCTAGAGACACTGGAAGTCCCAGGATAATCGGTAATGCAGATAGATTTGTGAAAGCAGGTACGTGGTCGTCGTTAGAATTTGACCCTTGGGTATGGATAGTATTCCGCGGCCATGCTCTGAGCAGCGCATTCCTGACACCTTCCCTGCTGAGAAACAGTATGGTGCTTAATATAAGCTCAAATTGAATTGCAGCAGTCCCGTATGCTTGTGGAGAGGCTAATCGAAACAGTGCTTGATTCAGAACAAAAGTCAATAGACGAGAACCAAGTTGGAGACCCATAAGAGAGAACAAAGAGGTAAGTGAACGTTTCAACAACCCGCCATCTTTGTTTTTTGGGCGACCTAAGGGTGGTTGTTGATCCATGAGTGAGATTTTGATCAGGTATCTTAGTAGTAGCAGCTACTAGATAACCTTGCAGGGTGTGCATTTCTTACAATATTCAAATTCGACTCGAAATATGTGTGTTTGGTCATGTTATGAACGAAAGCTGTCTTTTACATAATATGTAAGATACTTTAGCTAAGTACTTGCACATCGAACTAACTTTGAAGAGTGTCTGTAATTGGTCGGGCCTCGTACGATTCAGGAGAGCCTAAAAGGGTTCCTCAAAAATGGCGGATCGTGCATAGGACGACCGTGAAAGAGCAACGCTTGAATCTTGAAGAAGCGCTGCATTTTTGCGCACATAGCGTCCCCAGGTTAGAAAGAGGCTAGACTCAACTCAGAGTCGCCCGCTAAGCCTGTTTAGGATTAGCTGAATCATTAGTAAATTCTGTCTACTCCTCATAGGAGAACTGAAAAGGATTGGCAATAATCCCGGGGGACACATGAAAAGTGCATTGACTTCGACGAACACGCCCAGTGACTGACTGAGTACTGAGTGACTAAGAGTGAATGAAATTTGTATCAGGCTCAAACGCGGAACACGTCGCTCGCGACGACGCTAGGTATCACGCGACCCCACTAGCATTAGCTCAGTATAAATGAAATTAAACCCCCCGCGCGTGGTTTGACAGACAATGAGCGCATTTTAAATCGACCCTCTCCAACTAAAGAGGCTGTCGGAATTGAGTCAAACCATGGTGTTTGTGGCATATACAGTCCACCCTAAATCACCAGTCTCCCGCTAAAATGATGCTAGTATCTAATCTTGCCCCCCGTTGTCTGCTCCTAGAACCAGGTCTTCGGAAAATACAGATAGAAGCGTGATCCATCTGTTATTAAATCACGTCCCTTTGCTATACTGAATCCCACTGAATCGAAACAACTGGGTGCAAAGGAAAATTGCCTTATATGCAAGGGGGGGAGAGCATGGACTAGTACACGATGCAGTACGAACGATTGTAGCAGGGGGTACTGACTCCATCCTTTGTTCGGAGACATTGTAGGAGTCAGGGACCTGAGGTTCCTTGTATCTGAAACTAGCGAAACAAACGGAGGGGGGAAATTTTTCAGGCGGCTGAAAAAACGTCCTCGCGTAGTTTTCGATACTTGACCCCGAACACACTGAATCTCCAATTCTCTGTGGCCCAGGGCGTGGCGGTTAAGGTATGAATGTGGACCTCAGTCCGATGCGCACAACACTTGTCGCAAGGATCATTCTTTTTCCGATTCGAAATTTCAGCTTGTCCGTTCAATGTTCATCCTGTACACGGAAATTGTCGGCCATTTCACTGTTGAAGAATTAGATCCTATGGAAACGACTTTGTATCTCTGCGGGAGCGCCTTGGGTGTTGGATGTTGCGGAACTATTCCGCTAAACCTGTCGCATCCAAACCAAGAACTGGCGAGTGACCTTGGTTAGTGAAGAAAATATAATTAGCATGGTGCAGAACTGCGAGGAAATAAGGGGGCGCCGCCAAGGAATGGCGTGGTAGCTGACATGAATTTTGCCTGGCTTGTTTGCACTTACCCGAAGCTCTTGATTTTTCACGCAGTATAATATTTTTCTACTTTGGTCATAAGCGGCAAGAAAAACATCTGCAGGACGGGTGAGGAGGAATGAGTAAGTATGAGGCGCATGCACCGGTATGGTGTCAACTCCAACTATTATTTGTTCAGTGGGGGTTGCGGATCACCTATGTCATGCAAGATCTGCTGTGACTGTGCCACAATAGTCAAATCATCATGGCTGGCCGTTGCGCTGTCAACACTGGAAGCGCTGCAGGAATAACACAACACGCCTGGTAACTGCCAACCCTACGTCGCTCGTCGCCTTAATCACGAGATCTCGACCTCGAATTTGTCATGAAGAATCGATGAACCGATGTGCCACCAAGCCTCACCAAGCCCACGAATTTTGCCCACACGAATTTTGCAAGAAGACGGAAGCATTTCTGCCCTTCGATAACGGACAACCTTGAAACGATGAAGCCTGTCAGTACTAGTCAATGATGGACAGCTTTGAAACAAAGGAGATCCTTTCAGATCCGGGTGAGGGCCTATCAGTTCTAATCGATGTTCCCGTTCTTTAACTCACGTCTTTCAGAACACATCAATCATCTCAGATCTCCCCTCTGAAACCGGTCGGATCAGAAAACCTAAGTCCTTGCGAGAAGAATCAAACCACATCTAGAGGTATCCGAGGTATGCTTTTGGACAGCCACATCTTTGAAGGCGAGGTGCGGAAATGGGCCAACAACAGAACAATAATCGCGTCACAAATGCAAGCTCTCGAGCCCCGTTTGTCCCCCATCGCAATAGAGGATAGACCCGAGCGAAGACTGACCCGGATAATTATCTCGACGGCCATCATGCCGCGCAAGAAACGGCTCCAGTTGGCTTCCGCTATACATGTGCTGGGACTGGATAAGATCTCAGTAAGTGAATCCAATCTGTAGGCGTCCGTACGGCTTTGATACGGAATTCTATGCTCAGGAATCCATCCCAGGCATGTCTAGGTTTACGGTCACTACTTCCTAGCTGTCGCCACGCTTGAACCCATTGGGCCTGCTGTCATCCCCCTATTTCCGGAGTCTGTTCCATGAAGACCACACCCTCAGGTCTCAACGATTGCTTACTCTCTGAGGATGTTATCAGGACCACGGCTAACGAGACGTCGCACGGTGACCGCAGCAGAAGCATACGAGTCCTGGAATTGGTAGATCTCCGACACTCTGGCGATGTGAGTCCGAGCACAGTCACAATGAATGATCTGAGTGACTATCGAAGCACATACAGTGCATAACACGTACCTCAGTCCCGTGGATTTTCCTGCAACATAACGCCCAATTGAAAACGAGTGTGTTTCAACCTTCTCGCATGCTCCGGCTCGATTATCGCGCGTTTATCACGGATACCAACTCTCTGCGTTGTCCTGCTCCTCGATGATGCGCAATGCGCAAGTATGGATAATTTTTCGCTGAGATATCCAATAAATTCGCCGTGCCCATCGCTAGGCCTCGAGCCCTTTCGAATACTCGCGTCGCTCGCTTCCATTTCGATGGACTAGAGTTCTGGGGTGCCAACGTGGCAACTTGAATAGGACGCATAATGAAGTGATAGTTCTTCAAGTTATCCTTCGAGTCACTCTTCGCCACCGTTGCTTCCATTTCTCGCCGGAAATGCCTCGATGTTGGTCCCATGGTCGGATTGCCGCTGAGAAAGAAGGACTAAATCGCGCCGTCAAGCTGGGAAATTGCATTTGGCCGTATAGTCGCCACCTTGGAAGTGGACTGCCACTCAGTGGGCCTGGTCGTTGCACATAAACGGGTACCACTTGCACATGTTCTTGGTTCGAAATATGACCATTGGGCTCGGCAGTTGCCCTCGGATGAGCCGAAGTCCTGTTCATCACACCGTGGGTCAAGCGTTATTACCTCAGGCGCATTCGAGCGCTAACTTTCATACCAAATTCTCTCTTCGCAGATCCCTTCTCGCTCCCAGGCTCATGCGTCAACCCGAATCAAGCATCTTGGCATCTCCCAAATAAATTCTATCATTATCGATATCCGTAAGCAAAACATTCCGGTACAGGACCATGGAAACCCAGCGCCGCGGAGCGCAGAACACAGCGACGCTTCACTGCATTCCCGCGAGCTATGGGTGCCTGTGGATCGAGATTCTGTAAGGGCATACAATTTAGGGAATAGTGGGGTATTGATTGACGGGGCAGAATCACGGTGAGGGGTGCTACCGGCCTCTTCAGAGGCTCGACTTGAGATGAATGCTGCACAAGGCGAATGGGCGCATTATCCGATTCATTTGCTTGTTACGTTCACTCTCCTCGTGGCCTTCGTGCGGAGGATGTTCTAGTATCCACGTTCCAATATAATACATGGAATTTGACAAAGGCGTGAATTTAATTGAACTCAAAGAGTACATCATGTCAAGTGACTCATGTTGAAGCAAATGGAGATCAGTCAAAGATGGCAAAGGCAGCAATGCATCAAGCAAATAGACCTAGGCACAACGAACTACGAGGTATGGACAGTGCTATATAACAGTACAGAGGACAGCGCAGGCAAGGCGAAATGGGGTGCATATAGGTTGAACACAAGCCCTCCGTTTAATGTACAAAACGACATCATAGGGGCACGTCGCACGAAATCAAGAAGTTAAAGGGGGAAAGGAATCCTCCGAGATGCTATACACCTCATTTAGTCGTCACCGTGATTCCGCCCATTGAGATGCCCAGAGTCGCTTGACCCTCCAGCCGAAGGTGGCTTCCCGTACATCTGGGGATACGGAGCGTAATGGGGGTTCATCATCTGCATCCCGTCAGGGCGGTGTGGATACATGTACCCATACGACTGTGGCGCATACGGAAGGAATGCGGCCGGAATATACTGGGCCATGGACGGGTAGCCCTGTTCTGGGTCTTGACCTGGATGCCCATTCTGTCCAGGATGAGGCACCGGCGTAATTGCATAGAACTGGGGATAGTACGCTGGGGAGGCCTCACCAGGCTTGGGAGTAGGTGACCCGGGAAATTGACCCGGGAACATGGAATACCCAATGGGCGCCATATACGTCGCCTGTAAAGGCGGCGACGCCGACTGGGTTGGCACTTCCGTCGTGACGGGAATGCTGGGTTGCTCGGGCACATCGCCAATGTCGGCATTGGTGCCTACGCGATCTCAACGACAGTCAGAACGAAGAGGAAGGAACCAATCAGATAAGAGCATGGATGGAACGAATGGACGAGTGGCGTCTCAGAGTACTGCACAAATGGAGGGAGTATGATCTTACCTTTGCCATCGCGCTTCTTGTAGGGTCCCCTTTTCACGCCTTTTTTCCTCTCCTTGCGTTGGGAATCGACACACTCTTCAGCGATGCCATATTTGACGCAACGGAGGCAAGGACGGGCGTCGTCACACTTCTTGCATGCCTTCTGACAGTTTGTGCAAGCGTTCTTGACTTGCCTGCGCTTGGAGCGAAGAGGTTGTGTGGCAACTAGGCCGGGTGGGAAAGGATACATATGCATGGGCATGCTAGAATAGCCATTAACGGGATGGACGGTCATTTGAGGCTGAAGGTCTGTAGACTGCGCCTCAGCGAGGTCGTCGCCGTCCGGCGTTTGATTGCGCTCCACAGAAGACATGCTGCTGAGGGCGAGAGAAGAAGGGACTGTATGTGGCGACCCTAACTATGGTTCAAGATTGTTGACTTTTATGGATGTATAGGAAGTTGAAAGAATATTGCTGTGGGTAAAGGCACGAGGTAAGTAGGAAAGACGGTGGAGGAGCGGAAGAATTAGTACGATTCGGAAGATTAGCTCAGGGCTCTTTGCTACACGAGTTCGACGCACTTCCGGCCCTTGGTCCCTGTTCTTGTTCACGTGGTGGGAACCGAAGTTGTACAGCTCGCAGCTCGTGAACGTTGAGAAGTTTAAGGATACCGAAGAGAGGGTTGTGAGCTCAAAGATGAAAAGTTGACCAAGCACACAGATTTACTGGAAGACGATAAGCACATGATGGGAGATTGTCAATTGACAGCAATATGTCAGTTTTCGATTGTGAGAACCTACCTCGAACAATGAGACTTTCGCTGAGATGGCGGACTAAGGCGGACTGTCAGTGATGGAGTTAGAAAGTAAGAGGGGTCGGATGTTGCGCTGAGTTCCAACACAACCCTTTTTATCCTCTACCAGCCACTGACTTAAATACCCGGAGGACGACCCTGTGTCATATTTGTTTTCATTTCACACAAAAAGACATGGCCAAAGTCCACTTTAGCTTTGTCTTTAAAAAACTAAATCTATTGATTATGTAGTAGAATCGTACCCCTTCAAACCGAATAGATACCGTCCGGTACGTCGTTCCATCGGCTATTTTCGAAAATACCCACTGATTAGGACAACCGACCGCACCTTCGGACTTTTCTTTCTTTGAATTGGATCATAGGAATCAGTTAAGGTGGTCCTTTGAGACAAGTGGAACATGTCCCAGGTAGATACGGTGTGGTCTACATAGTATGACCCACTCCGATTCCGATTGTACTGAGACGAAAACTACAGTTATCCAAACCAGCGAAACGACGGTCTGCCGTTTCTCGTGGGTCCGCGTGATGCAACTCTGGACACCCGAATTAGCCTGGCTCCGCGCTTATACCTGGAAACCATTTCCGAGCCCGCGATTCCTCTTCCCCGTCAGGTTTGCCCGGCTAGCTACGTACCTAAGTTGCACAGTGTGTCTACGTAGATCTGCTCACTTGTGTTTCCAACGCTCAGGTCATCTTTGCCACTCACAAGCCCTTTGTCCTGTGCTATTCTCGTGGCCGCTTCCTCCCAATTCAGAACAGTGAGTAAAAATGTACATACATCCAATTCTTCACGTCATATCTTACGCACTCCGCGAATTTTGAACCAAGTTTATAACCTGACCTGTGTAAATTCTCAAGGTCGGCTTAATCCAGCCGTAGTGCCTCCTTTCAAAACACGAGCTACAATTCAGTTGGCTAGAAAGCTTCAAATAAAGACGTATTGCGTTCCACGATATTTCCCCTCTTGTGCTGCATCGTGTAGGTGGTGAGCCGAGATTATAATTATGATCAGTCTGCCATTCAGTATCTCAATGGCGTCAAGTTTCTCCTTCCGCATTTGCGTTATATAAATGCTATAAGGCGGCCGGATCCTTATTTTGCCCAGAACCTTTACCCAAATACTGTCAACGTCAGTGCATCATGTTCCGCGATTCCACCGTTTTCGACGGAGATGACAATCATGACGCTTTTCCAATCTCCCCTTACCATCCGCGTTCGGCAACTTCATACGCCTTACCAATCGCCAGCGGCCATGTTACGGATACCTATTTTCAACGACCTCCACCTTAGGTGTAACGCGGAGATCAGCTTCCTTTTTTTCGTAGGAGCAGTAAATCTTTGTGCTGAGTCATTCGCTGGCAGTACCTTGATTCTGCAGTTGCACAGCGCCCTACACACGGGCATTTGTCAATGTTTTCCTATTGAAAGAACATCGGGGAAATTTATGTGTTTTCATAGCAGGGGTATATTTGTACGGTATTCCCCTACATACATAAAACATTGTGCATTTTCACAGCATGTTCAAGTTAGGCCATCCTATATTTTCAGACAGAAGAAATAGGAACTTTTCGTTTCATGTTACAACACCATTGAGACATAGTATATAGATTTAGTGTTCCTGTTATGGACACACATAATATTCTTTCAATACGTTGTCGGAAAACATTCACAAATGCCTGCGCAGCACTGCAGTGACAAGCTGCGCCCATATCGGTGGTTATCATTTTCCGCACCATGGCCGAGGCTTGGAAGTCGATGTTCTTTTCCGAATTGAACCAGGAGCTTATTAGGTATATGTGCTTTCTCGATCATCGTGAAATTGTGTTCGCCTATCCTATTCAATTGTCTTTATCATACCATGCACGAGGCTTGTGAGTCATGTCATATCCGATAATCATATCTTGCGACGAAGCGACGGGGGGCCTTCGCAAACTTGATGGAGTCAAGGTTCATAACCACCTGCAGCGTGGAATCCTTACGGTATTCTCGCCAGGATTATCTCCTGCTTCTACAGGAACGAGAATTAAGCGGTTTACATACCTCAATGTTGTTATATGAACTCTAGCGTTGTCCAGTCACGCCTCGAATGGACGAATCGTGGGATCGATGACTGGCTCAAAGTCATAATGCGGCTTATAGATATGGGAGTGGACCTATTCATGAGTTTCAAAGGCCCAAGATCTATCTCCGCATACTCATGGTTATTGCTCATCAATCACCTTGCTCACATCGATGTTCGACTACAGCCTAATCAGAATATCGGATTCAACTGCTCACTACCGGATATTTGTTAAGGTGGGTAGCGATCGATAGCATAGTGACCAGTACGTATATTTTTTCGGTAAATGTAAGCATTCCCCCAAGAACAATGAGGTGGAAAGCCACTGCAAATGCAAATAAAGCCAAATAACGGGCGCTGAGGACCAGTGGAACAGTGAGAGCCAGCAGACTCTGAGAGTTCTCTGCTCACGTTCTTGCTAGTCGTCGTCAACAACGGCGACCAGCATCGCTATCATACTACCCAGCAACGGTCGATAGGTATCAGGATCTGGTCTACGTGTCTCTTTTCTTTGTTCTTTACCCCCGTGTTCCTTTTTTTTGAGTTCCACAGTGTCGTTTACGTGTTTCTCTCACTCATTCTTGGTCTTCCTCTGGAATGTCGGCCACGTCTGAGCTTTTAGAGGGCCAACGTGAGCACGAACTTCACCTTCCGTTTACTACCCAAGGAGGCGACAAGAAAATTGCGGACGAGGACGATGGCCTAGATGTGCACCAAGTTCATCACACACAGGTAATATCACCTCAAATTCGTGTCAGAATAACACTAAAGGTTTAATCAGCCTAGGCTTCATATCTCAGCGGCGCCGCCTGATGACGAATTGTCACCGATGGACACAAACGCCGAAATCCCATCGCGTTCAGGATCAGTTTCGTCCTCCCTTGACCCGTACTATTTTGGCATTCAGACTCCAGCAGACTCGCCTGCACCACAGTTGCCAGAACCAGGATTTCCTCCCATGACACCTGAGACACGCAGCCCAAATGAACCAGTTACGCCAGGGCGCGATCCGGCCAACATCGATAGGATGGGCCTCGTCGGTGTGGGCGAGCTAGCTACCCCAAGATGGGGTAAAATACAGAGGCATACGCATGACGAAGATACAGATGGCCATGATGAGCAGAGTCACGGAGATGATGTCCTCGAGGAGGATGCCACCGAACTCGTCATTGACGAGGTCGATAAGGATGGTCCCGATAGCCCATGGACCATCGAGGCAGTGGATGGCGAGTCAGACGGCAAGGATGAGGTATGATTTTCTCAGATTAACATTATATAAACTCACAGGTGGTTTATAGCCAGCGGACGTAAAACCTGTTACCCGTACTCTCCGCTCACGTAGATCTATGGCGGATGAAAGTGGAGGCGAGGAAATTCTGTATCCCCGCAAGCCTTTCGGCTCTGAGTTGTTACATCCCACTCATTTACCTAAACACCCCCCTGCATCTCCAGAAGAGCCACCCTCGCCACTTATACCACCACTCCCTACTGAGCAGCCATTCGTCGGTGGTCCAGTGGTTGCATCTCCTCCTCCTAGCGCTTTTACTTCTCAGCGTAAGGCTAAGAAGCGCACGTCGGACGAATTTGAGATGGACCACACAGGTTCTCTCGTCTCCAAGTTGTCGGGTGCTCCAAAAGACCGCACCAGCTCAACAGCCAGAGACAAGGATGAGAAATCTGCGTCGACGCGCAAGCATCGTAGCATTGGGTCCAGTGTTTCTGGAAGTACCTCCCGCGATCGTGCCCGGCGCCGGGAAAGTCTCGCCGTTAGTACATCAAGCAAACCTTCTGGTGCACCGCCTCCGATGGATGCTGCTCCCGTGCGTTTAGAAAGGGAGAAACACACACGTCAGCTTTCCGCTGGATCTTCGTCGTCAAGTCATGAAGCTGCCCTTCACGCACACTCTCGGCGTGTGCATACCACAGATTTTTCCCACCTTCCCCCCTCTCCTTCGACAACCTCTATTCAACATATTCTCCGGCACGCTGGCAGTGCCACCAGTACTACTAATCCGCCTTTGCGCCCATCATCATCCCACAAGGATATAGCACAACCTCAAGGCCAACCGCTAGCTCACTCTTCCCCTAGTGTTGCACACTCGCTTCTCCGCGGGACGCAGGAAGGATGGTCGGGTTTAGATGATGATGCCCACGCTGATGCCCTGCGTAAGCTTGACGGACTGTCGATGAAGACCGCACGCGCACGTGCAAGCGTTGGGAGTTTTGGCAGGCCTTCAAGTATGAGTCGCCCTGGAACACCCGCTGGTGCTACTAGCAGATCTGGGGTGCACTGGGAGGGCGTCAGCTCCGACGGTGGAGGCAAAATTTCTCGCCGGGGCAGTACTAAGGACAGGGAGAGAAAGGAGGAACTTTCTCAGCGTCAGCCTATTGGCCTTGGTATTTCTCTTTCTGGGGACAATTCGCAGGAGCATTCCGAAGTCCGAGGTGGTGGGATTATCAGCAGTGACGAGCATGCATATAGCTCATCTGGCGTTGAAAAAACTCCAAAAAAGCCGGGTTCCATGAGTACACGCTTGAGTTTTACTCCAAAGCGTGGGTCTGCGTCATCCACTACATATACTACCACCCCGACCAGTTCGCGTGATTCCGCATCTATGTCAACGGCCACCAGCGTGACTTCAGTATCTGGCCCCTCCGCCTCTGGTCGTCATTCGACTGGTGCAGGGAAGGGAAGGCGGAACAGCGCGGGGTAGCGATATTTCCAGTGCATACTCAGGTGGTGATGTGGCTGCGTTTAAGGACCGTCAACCTTCCTTCGCTGCCAGTGGTGAAGCTCTGGAAGAAGATCGGGTACCTCCCGTCCCACCGTTACCCAAGGACTTATCTACTTATCGTTCCCCTCCCCAATCCTCACATGGGATTGCATTCCCCCCTTCTAGCGCTGATGAGAGCGACATCGACCGCACTATGTCATTAGAGGTTCCCCCTGGCTCTTCGAAGCCACATTCGCACGCCCAATACTTGCAATCGTCTGCGAATCACGGAAGCTGCTCCGCTCCCGAGTCTGCTCCTTCAATCACCAAGACACCCTCAAAGAAGTGGAGCTTCTCAAATGCACTCAATATCAAGCTCACTCCATCAATGTCGTCGATGAGGGGGAAAGTTTCGCCGTCGAGCAAGTCTTCGGGTTTCCCTCTCAGTCCCCGATCGGTGCAGACGTTCGGGCAACAGTTGCGGAAGTCGGGATCGAGGGAACAAGCACTTTCTCCTCCCATCGCTCCTGGTGCTTCTTGGTCTCCTGGTCATCCAGATGCGATGGCATCTGCTGCATCCCTCGCATCCATGTCTTCTGTCGGATCTACTCGTACTCCGAAGTCCCCCGCTGTCTTATCTGGCAAGGCTCCTAGCCGCGCTGGAACAGCTTCCAGTGCCAGCCATCACACGACGTCCGCACTGTCCGCTGCTCATAATGCCCCGCTTAGCCCCTCGTCGATGCGGCGTCACCAATCTAAACGTCTCACGCCATCATCCATACCATTCTTCCGTCGCTCGTCCTCTCAAAGCATGCAGATACCCCCTTCAAACCCAGTTATCATGTCAGTATCACCGACGCTATCTTCATCAGGCACTGGTGCTTCTGCCCATCACGTTAAGGCAAGCCGCTCTCCAAACAAAGAATCAAGTCGTGCCGTTCCGACTACTCCTGCCTCTTCACAAAAGAAATCATCCGTGCTTAGCCTTGGCCTGCCTTCGTTGTTGAAATCTAGTTCGCGGAGAAGTCTGCATGGGGATAAGAGTGATCCTGGCACTTCCAAGGAGAGCAAGGAAAGCGCGAGGTCCAAGGATTCAGAGAAGGAGAAGTCGAAGCAAGACCAGAAGGATCGTAGTGAAAGCAGGATATCTTTGTTGATGGGGCGTAAGAGAGGCAAGGTGTGTGCCTTCCTGCTGTTCATATTCGGAATGAATCTGACAATACTGTGGGCCTACCAGACCCTATCGTCCACAGATCCCAAAAAGGGTGCTTCTGCTATTGCTTTACCACCCATGCAGATGTCCGCATTACCTGCTACCACTGCTCAGCGTGTTGCGAATTTAAAGAACAGTTCCTCGGCGTCTACCCCTGCATCTACCATTACTCGGACACCATCCACATCACGTGTGACCTCACAGACTGTAAGCTCAATGCAAAAGCATTCAGATGCTTCACTGCGGAGTCGAAACCAACCGCTACCCACAATCGCCGGGTCGCCATCAGTTGGAACCACTGGGTATAGCGTGACAAAGGAGTCAAAGGATTACCCGCCGTCAGTGCTACTGAACTCGATAGGTGGCATGTCAAAGGAAACGCCGACCAAGATTCCTCGCATTTCGAGCCGCACCTCAGCTGCAGGATCTCCAGGACTTGGAGGTGCAACTGTATCCAGTCGTCGCATCAGCCTTAATGTCACCGCGCCTTCGACGGACCCTTCACCCACGCCTGCCGATCCCACGATGAACGAGTTTGGTGTTCTGGAGAATGGTGACGCACAAGTTGCGAAAGCATCGGGCGAAACGACAACGACAAGGCGACTCTCTGTCCGAGCTTCTCCTTCAATCAATTCCCGAGTTCCAAGGCAGGTCTCTGGGCCTCCATCCTCTGGCGGCATCCCTCGAAAGTCCAATCGTGATTCGGTCTCCTTCAGCACTCTACGTAAAGCGTCCACGGGCTCTGTGGCCTCTACTACCTCGGTGGCTCCTCCCAGCGAAACAACGCATTCGCATAGGTTTTCTGCTTTGTCTCCATCAAAAGGTTTGAAATTGCTTAGCCCCAAGATTTCTCTCTCCACACGTTCTTCAAACAACAATTCAACGTCTAACGTACACCGGGCTCAAGCAGGGACTCCTGCCTCAAGTCGTCAGTCTCTATCGACTCCTTCTCCAGTCCCTAGCACCATTGATGAAGAGGAACTCCTTGGCGATGAAGAAATGATGCAATACATCAGGCGGCAACAGACTAAGAAGATGGCACACGGGGCATCGCAAGCTGAATTGGACGATCTGCTCAAGTTTCCAGAACCAATACCACCAAGCCCTGGATCGACGCCTCAGGGTCAGTTGTTTCCTACCCCGAGAAGTTCAATCATTGATTTTGGACGCAGAGGTGTTAAATTCTTCCCAGGCTCAGTTCCTGTCCGATTATGAGAAGGAAGAGATTCTCAACTATCCCCAGGTTTACTGCATAGGTTCTGGGAGTCCGAAGAAGAAGGCCCATCCAGAGATTGTTGTCAACAATTTCGGCTACGATGATGAACGTGGCGATTACCAAGTAGTCAACGGCGACCATCTCGCTTTCCGTTACGAAATCATGGATACCTTAGGCAAGGGCTCGTTCGGTCAAGTGCTGAACTGTAGAGATCACCAGACAGGCGAATCTGTTGCGATTAAGATCATCCGCAATAAAAAGCGTTTCCATCACCAAGCACTGGTGGAGATAAAGATCCTAGACAATCTTCGTAAATGGGTATGCATCCATATTTACATTGTTCTCAAAAGATGTATTGACGCGTCTTTCAGGACCACGAAGAGAAGCACCATGTCATTAAGATGACCGAGCACTTCTACTTCCGCAACCACCTCTGCATTGCCATGGAACTACTCAGCATCAATTTGTACGAATTGATCAAAGCAAACGGTTTTGTTGGATTCACAACCGCTTTGATACGACGCTTCACGAGCCAGATGATATTGTCTCTGTGCTTGATGCGGCATCATCGCATAGTGCATTGCGATCTCAAGCCAGAGGTCCGTCGTTCTCGCATTGCATGCCCATTTGTCTTATGACTTTGTTTAGAACGTCTTATTGCGACACCCTGCGAAGAGTGCTATCAAGGTCATAGACTTCGGCAGTAGTTGCTTAGAGCACGAGAAGAGTGAGTTCATTTTCACTATGGTCGTTAAGATCTTACTGAGCCATGCGTAGTCTATACTTATATCCAGAGTCGTTTCTATCGGTCGCCTGAAGTTATCCTGGGCATGAACTATCACATGGCTATTGACATGTGGAGTTTGGGTTGTATCCTCGCCGAGCTCTATACGGGATTCCCCATCTTCCCTGGTGAAAACGAGCAGGAGCAATTGTCTTGTATCATGGAGGTCTTGGGGCCCCCAGATAAGGACTTCATCAATCGTAGCTCCCGAAAGCGACTCTTCTTCGGTAAGATGACACATAGACGACCTCCGATCACTTTCCTGACCCTCTCTAAGATAACAATGGCGCACCCCGACCCGTGGTGAATTCTAAAGGTCGTCGTAGACGACCAGGCACAAAAACACTTGCCCAAGTTCTGCGGTGTCAAGACGATGACTTTGTTGACTTCATTGCGCGGTGCCTTGTATGGGATCCTGAGCGAAGGATGAAACCTCAAGCAGCGTTGCAACATAACTTCCTCCGTGCAGGACGTCGAAGCAAGATCACTAACCCTTCGCCAGCCACTGCGAAGGCTTTACTTCCTTCGTCCCAGAACCAAAGTCGCTGAGACACCCAAGAAGTCGCAGATTAGTGCTCCCACTCCGTTGACCGCCAGGACTTCACGAACGACCACGAACGGAGTACCCTCTACTCCAAATACGACTACTGTAGGATCATCATCTCGGACGTACCGATCCGGCCAGTCACATGGCCTTTCCTCCCAATATTCCAACCGGACACTCAGTGGGTTCGCAGTGAGTCGTCAATCCTCATCGGAAATGCCGTTCGAACAAGAGCTTATGGGCTGGCTGCAGACAACAGCCTCTTTGAAATGAACGACGATGTACACTTGACGCAAACACCTTTTTTTCGCTGTGCTTTCTAATACTTACTCCTTGGGGAATTTTGCTAGTTGCTAGAGTCTTACCTACAACAACAAGCTGGCCTTCCTTCTTCATACCCGGTCTGCTGTATTTTACCCCTACTTGTCATTTGCATGTTATCCCATAGGTTTTCTGCATATCATCATAATGCTCGCATCACTCAATATAGTTTTCTGCTTGTCCTGTGGTTTGCACGTCAACCTCTTACTGACGGCGTGTCATTACGGATGCAGATTGCTTTCACAGGGAGTTCACAACTGATGAAAATAGGCGAGTCCAGCTTGATCAGTCTTTTACACATACAAGCGATCCCAGCACGCAGTAGGTGTCAGCTACTACTGCATGCTTGCATACTTACTGTAGCTATGTTCGCGCTACCAAAGTTGGTTGATTCCAGTTGGCGTTCGATGCCGGATAGAACTCGAGCATGACAACTTGCCTAATTAACATTGACACCGCTCATGCACAAATGCATATGTGAAAGAGAGATGCTAAAATAGACCATGTACAGCGTAGCAATATGGCCTAACTGTAGATAGATATCACTCGCATATACATGCTGCGTACAAAACTGTAGAACTCGACTATGATAAGTATGTACTTCGAGTTCAACTCAGAAAACAGTCGCGGTACAAAATCACACCTGTAAATTGGCTCGGATAACCAGAATCACATCGCATGTCCCAGGGGCTTAATCTTGCATGGCCCATTGTGGCAGCCAATCCTCCCAATCCTCCCAGTCGACGTCAACCGATTCATGCCCATAGTGTTTATCATCTTCTTTGTGGTGGCCACGAGGATCGAGCAGGTTCGTAATGACATGCAAAGCGCCATTCCGGGCGGGAATATCATACGGTCCAACATCGCGACCGTTGACCACGAACCTGGTGAAGTAGCGGGCAGGACCAGGGAGAGGAATCTTGGCTTTGTAGCGCGCAACCTGAACATTTAAGGAATAATTCTCCAGCAGGGTGGGAACGGTGAGATTGTAAGCGTATAAAGGGATGCCGGTTTTCTGGTCATCAACGAAGGCAGTATAAGATGCAGTATCGTGCACGTAGTCTATCGACAAATGCAGTTAGATCTACCTACGATAAGATGACTTTCTGAGTTTACTCGCCTGTGTGCAGCGCGACTTGAGGCACGATATGATACTCCAGAAGTTTCTTGAGTGCTTTAGCGCCAAAGGGCGAAAACAAGAAATGTCTTAATTTGTGGGGAAGACGCTGGAATGCTCCTGATGTAGGGGCAAAGAAAGTGGTGATTCCTGCGCCGACAAATGATCCATGATCACCTTTGCCGGGGCTCCACCAACGATCAACTGCGCCAGTTAAGTCCACGCGCTGAATAGCAGACGTCTACAAAATGTAAAATATAAGAGGAACGAGGAAAAAAAGGAAGATTACAAACTTACCACGTATGAGAAGACTTCGGGAACAGCAAACATCTCACCGAACAAGGAAGGGGGAGGCAGGAGTGGAATGTTGATGGTGTGGATTACACCTGGTCTGTCGTAAGCATATACCCGTGATTCAGTATCAAATCCAGCTCACCGTTGCTAGCCTCAGTATCGCGCTTTATGACATCTACCACAGTATTAATCCTGAGACGAGGGGGGACAATCGTGCTCTGAACGCTCAAGCGCAATGGCTGATAGTCCATGCTCCCATCCTTCAATGTCAGGTTCGTTGCATAGGTAGAATTTTGAACGAGCGCAGCAGAATCCAACTTCTCGGGCAAGATGTGATACGCGAGGATACCGCGAATGATACGGCCAAGTGCCTCCTTGCGGTGGTCCTTGTCACGAGACTCGGGAATGTCATCAAGTTCTTCAACCTGAAGGACAAGGTGGCCAAGATCATGTGCGATATCACGCTCATCCCCACGTTTAGGTGCGACAGATGTGCAATCAAGCTCATCGTCATCGTCATCCCCATGCGAGGGCTGACGATGTGGGATGCCTGTATTGGGGACTGCAAAAAAAAGTGATGCTGAAAAGGAATAATGTCGAGTAGGCGAGAAGCACTGGTATAGGGGTACTTACCTAACCGCAGGGTCGTCCAAAAGGTCGATGACCCTGTCGCTCAAGTCGATGGCTTTGACTAAACGCGAGTACCTGCTATGCTGTTAGAATGCGTTACACCTGATTACTATTACGAGTGACCTTTCGTCGTCTTTCAAAACTTGATAAATTGTCCTGTCCTCTGGAAAAGGCGCAAACATGCCCCAGCAGCGAACTAGCCCCTGAACGGGAAATTGCGCAAGCCAGGGAAGTGTAGGAAGAGCAAACGCGCCCCCTACACAGAGTAGCGGGACAAAATTATGAATTCTCATAGTAGTGCACCTATTTCTGACGTATCGGTGGGACCAATGATGGTGGAGGGTAAAGATGGAAATAAGAGGGGCTAAGGGTGTTTTATAACCCCTAATGCTCTCCGCAGCAGCGCTGGCACCGACTGCGCATGACGGTAGAGTGGCTGTAAGCCCACTGGCTTTCCCATAATCACTAGTGTCTGCGGTAATCAAGCGTGAACTTTGATTCCCAGTGAGAACCGGACCTCACCATATCGACGGAAAACGACGGATATATTTACAAATATGCTCAAAGCTACGCAAATCGTGAATTTCACATATATTTAAAAAGATGACGTGCGTTATGTTTGATCAACACAACGCAAACACACCATTTTGTCGATGTCTTGCACATTTGCAGACATATCAATCAATCAAGATGATGTGAATTACTCGTTCGCGCTGCTTTTGACTTGGTAAGCGTATACGAAATGATCGATTTGCACGAACTTAAGCAAGACTCCGACATTCTCACTAAGTCCACCATCTTTCTCCCTCAAACCATGACGATGTCTAGTCCAGGAGCCTCTCCCATTTCCTTACTTTCGGAAGCACCCTGGGGCCTGGCACATTCTCGTTTACAGTAGTCGTTGGACCAGACAGGCCTCAAATTGATGATGTTTTTGGATGAACAGTGGTAAATGCTCCCTGTGTGTATCTTCTCCGACTTTGATATTTTCGATAACCTAATTCGAGATGTTTTCTAGGACACTATCTATGCGGCCTGTTTCTCTGCACTGCCTGGCTCGCAAATCAGTAAGTGACTCGGATACGCCTAACTCGTTTCGAATGTACGCTGAAACATCTATTATAGCGCATATATGCGCCTGAATCTCTTATCTAAGTGCAAGACAGTGCTGACTTAGTACACGCAGCACAACGCTTTCTGAACGAACATGCATAACTGAGTATGAACCGAAGCCCCCAGTATTCACTGTCCCTGGTCTACCATGCCACCTTCAACACTGGGTCCTCGTTGTTCGTGCCTGTGCATCACCTAGATCTAGTATTTCGAACAAATAGGAGGTACGTCAATCTAGAAGACTAGAACTTCCAGCAACATCTGACTTTAGGCTTATATGAACTTGCGACACGATCAATATCATCAGCAAATTCTCATCCGACGCCTAATATATTGGTTGACATCTAGCGCAGTTGCAGCGGAGCAGGTGGGTAGCAGGCAGTTATTATTTCACGGCATTGATTTATGTTTGCAGGCATATGAATCCGAATGGAATAGCAACGCAGTCGACATCCAGCGCAGGTGCAGAGGTTGACATCAGGCAGGCAACAGGCGAGGACCAGGTGGGCAGCATATGCCAGGGGCAGTATCAACCAGCTATCATTTTTGCGCTGTCATTTGCTTGTTCTTGCAATGTATATCAGCGTCGTTTTCGTGCGATTTCCGTAGTTTTATTGCCTGGTACAACTACAGTTGAGAATCTACGATCATCGACGGAAATATGATATGCTAGAATCAGCGCGAAATCGTGAGATCTCCGTCGAACAGCATCGCTAGAAAATCTCATATGTGTCCCATTCTCTACGGAAATCTTGTGTTCCTGGTTCACCAATATTTTGGCCGTTTTCCGTCGATACAGGTGAGGTCCGGTTCTCACTGGGTTTGATTACTAGGCCGTGACCGGCGATGACCTTGCTTAATTTGTCATCATCATATCAGCTTTTGTGATCGCTCAACGTTTAATCTTATTCTTACTTAACATGGTTCATCACAGTACGCTGTAGTATACGTTCTGTCAGGAGCACTTGGGACAGGATAAACAAGCGATCGTACACGAAACAAGGTCTGTTCCATATGAAAGGCTTGTCGTAGTACAGTGCCATGATCTTTGCCATTTGTTCGGGATTTGCCGTTATTTGTCCGTGTAAACGAATCGGAGGATTTTCAGTTGGGTATATGATCTTGCAAGCTAGGTGAAGAAATGTAAAAAAGTATGTTAGTCGACTGCCAGCACCAAGGCCATCATATGCGGACGAGGTACTGGGAAGCAAACTTGAATTAAAGCAGAGGAATAGGAAAAGTATCTCGGCAAGGCAATTCCCGTTCGTTCGGGATCTCCCGTTATTTGTCCGTGTAGACGAATCGCAGAATTATGAGTTCGGTATATGACCTTGCAAGCACTTAAGGTGATCACTGCCTTCTGGCCCAACGGTTCATCAGCGGAACGGTTAAGGGGCGACAGTCTTGACTACTTACCGTGGCACAAACATGGTCATGGGCGTCGTCTGTATAATCAGCGTTGGTGCACAGGATGATCGATGACCCTGAAAATGAGACCTGATACAGGGGGACAGTGCTCCCGCAGAAGTTTCTACGTAGAAGTCAGCGTATACGCGCTAGTGCAGGGTGACAACTGGTATTATGCTATGGGCTACAAAGTGTTACGACAACGTCCGACCGTGAGTATGTTCGATCTACTCTACCATCTGGCGGAATTTGTCCTGGATTTCTGTGTGCAGCGCGTCCAGCTTCTGCATGATAGGTTCCTGTCCTTGCGAGGGAGACTGACAGACAAACTCGATGGAGTGAAAACAATCATAAGAGAATGTCAGACACGTACCTCGAATTTCATTTGCGAGAGTTTAAACATGAGATCACTCGCGGCATCCTTGATTCTCGCGAACGTCAGATCGCCTTGCGCCACCGCTCTCAGCGCTGAATCGTGGAACGCCACAAAATTCTTCAACATTCCTGCAGTCTTGTAGAATGGACAGAAGCGGTCATACTCGCTCATGCCGTTCTGTTGCAGGAAGTCGTCCTTGAGCATCCGCGCAACCTCCAGCGTAATTTTATCCGATTCTCCCAGCGCGCTTTTCCCGACAAGTTGCACGATCTCAGCGAGATCCTCCTCCTTCTGCAGGATCTCCTTCGTTTTCATGCGTAAAGACACGAAGCCTTGTGAGTTGGACTCATAGTAAGGCTCAAGCACTTTCGTGTACTTGGAGTACGACAAGTTCCAGTTAACAGACGGGAAATGCTTGCGCTGTGCGAGCTTCTTGTCGAGGCCCCAAAAGACCTGCACGATACCAAGTGTGGCGGATGTGACGGGGTCCGAGAAGTCACCACCAGGTGGAGACACACTAAAATGTGGTTAGGTAATGTCCATACAGAAGTAATTCCTACCTACGCCCCAACAATCGACACTGTTCCTTGCCTCACTGGGCTACCCAGACACTTCACTTTCCCGGCGCGCTCGTAGAAGCTCGCCAGCTTGGTCCCCAGGTAGGCAGGATATCCTGAATCAGCCGGCATCTCTGCCAGACGACCCGAAATCTCACGTAACGCCTCAGCCCAACGCGACGTTGAGTCTGCCATCATTGCGACGTTCGAACCCTGGTCCCGGAAATATTCTGAGAGTGTGATGCCGGTGTAAATTGAGGCCTCCCGAGCTGCGACTGGCATATTGGAAGTGTTAGCAACGAGTGTGGTACGCTTCATAATGGGTTCTTGGCGAGAGCCAATCTCCATTGTCAGTTCGGGGAACTATGGGACGTCAGCGTGTGCTTATGTTGGATACGTAGTGATATCACCTCCATCAACACTTCAGCCATCTAAAAATGGTATATGAGGAATGAAACGATTCGAGACATCTTGGATAACGCACCTCATTTCCTCGCTCACCACATCCGACGTAGATGATGATATCGCTATTCGAGTACTTGGAGAGCGCTTGCGATATGACGGTCTTTCCACAACCGAAAGCACCGGGGATGGCAGTAGTGCCACCTTGCACGCATCTATGCGCTTGTCAGCGATGAACTATCGATAGTGAAACATACAGACGGAAAAAGTGCGTCCAAGATACGTTGACCAGTCAACAAGGGGAAATCGGCGGTTTGTTTCTCGGCAACGGGTCGAGGTGCACGGACCGGCCACAGCTGCATCATGGTGTGCTTTGTTGTCCGACCCTCGAACTCGGTCTCTAATACGATGTCCTAACGAAGACAATCAGGTACAGAATGTATGGATAAAGTTGTGCTGCGGACGCACATCGACTGCATAGCTGCCCTTTTCCGCGATGCGGGTGATGGTACCGAGAGCACGGGGAGGAAGCATGATCTTGTGGTTGTCGACGAGCGAGTTCTCGTAGACACCACCGAAGATATCACCTCCTGAGATGTGGTCACCGACCTTATGCATATCAGTACATTACCAATGTCCGATCAGTGTCAAATCACCTTGTATGCGGCAGGGGTGAAGTCCCAGGATATCGAGCGATCCAGTGCCTCTGTGTTGATTCCGCGAGGGATGTAGATGGATTTGGACAATTCTTGGATGGACTGTATCCCATTAAATAAGAAGATTATCTACGCGGCTGAAATGAACGCTTACTCGGAGTGGTCTCTGAATACCGTCGACAATATTGCCCATCAGACCTGTGGAGAGCTGAGAAACCACAATGTATGGCATATCATTTGAGTAACATACCTGGACCCAACTCAACACTAAGGGGTTTGCCTGTCCTTAGGACAGGGTCGCCGACGGTCACACCAGATGTCTCTTCATACACCTGAATCGTTACTTTATCTGCCTCTATTCGAATGACCTCTACGACTAATGAGTCTCACTTCGTTCTAGTACCTGGTAAGGCTGCTCACCTCCGACGAGCTCGTCATGGCCGACGCGAACAAGCTCGTACATAGCAGCTCCAGTCATGTTCTCTGCGATGACGACAGGCCCTGAAACGCCGTACACGTGACCAAAGCGAGATTCGTGGTCTTCATCTTGGATTTTTGGGAGGTCGCGCTTTGCGTTCTGGAGAGCACCGGCCATCGTACACAACTATAAGCTACTCTGTCTGATAGTCGAGCCTCACTAGGCAGCATGCCCAAAGCGGAGTGTGAATATCCTCGGTGGCTGCCGAGGCGCGTTACCCAGTGCAGTGACGCGTCCCATAGCATAAGCAGTCTGTCCTTGCTCACCGTTCTCCGTCGTCCGGAACACTTCTTTCACCATCCGACACGATGCCTCCAAAAGCGCAAGTCCATTAAGCACGCTCTTTCTATTGTATGCTAACGATATTTATGCAGTGATTGGGAGAAATGTATGTACGGCTTGACGAGTCCCTTATGTCGTCACTGAATTCCTGCAGACGAGAAGAAGGTCGACGACAAGGAGGAGAAGATTCAAGGTATGTAAATTGTATTGAATATGTTCTGTTCTAACACCTTTTAGCTCTTACAACTAGCGATATCCAGATCCTCAAAACCTATGTAGGTACAATGTCTGTATACTTCGTCCACCTACCTACCAACGTATTCCCTGCAGGGTCAAGGCGCATACGCCGCAAAGCTGAAGAAGACCGAACATGACATCAAGGAAGTGCAGAAGCGGATAGATGAAAAGCTTGGTGCGCACAACCCTGTCCGCGACGTTCATAGACTTATTTCAATGCAGGCGTGAAGGAGTCCGACACAGGCCTTGCTCCGCCAAATCTATGGGATCTTCCAGTTGACCGACAACGCATGGGGGCTCATCCATTGCAGGTTGCACGGTGTACCAAAATCATTCCTGTTGATCCCAAGAAAGCCGAAGCTGCACGCGCCGTCAACCCTGTCGGTGCCGCTCAAGGCCAGAAGGGGGCTGACGAGCAAGACAAATATGTCATCAACATCAAACAGATAGCTAAATTTGTTGTTGGTCTCGGTGATCGAGTCGCACCGACAGATATCGAAGAGGGTATGCGCGTAGGGTGTGTAGAATTACTTGTACAAATCGCTGGTGCACTAACATTTCAACAGTGTGGACCGGAATAAATACCAAATCCAGATCCCACTGCCACCCAAGATCGATGCTTCGGTGACGATGATGCAGGTTGAGGAGAAGCCCGACGTAACGTACTCGGACGTTGGTGGATGCAAAGAGCAAATCGAGAAGCTGCGAGAAGTTGTCGAGACGCCGCTACTATCAGTTAGTTGTTCTTATGCTCGGTTATGCTGAATCGCTGACACTGTCCAAGCCCGAACGCTTCGTCAAGCTCGGTATTGATCCCCCAAAGGGGGTCCTTCTCTTTGGGCCACCGGGAACCGGCAAAACTCTCTGTGCACGCGCAGTCGCCAATCGTACAGATGCCACCTTCATTCGCGTCATTGGCTCCGAGCTTGTGCAAAAGTATGTTGGCGAGGGTGCGCGAATGGTGCGCGAGTTGTTTGAGATGGCACGTTCAAAGAAGGCTTGTATTATTTTCTTTGACGAAGTCGACGCTATCGGTGGGGCACGATTTGATGATGGCGCTGGAGGTGACAATGAGGTGCAGCGCACAATGTTGGAGCTGATTAACCAACTGGATGGATTCGACCCCCGAGGGAATATCAAAGTGCTCATGGCCACAAATCGACCAGATACTCTTGACCCAGCATTGTTGCGTCCCGGTCGACTTGATCGACGGGTGGAATTCTCGCTGCCTGATAATGAGGGCAGGGCTCACATTCTCAAGATTCATGCCAGGAGGTGAGAGGCTATAAGTATCCACACGTATCAGCCTTGCTGATGACCCTCTTCAGTATGAGCGTCGAACGCGACATCCGATTTGATCTTATTGCTCGATTATGTCCCAACACGACGGGTGCTGAGCTTCGATCAGTTGCAACTGAGGTGAGAAATGGCTATCTTCGACCCTAGACATATCGTAATTGTATCCTATCCAGGCTGGCATGTTTGCAATTCGTGCCCGTCGGAAGGTCGCTACGGAGCGCGACTTCCTCGATGCTGTAGAAAAGGTCGTGCGGCAAGGGACGAAGTTCTCGTCAACGTAAGCCATTATTCATATATCGCCCGAAGAAATCTCATCATACTTTGCCACTGCAGACCTCTATATCAAGTGTACAATTAGACTATTTGACTTCAGGCTTGCATTATTTTGCATGTATCATTTTCCCAAATCACGCATTTTCATGGACCGCTTGAGCATTCTGTTGTGGCCCAAGGACTCTGGAGCACAGCGCACACCCTTGAGTCTCGAGTACTCCATACTATGGCAATTTCCCAGCAAAGCTACTCAAGTTTTTACTGTGATCTCCATATCGAACGGGCTCCTCGGAGGTACCATGCAACATGATGTTCGTGTGGGCGTGACGGCAAGTGTGATATCTCTCAAGATCCTTTACTAATTTCGAACCTGCCTAATGCCTGTGCGCTTTCCAGGTAGACCCTTCTTGCACAGATCCATGAAGCCTGTATGCATTAGATATTGATGACCAAGATATAATGCTATGCCGGCGGTTGGTTCAGCATCAACTTTGAGGACACTGAAATATATATATATCTGATGACATTTCGTACAGGGGGAATGTGGTGTGTGGACTAAGTACAGCTGGGTGATAGGGTTGGTTGGTTTGTGGATGTTGTGCGTTCGAACTTCGCGTCGCAACTTGATCTTGAATCGCAGGACCACTCTATTTCCTCTTCTCTGTTCCTAGTACATCGACTCCGAATCTTCACCGAGTAATAGTCTTTCCTTCCAGTCTCGGAGTGTGTATATGTTCGATGACACTGTTTCAATTTGTCTGGTACATATATACTACGTGTCAGTCCTTTGGATATTTGCTGAAATATATGCACTGCCATGTGCACCCCGGGCCGGGGTAATGCCGTATTGTTAGCCTAGAACTGCCTAAGTACTTAGTACTTAGCGCTCACCATCAAGCTTACACTCTATACTATCCGGAAGGAACTACTACTCAGGAGAGACGCGGAGAGATTGAACTAGTTCGGCATATCGATGATAAACCTTCCAGTGCGCGCCCTCGCAGCGCGTACCATCCAACGGCGGCGGTACCATGTTCGTCGTGCACCGTCGCCACTGTCTTCCGAATCTGCTCGACTTCTCGACTCGTTCGCAGCACATCCGCCACTTCCTCTAACGCTCTCAGCCCTCGTGTCCTTCGGGAACCCTTTAACACCTGCATCCGTGCTGCGTTCAGTAACGTACGTACTCTCGGAGATACCAAGACGTATGGCCCGGCGCGTCCGCGCCCTCGAGGGATTGCCATTTATTGTCGGTACTAATCCATATGTTTCACGAACTCTCAACGGTCACAGAGACAGTTTTAATGTTCTCGCTACTTTTCCCGAAGTGCGCACACTCGAGGACAATAAACATTTTGTTGATGAACTAGATATACTCGTTCAGAGACATAGAAACGATATACCAACCATGGCCAAGGGGTGCGTTGATCCTTGTGCTCCGATTGATTAACCTGACTTCAACAACTTTTAGATTCCAGGAGTGCTCGCGGTACATGTCTTCAACTCAAATATCCAACTTCCTCGATGGTGCTATCAGATCTCGCATCTCTGTACGCTTGATTGCTGAACAACATATTGCGCTCTCACACGCACTTGCCACGGATCCCGGCGCCGCCGAGGCTGGCGTGCTCGTGCACAATGGTGTCATTGATCCAAAGTGCTCTCCCGCGGAGATGGTCCGTATGTGTGGTGCATTCGTCAGCGAATTATGCGAGGCGACCCTCGGCGCAAGCCCCAACATTACGATCGACGGGTGTCCAGAAGCTACATTCGCGTGAGTTCAACATATCTACAGCGGAATCTATCAGTATAATCCTCCTCCGCCTAGCTATGTCCCTGTGCACCTTGAATATATCCTCACCGAAATGCTCAAGAACGCGTTCCGCGCTACCGTAGAGCACCACCACAAGCTTCACGGCCTTACTTCATCCCATCCCCTACCACCCGTACAAATCACCATTTCACCCCCCCACTCCACCACATCCATTCCTATCAATTCGAATTCGCGACCAGGGTGGTGGCGTCTCAGCGTCCAACATGGCTCGTATATTCTCATACGCTTTCACTACTGCGGGGCATGCGGACGACCAGAAGGGAGACGGTGGGCCGTATGCCGCACAGCATATTGGTGGGAGCGCAGCCATTGGGAGTGGCAGTGTAGGGGAAGGTGGGAACCTTTTCGGTGAGATTACAGAGAAGGGTATCCAGGTGGGCCTTGGAACAATTGCAGGTTTAGGGTACGGGCTCCCTCTGAGTCGGTTATATGCAAAGTGTGTTCGCCTTCGCTTTTCATCCTTGTCTAGCCTCATATTGGCTTTGTAGATATTTCGGTGGTTCATTGGATGTATTTTCGCTTGACGGGTGGGGTGAGTTCGACTAAGTATTCATGCGTCGTTTCGGACTTGCTGATAATCTTGCAGGCAGCGATGTCTTTATTAAACTTAGGTGTCTACTAGACGACGCAGGTAACGCCGAGATATAGATACATCGGACTTGGTAATGTTCAGCTGTATCTCACATCCAACATTTATTACTTTCACACTCGTGTCTCTGAGCAGCTATATTACTTGTGTGTTTGCCCGGTGTCCTGTTGACAATAATTAACGCGTCATGGCTTAAATGTGGGCAATTAGGAGGTCGGTGATCAGCTGGTCTTTAGCATGCCCACCCTCTTCCAAGTTTGAATTGGTAGTATTATCTCAGTAACTGGACTGTTATTTCTTTGCAGATAGTGGTGTGATTGCAGTTAGTTATCTGAAATAACAGTGCCAAACCAGTGCCTCGTCATCACGAATTCACCATCGTCTTGCATTACAGAATCAACCCGGCCAACAAATTTTCGCCCTTGCACTACGAGAGGCAGCCAGTTGTCATCACCATCCCACATCGTTTCATATGGGATCGGTGGCACTATCGCGTCTGCATCAGATGCGACAGATGACGCGATTGAGAACCACTCCGGTCGCATTTCGTCTGACCTGGGTCCAGTCCTTGAATTCAACAAACCCCGCTGTTGCGCAGCCAAAAGGGACCTACTCTGTAGGTGTTCCCGAGTATGTGCGAGCAGAAAATATTTCGATCTGGAAAGCCCATTCAGCGCCTTTCGCCATGAACAACAATGACCCTGCGTGCTCGAGGGGCGCATCAATGCCGGCTTCTTCCTGAATTGCACGTCAATATTTGGCATTCGTGTCATAGAAATGAAGTTGAAAGACTTTAAGTTCGCGCATCGCAGCTTCAGTGAGCGTCTCTCCTGGTTCCACCTTGCCACCAAACCCATTGTACCTGTTATTGCGGGATTCAAAATCACTCTCTGTAATCGTGAAGAATACAAGGAAGCTTGCTTACTTGTTGATACCAAATCCACGTTTCTTTAAACCGAGGAGAATCCTGAGAAGTTGAAGCGTTCCCCTTGGATTGGTGGACTGTGTGATGCATCTAGTCACGGTACACACCTTATCGTCCTGGATGATAAACGCGTTGGTATAGAACCGCTTCTGGTCGAATGGCAACCAGTCTCCCCTCTCCCCCATGAACGTATTCTACGAGGTTTCCTTCGAGCCCAGGAGGAAGTATAGCATGTCATCTTGATTTATGGTTCTCTTGTGAGGTCTCACAGATTGTATATCTGGAGAAATCTGTGCGCTGATTGGCGCTGAATCGCGTCGTCGAATCGACATTAGTCAGGTATTCGGCACCGAGTATCGGTGGAACTACTCGATGTAGAGTTGAATGCGTTAACAGGTGTCGACGACCAACGCGTTGTTTATTTCCGAGGGCTCTTGCCAAACAACCGCTCTGGATCTGTACGTATACAGAACCACAACAATTCAAGTAGGCAGAAAGGGGTAATTTATATTGAAGTAAAATGGAAAAAACCTCAGACACGACACCGTGCTTGGCCCACGCCTCTCAGAGTTTCGTACTCGACGACAATACGACTACACGTACCATAACCGCAACAATACTCTCATCTTGCACGTGCCTTGAACAAGTGGATGGTGACAGCATGACACTACAACACAGCACTGATGCTACGACATCGGGCCATCGGCGGCATCACACAAGAGAAATATGCATTTGGAGAGAACGTCGATCTAGTGTTGACTCCACGTCGACGCGATCCAATTGGCGCCATTTACAGAGTGCAAGTCAAGCATAGCAATCGAGATGCCGCCGTAGAGCTTGTACAAACACCATCAGTCAACTGAGCAACCCAAAAATCACCAGTATCCATGTTACATAAAACCATGGAATAAGTCGGTGAACAACAACAGAGTCAAACATATTAAATCACAGCTTCCCTCAGGAATCAGCTTACAGTATCTATTATCTAAAGTTGAGCATTATGCTTTTCCTTGATTGATCTGCCTCCTGACAAATATAAACCGCATGATCATATACATCATACCACCAGTCACTGAAGCGACCTGTTGTCGAGTTGACGTGAATTCTGGAGAAAACGGTAGCCATGGTCAACTCACCCCGGAGAACACAGCGGGTATCCACCAGGTATAATTCGATGTCAGTAGGGCACCAGAAATGGGTGTTCCTGTTAAAGAATTAGAATTAGAGGCAAAAAATGGCACAGGCGCCCACCGATCAAGCTTCCAAATCCTGCAGTAATTGCATGGGAGTTTTAAACGATGTAGAAGTGTAGCTGATACTACCCACCGCTAATGAAGAAACAGATGCCCATCCGCGCGCTATGATCTAAATTAGATGGTTCGTACATCCGAATTTAAACTATTGCTCACCCAAGCTCAGAGAGATTCGGGCGTTAAAGTAGCCACAAGCGGAGCTACCATCGCAATATCTGCATCATCGATCGATCCATCAAGAAATTTTCACCCAGTGGAAAAAAACCACTTACACAGCCCCGCAAAATAGCCATACATCACACCAAGTACAACGACGCTGGCCAGGCTACTCAATCCAATCATGCCCAAAATGAGCACACCACCCGAAATTGTTGCAACTATGATTAAGTTTGGGACTCCCGTGAAAGCCGCGATGAATCCTGACGTGACTCGTGCCACACAATTGGACACGTTTAAAATCACTAACTAGTGATGCTGTCAGCAGGCAAATCACTTGCATAGTGCTGTACCCCACAGAGTAAAACGAGAAGGTGACACTAAGACCGTGCTTGATAGAGTCGAGTTGAATGAAGAACAACGGGTAGTAGAAGCCAGTCTGAAAAAAAAGCCCCTGCGGACAGTTATTTGAAGTATTTTGAAAGAATGTGTGCTGAAGTCTCACCCTGCTATCGCGAAAATAAATGGTACATCACGAATGCATTTTTTAGCTGCCACAATATAGTTCGCTGGTGTCATCGGCGGATCAAGGCGAGTTCGCATGCATAGGCATGCAATCAAAAGGAGCACGCTGACAAACCCTGCGCTTGCACGGACGCCATTTCCAAAACCAAGACGACCATTCAGGAGGTTATTGAGCATAATCGGATGGATGACAGCACCCAGAGAAGAGCCCGAAGCGACGAACGTCATAGCCAGTGTGCGTCTCCGTCGGAAATAATGCGAAACGACAGCTATGCTCGGAACATACACGAGCCCCGACGCGATACCCAGGCCTACACCTTGAGCCAGGAATATCTACACTAAATCAGAAAATGAGGTCGTAAAGTTAGGAGACGTTACCTGATAGTACTGATCGGGTTTTGACAAAGACAACATGAAGAGAGAAAAACTCTGCAGAAGCGATCCAGCAATTACTAGGTGGTAGCTAGGTAAGTTTGCTGAGTATCCTTAAAACTTCCAACAAAGCTACACCCACAAATATCCTCGGTCATATAGTGAACCTGATATAAGGCCCACAGCGGTGACTAAAAACGTGTTCAGGCTCCCGATCCATCTTTAAAAGACCTTAGCATACGCTCATGAAGACACAAACGGAAACTCACGATATGGCAGACGATGTCTCGTTTGTAAGGTAATGCTGGGTATAGAAGTCTGGAGGGTAATAAGTATAATGTTCCATTCTCACTTTCATACAGCAATACCTTGGTAGACACCAAATGAGGTGGTATAACTTTAACCTTCAGTCAAGAGTCATTCTTCGTTAACAACAGGTAGCACAGACTCACCCAAACCCGCATAATTGTATAAGAAACCTAAGCAGATCAAGTAAGGCCCAGATTTACCACCAGGACTTGAGCTTCTTACGCTCCAAAAGTTGTCATCCAAGCAGCCAGACCACCTTCGGGAAATTCATGCGGGTGTGAGGAAAGGTTGGAGTCCTTGGCGAAATTGGATCCTTCCAATGTCTCTGAGCCCTCCTTGTCCTGTTGTGGGGCTGTGTAAAGCATTTGAGGCTCGGATTCAGACGGCATCCTGGGCTAGGACAACTGACAATAGCGATTGTATATATACGTGGACCCCATGTTCGCTCAGTCACGAGTTGAGAAACCTAGTCTCGGCTTGTCGGGAGAGCATTTATACAGACTGATGGGAAACGGGTTAACATGAAGCACTTCAAACAGACCGTGTACCCGGCACTCGCCTGTGGTCGTAGCCCGAATTACTTTATATCCTTGGAGCAGTACTTGGGAGAATCCCTACATTCATCTGCATAACAGGAGGATCAGATAATCTGTGCAAAAACGTTGATCGAGGCCTGAGCTTATTTTTCATGTTTTATGACAAGCTTGAAACGAAAATAGGCCCATCGGCCTGACCATGTGGCATGCTGCGTACGGGAGCACATGATGTGAGTAATGATGGCGGTTCTGTATACACCCGGAGTGACTGTGGCGGACAGCGCTAGCATTTTTCACAGCCCCAACACGCGTGGTTCGAGCTTGCAACTTGTAGGCTCACCTTGGCCTGGTCTTCGGGGCCCGAGTTCAATTCTGTAGCATCAGAGATGAAAGATGTGAGACAGCGTCCCAACGACCAATTTTGTACTTGATACCTCTCCGACACGACCTGTACATTGTCAGCGACGAAAAGCTCGAGCGTCAACACCGTTCGACCGATCATGACTCATGAGTACCCAACTATGCCTTGCGTTTCGCGGGGAAAATTCAACACGCTCAAGCAGTTGGAACCTTCTTTACGGTGGCACTCGCCAATTTGCACTGATGGGTACTTAGCCCCAGTGAAAATCGACAAGTTAGAGGTGGATATGTATACAGTTGCGGACAAGCAAACACCACCGATTTGGTAGCCATCCAGCGTGAATTTTTGGTGCCAAACCAAGGCCAGATCTGAACTCAGGGAGTGAAAATACGTCTAAAAACAGTGGTCCGAAGTTTTTCCCACGAGGTTTTTGGCCCGCCAAATTTTTGGACAATTTGAAAGATGTTGTGTACCCCTTCGGCACCATTTTGGGGGCCAATATTACCAAGATGACATGTCATTGACAAAAAAATCATTCCAATTTAGCTATGTAGACTTTATTGCATATGATTTCACCCATTTGTGGCTCAGCCAATAGAAGTTCAGGAGCATTTGAAGGACCTTCCAGGGGTAATTACCTCAACACTTACCATTTTTAGCGCTAGAATGGCTTGTTATTTTTGTAATATTTCAATGGAATCATGCACGGGACATCAAAAGGAAGCGATTGCCATATTTTTCGAGATTTTAGCGATTTATTTATGGTACTGCCAAATTTGGCCTAGAAAAATCCTCAATGAGAGTTTTTGGACAATCTGCTCGTGCAAATCCATTGCACTGGTCCTCAATAAACATATTCTGCACTAAAAATGGGTTCCCAGTCATTTGTGGCACCAGGAAAAATCAGTCTTTGGTGTCAATTCAAATTTGCTGATTTTGCTTGTCCGCAACTGTACATCAGGGAAACCCCCTGCTACAAAATTTCTCTAATTTATGATAATTTCTATAAATAGACAACTTATCATCCACATCAGTAAACTGAACATTTATCCCCAGATAGTGGCTATTTTGACAGTTTCCCACAGTCGCTCACAGACTCTCACAGAGTGGACAGCGCTCACAAGAGGCATATAAACACAGTCAGGCAATTCACACAGCTCTCACAGGGCATACAGGACATACAGCTATCAAGTTTTCAAGGTTGCCAGTGCTGCCAGTGTCCGAGTCGAGCAACTCTAAGTTGTAAATACTAGTAAACTTGAATTATTAATGCATAGCAGTAGATACTGTGATAACTTAGTACTAGTACTACGAGTTGTTCCACTGAAACACTGAAACACTTAAATTTCAAAATATTCTTTGCATTCTGGACAACATTAAAACCTGTCTTCAATATCTCAAGCCCCGCTGTGCTTGGATAACACTCAGGGCATGACCGATGAGATATTATGCTTTGATTGGACGATTAGATTCTTTCTTCCTTTCAATGCTCAGCGCTTGCAGTCAGCCTCGAGGCTTGTACTTACTACTAATAATGGCCTATTATTCTATGTAAGACCCTTTTAATTATCTTACTTCGCTTTAATGCGCAAAGGCAAGAGCGATTCATCGAGGAATTGGAAAAGGGCCAGCCTTCTTAGTGGAAAAGTGGGAGGTTGAGGACTCCAGCAAGTGTGAAGCGCTTGAGGTCCGGGTGCGAGGATGTTCTTCACTGCCAAGACTATTTTTGTCACAATCACCTTCACCGCGGCCCGCATGTCAGGTCGAAATTCAAACACTTATCGCTTGCAACAAATATTGCCTCGAGGCATTGATGGCCTATTGTTTTATTATCTTATAATCTCACTTCCCTTCAACTGCTAGTATTCACAATGAAGAAGGCCAATCGTCGAGAGGTTCAACTCAACAAACCCACAAATCCCAGTCTAGCGAAGCAAACAGCTGGTGAAAGTTCGGTATGTGGTTTTCGAGGATCACTTCATTCACTCCACTCCAAACACTGAGATTGACTAATCCTCCATTTAGCACCGACCCCATGGCAGAGTTGGTAGGTTTCCGGATAAGGCCAAGGACGAGCTAAGAACGTTGGTAAGTCCACGAGCATGCCCGATGAGTATCCTGGAATACCACTAAGATTGCAACAAGCGCTCAAGCCGTAGCCCTGCTCCCCTGAATATCAAGGTAGGTTCTCAAACTTGCCCTTCAGTCTTTGTGCTCTCTCTAAATTTTCGTGGCCATGCAGGATCAGGCTATGCTGTCTGGTGTGGAAGTGGAGGCTGATACCCAATTGGCACTTCAGGGTGCACAAGAGGCTGCGAAGCGCATCCATCCACTTTCGGGGCCTGCGAAACGTGTAGTGTCTGTTGGCCAAGGCGCACAAGCGGATCTCCATACTGCACAGGGTTTCCAGGACACCTATCTCAAACCCCTCAAGATATTCGACACTGTTATCGGAGAGATTGCGAATGTATGCAGGTCCTCCTCTCGATCACAACCGAACTAATCTAGTTCTACAGGTACATCCACATGCAAAGATGGCACTGGGCGTGTTGTCTTTTGCAGCCAAAGTATGTTTTCACCTTATCCCTTCCTATCTCCCACCGCTCACCAATAATTTGTACAGGTTATTTTAGCTCAAGTGGATCACGACGCAGCAGTACTCAAACTTCTCCAGAAGATATCTGAGGTTTACAGCTTTATGACGCAAGATGAGAAGCTTAGAAAATTTTTGTTGATGCACGTTATCCTTGGAAAAATTTCTCAGCAGACTCGTGAATGTGCTCAGTTTATCGCAAATTATTTGAAGACCAAGAGCTTTTGTGAGTATTACCAGCTGTTGCGCTCTGAACCGTCTCAAGCTTCTACCATCGTCACAGGGAAGAGACTTGGAAAGGATATCCTCTCGGAAATGGACAATACGATCAAAAAGTACAATGACGTGTTCGAGGGGCTCATGCAAAACTTCCGTGACCAGGTTGCTCACGACGCAGCCATAGGCGTCCAGGACATAGGCACACAGGTTCAGGACATAGGCATATACGTCCACTGTATGGGTAAGGGTTCAGACGTCCTTGTGACTTGGCATATATTCAACCTTTTCAGACGAAATATTGAACCTCAGCGGTATGAATTATGCAGAGGGCGCGGGACTAGATACCAAGAAACAATGCCATGAAGGGACGCACGCGGAAATCCTTTCCCAGATCACGGAATGGCTCAATAGCACTGGGGACAATGTTTCACGCGTGCTGTGGCTATTTGGCCCTGCTGGCAAGGGCAAATCGGCCATTGCCCACACCATTGTGAACTGGTTCGAAGATTTGGGAGGACTTGGTTCGTGTTATTCTTTTGACCGCCAGCGAAAAGCAGATCATCGCCATGAAAAGATCTTTTCCACGATCGCACAGGACCTGGCTGACTGTGATCCGGAGATGAGGCGGGCATTAGCAGATGCAGTTCAGGCCACAAGTTCGCTCAAGAAGACAATGGATATCATCCAGCAGTGGCAGAAACTTCTTATTGAACCACTGCGAAAGTCATCTAGGTCAACTAGGGAACCCATCGTGATCGTGATCGATGCACTGGATGAAAGCGGTGGAGTGGAGACACGGGAAGACCTCCTCAACATTCTAGCTGGCAAACATCAAAACCCCACTGTTCCAAAAATTACAGACCTCTCAGGCAACTTCCGCTTCATCATTACCTCTCGCCCGCTTGATGACATCCAAGACAAGTTTGGCGGCGTTCAGCATATTCGACAGATGACGATGGATGATATTCCACGAGCAAATGCAGAGCGCGACATCCGTGCTTACGTATCTAAGAAGTTGGAAGGGCTGGATTTCCAGGATGGAGAGTTCGCAGTCCTCGCTAAGAAAGCTGATGGACTATTCGAGTGGGCGCGTCTCGCCTGCGGATACATCAAAGAGTCCCATGCTGGGCTATCTCCAATGGAGTGCTACCAGGCTGTGGTGTCACTCAATCCTGCTAAGAGAAGCCCGCTGTTGCACAACATGTATCGCCTCATTTTAAACAACATCATGCCCAGAGGTACATCTCTGCATTCACAGGAACTGCGTTTGACTGCATTAGCGAGATTTCGCTCAGTAATGGAACAAATACTAGTCACAGCTGAGCCCCTTCCTTTAGCTTCCCTGAACGCGATGAGGCACCATTTTCCAAAGCAAGAGGACCGTTTCGACGTGAAACTTATGGTAACATACATGGGCTCCCTCCTCAGCGGCACCACCAATCCAGATTCCCCAATCCAACCCCTTCATGCATCCTTCCGCGATTTCTTGACCGACAAACCATCCAGCAGCGAGTTTTTCATCGACTTGTCAAATGTGCAACGCAACCTTGCATTTGCGTCACTTCGGGTGATGAAACATGGACTTCGCTTTAATATCTGTGATATGAAGTCGTCATATCTACCTAATAGCGAAGATCCCGGGCTACAAGAACGAATTAAAAAATCCATCTCCCCACATCTGTCATACTCATCTCGATTTTGGACGTCGCACGTATGAGCCACGGCCTTCGACAAGGAGCTCGCGAAAGAAGTGAAATTGTTGTTCGACCACGAGCGGGTGTTTTTCTGGCTCGAGTTACTCGCCCTTACCAATGTGCTCAGCGGTGCAGTTCTTGCCCTTCCGCCCATTGCCCAGTGGCTGAAGGTGAGCACACTGCTACTGGGTGTTAGATAAAGCACTCATGCGCAACCACAGGGCCATCCAAAATTCAAAGATGTCTCGTCGACTGCAATGGACGTACAGAGGTTCATTCAAGTTTTCAGCGGCACCATTCTACACAGCACACCCCATCTGTATGTATCAGCACTCCCATTCTTGCCTACCAACTCTCCACTATCGCAAAAGCTTTCTGCATGATTTCCGAATGTTCTTCGTGTGGCATCTGGACGTGAGATAAACTGGCCAGCTGTTCAGACTGTGCTCAGCGGGCATACTGCTTGGGTTACATCGGTCTTGTTCTTGCCAGATGGCACTCGCATTGTCACTGGTTCGGATGATAGCACCGTTCAGCTGTGGGATGCAGGGACGGGGAAGCCAGTCGGTGAGCCCTTGCAGGGGCACACTGGTCGTATTACCTCGGTCTCGTTCTCGCCGGATGGCACTTGCATCGCCACTGGTTCTTTGGATGAGACTGTTTGGCTCTGGTATGCAGCGACAGGGAAGCCAGTCGGTGAGCCCTTGCGGGGGCACACTCATTATGTCAGCTCGGTCTCGTTCTCGCCGGACGGCACTCGCATCATCACTGGTTCGGATGATAAGACTGTTCGGCTCTGGGATGCAGAGACAGGAAAGCCAGTCGGTGAGCCCTTGCGGGGACACACTCGTTCAGTTGAATCGGTCTCGTTCTCGCTGGACGGCACCCGCATCGTCACTGGTTCACAGGATATGACTGCTCGGCTGTGGGACGCAGTGACAGGGAAGCCAGTCGGTGAGCCCTTGTGGGGGCACACTGGAGAAGTTTGGTCGGTCTCGTTCTCGCCAGATGGCACTTGCATTGTCACTGGTTCTTCGGATAAGACTGTTCGGCTGTGGAATGCAGGGATGTGGGAGCCAGTTAGCGAGCCCTTGTGGGGGCACACTGATGCAGTTTACTCGGCCTCATTCTGTTAAGACCGTACTCAAGTAGTATCGGATCCGAAGGGCTTCGGCCTCAGCTCGTGCGCTGTGCCCCTTTCCCGAGTCTTGCCCCTTATTTCAGAGAGCTAAAGTATCGCGTATATAGAGTAACGGCCAATCCGGATCGGATCCGGACTAGAAACTAACGGGTGAGGACTGTCCGAAGACAGAGGCGGATATGTAGACTATAGGAATCTATCCTAAGTCTCGGAGTTGACAAGAGTAGCGTACTCAAGTCCGGATGGATAACGGAGGGACTCAGAGTCCAGACGGAATGAGTGCAATCTAAGATGATATTCGAACTGATCTACTACAGCGCATATACAAAGGTTTATATACTACGGATAGCTAACGGAATGATCAATAAGCAAAGGTGCGAGGCTATGTACGAAAGTATAAGCAAAGTCTAAGTGGAGCGTACTGGTAAGTTGGATGGATCACGAATCATGACCGGGAATGAAGTACAAGTAAAGCGGATTCGTAAGTGTAGCGGATCAGTAAGCATAGCGGATCAGTAAGCAAAGCGGAAGTAAAGGATAACCGGTATACCGGTGTACAGGAATACCGAAAGGAGATGAACGATAGTTAGAGTTATATGAACAGGAAATGAAAATAAGAATCAAAGCGGATCTGTGGACCGGACGACGGATATGTTCATCGGATCTGGATCGGATCTGAGATCCAGATCATCGGATCTGTAACCGGATATACAGTGGCTCAAAAAACCGTCCGTATGTTTTGGCATTTTTCACTATCTATAATATTGTGTGAGAACAAACAAATGCCTCAAAAACATGCTTATACCACATTGTAGTATGGCTTCAGGGCTTTCATTTGAGCCCTACACCGTGGGAATCGGTGGAGA